AACTTTTGCTGGGGATGGGTTGGGAGGAGGGGGAGTGGTTCAGGTCCGTCAGATTAAGATACACATATACATACTTTATTGTGTCAGAGCAGGAGAAGGATTCGACCCCCCAGCCCCTCTGGATTCGTTACTGCATCTCACTGACAGTCAAAGGCAAATCTGTAAAAGCCCCATGTTATGGAATTTTCCAATTCAATCTTTAAGGTACATTGGGGTTTTCCACTTGACTTTTTTTAAATTTTGTATTTCCAGTTTTAAGGGTAAGGGGCTTTGTTTTCTTGCGTTTTCCTATCTTGCGAATAATTATATATTTGGGGAATGTTCACAATTAAAGATTTAACGTTATTATTTTGAAACATGCCATTAACATATTACAATGTACATTTATATTTTTGCCCGGTACAATATTGCATGCTGCGTTTCTTACTTCATTTGGAAATTGCGACATTAATAATAGTATTGTCGTATTGATTGAACGAAACTTTGTTTTGATTATAGTCAATCATTGAAAATTCCTTGATTTATTACACAGACCTTTGCTTAGTTTTTAATACTACCGTAGGCCTGCCGAACAGATGTAATCATCAAACTTATTAAACCAAAGTATAAAAGATAGCGGATAAAAAAAGTCAAAAAGTTATGTGCTAGTCAAGCTTTCAGGGATCGGTCTGAGCCATAACGATGCCCCAGCCAATCCCTTAGTTCTCTTCCGGGGTCTCGGCATCCCCGACCAATACACATTTCCTTCCCTATCCATCCATATAACCCCGGAGGGCCAGGCACCATGTAAAAGCAAAGAGCTAAGGGAGGAACAGGGCGGCCCCTAAGCCCTGATCCTCCGAGTGGACCACATGCCCTGAACCTGTACGAAGGCGCCAACCTGGAACTCGCGGACAGTACCAGCAGCAGTGCTTACCGATTAAGCTAAGGTACTGTTGGTGTTCTACGACGGGAAATTAAACATCTTATAATGACTGAAAAGAACGCGTGCTGTGAAAAGCCAAAAAGACACCGACGGGATTCGAACCCGTGCCCCGCGATTCGTGGACGACGGATCTAACCACTCGGCCATCAGGCTTCCTTAGAAGTCTCCTCAAAAACAATGTGTCTTAATAATAGGCGGAGACACCCGGAACATTGCTGTGTGCATCTGTTTTGGCTTCATGGACGAAGAGAATAGAAGTCGATGTTTCGGGCAGTAATGAATAAACTGTTTTCGTTTGTTTGGAAAATTGTAAACTGCAGCCTCGATCGTTAGTCGTGGGCCTATACGTGCGCTATACATACTTATCGTTACGCAACAATGAACACTATTATCAAATCTAAAGGTTATTTTGAATTTTGGCGGGGTGGGGGCCATGCCCGTTGGATATCCCTATCCGATCTTATAATTTTTATAATTTTTAGCCTGTTTTGTGTGTCAGAGCGGGAGGGGGGGTGTCTGGCGGGGTGGGGTGGGGGGTTCGAAACCCCTGTGGATCTGCGCCTGACTTCTACTTTTTTTAATTTATACAGATAGAGATTCTCAGCTCCATCACTACTATTTCAAAATAATACGGACCTTTAGAAGAAAAAGGAAATGTGTTTTTACGAATTTGTTTGGTAACGCTGTAAATCAGGCCTCTATCCTATTCCGTTCGCTGTTCCCAACAGTCCTTCTTCAGCAGTACGTTCTCATCCTTAAGTCTAAAAAACCCTTAAACATTACACCAGGACACCACATTACACTAGGGGAGCTGTTCACAATACCGATGTGCCTCCTTTATGAAAGCGCTTCGTACGTACCCCCGCCCTGCAAAAAGGGCCTAGGGCGTCGGGCCGGGAAGGGCTGATTAGCCCCCATGTTGGGGGCCGCGCCACGTTAGGGTACATCAACAATATATGACTCCAACCAGCTAGCGGATGCCACGCTAGTATATAAAAACACCAAATGCAAGCACTGGGATATAACTATGCACAACAAAACTCAAAACAAATATTCAGTTAAATTCAGTCCTTATCCTGTGAGTGCAGGATTTGTCAATTTTATTTCAACGTCAGCAGTTGCCTTGGCAATTGGCATGCATAGCAATGCAAAGAATCACGAACTTGAATTCAAAAATCAATGATATACAAATCAATGCCTTGATGATTAGTAGCCCAAATTATTACGATCCACAAAATATCAAACTTTGCAATTTTAAATTGAACTAATATTTATGATTTCTATGATTACAACTCGATAATTGCATCATCCAAAATTCGGCACTACTAATTGCTGTACCAAATAAAACACCTTGCGAACAATACAGGTATATGCATTAAATTCAGTCCAATGTCTAAAATATGCTTATGGAACCAGTGCACAAGTGCACCAACTCAACGGGTACGTAGAGAGAGTTGGGAGGGACCACTGACATCACAATGTGAGATACTTGTAGCATTGGCGCAGTGTTGTAGTACTTCAGTACATTTTTTGGTAATCATACTTGTACTCGTACTCTTCAGAAAAAAAAATACCCATACTCGTACTCATGAAAAAGTACTCATACTCATACTCTTGCAAATGTTCTTCCACGAGAATAAAAACAAATTTCATAGCTAAATGCAGGAAAAGAACCAGTTTTCTACTGTTTGCGAAGCTTCTGCATTCATTTTTTTTGCCCAGTTTAACAGCAAAAAAGCCCCTGAAAACATTTGACACATTGAAACTTCTTCTACTTGTGGAAAGTACTCGTACTCATGAGGATGTACTTGAAAACAACACTGCATTTTATTAAGATTTTTTGTGTGCGTACTTCACACCATGCATGCGCAAACCAATGGTCGTAGTGCGTGCACGCTGTGTGTCCCTCCCAATGCGCTCTCTTAAGCGATAAAAAAGCACCATCTACTGTCAATGCGCGGCGTCCAAAATGCAACAGTATTTAGCAATATTAAGCTGGAAACCCACATTCTTTGAGAAGTACTTCAAAGCGAAAATTCCGACAGGATTTGCATATATTGCATGGGTATGAGTAGACCTCTTGATCTCGGGCGATGCACCTCCAAATATGGCTGCCTTCTAGTAACCACACTGTCCGCTTAAAATATGACATACATGTACATTGATACATTACAGCTCTTACTGAATCTTTTGCCAATTCAAGATCTTACAGCAAACACAGCCTAACTTTTTTTGTAGTTTCTCCTGAAAAAAAAAGACCTATTCTCGTGTTTGAAACCAACTGGGCTTTGTTTCAGAGTGTGGATGAGAATTCATTTTCTGAGGTTGCAACAACGACGAATTCATAGATGGTTGAAATGATATTTCCAATTCTCAATTTTTGCACTGCAACAAAAAAGGTACACATTTGCATAATGTGCACCGTTTCACACAAAATGGAGTAAGAAATCTTCCAAACATCCAAAGCATGGAAGTACATATGTTTTCTAGAGCAGCATAGCATGAAAAGAATTCTGCAAATTTTATCAAAAAATAATAATTTGATAAGCATGATTTTGTATTACTTCGAAATGTACCACTATGCTGAGCTGTGATAACCAAAACCAATCATAATTGATAGTGACACAAGTGTTAAACGTTTCTTAGCACTATTCAAAAAGTTTTGTTGAAATCAAAAGTTAAAGGTAATGCCAAAACCATTTGCAAACAAAAATGTATCACCAAAAAAAAAAAACAATCACAGGAGAATACTTTGAATTTCTAAGCACCATATTTTAAAGCTTGAATATGCTAGATCTCTTTGGTGTGGTACTGCCAAGACACTGGAGCATTTTACAAGCTCCTTATTTAATCAACTTGTATATCTTCAACAATGTGCAAACTTCGCTGCCAGCCTGTCGGTTAGAAGTTGATGGAATTTGTAGCCAAAATCAAGGAATGCTTCACGCTGCAGGATGTACAAAACTTTCTCTATCAATGTGATCGAGAATTTATGTACACATTTCCCCAATACCATTTTATTAATTTTTTTAACACAGAACAAAATGCTCATAAAAAACAGCTGTTTTGATAAATTGTATATAAACTGGGAGCTTTTCTCGATTTGTACAGTTAATTAAATTTCTACCGATGACCAACATTTCTGTAGAATTTGGAAAGCCCCCAAAATAATCATTATCTGTACAAAATAGAATACAAGTGGATCTATTTCAACTTATGCATACAAAAACCGAATGTACAATTATCAATGGTGCATGTAGAATAATAAATTATACAAACTTAACAAAAACAAATAAATAAAAGTTTTGTGTTCCTAACATTGATATCAATCAAATTTACAAGTGGATCTGTACAGCTACAACCACTGTATTGTTTAGCCAGTATTTTGCTTTCTACATGTGCTTTCCTCGATGCCTCAAATCTTATAAAGATCAGATAGCTTATCTGCAAATCCTCAATAAGTTTAAATCCCACTTTGCCTGCAACCTTGTTCCCAGGATACACTTTCACAACCTGGCGACAATAGTAAAGCCTGGGACGGACACTTGCCTCTTGTACTCTGATTGGATTCCGCAATAGACCTTTATCGTGCTGCCACCATTTCCTTCATGTTCCCTGTATCCAATACCAGTAGTTATCCTGTATTGAATAACTGAATGATAATGTTTTTGGTGCAAAAAGGAACCAGACTATTTTCCATTCCAGCCTCGCTTCGGTTACATTGATTTGAGTGGGAAAAAAATCAAATGGCTGCAACATGATAATGGTCTATAGCAAGTGATGGATTCGTATCATCTACTCGGTGATTTTATTTCAAATGTATGTTGCATGTTTTAACATTCATTGTGAACTATTACGTCTAATCACTCTCAAAACGATCCTTCCTTTTCCATTTTGCTTGTTAGCACATTGAGTACGCATTGGTTTGCAAATCAAACCTTTCACTTCATTGGAAATGCAAGATACACGTACATCAATGTTATGAGCAAGCTTAACAAAAAGCAAAAAGCATGTAAAAATTGGTACACCAAGTTTTTGCAAAAATGCTGACATATATTCAAATGTCTGTTTCTCCTTTTATCCACAAACTGGAAGTCAACTAGCCAAGACAACTCGGGCAAATTATAATTATTGCATTTCGGTAGCAATTTTGCTCAGTTAATGGAGGGATGAACTTGCACACAAGGCACCTTATTTAAAAAGCTGTAATTTCACACCAGCGGGCATGCATAAATATAACTATAACTGTACATGTACATACAGGAACTTCTTTACAGTATATATGGAAAAGCAGTTGCTTGTTTTGCTTTAATAGGTCCATTTCCCTTGACTTCATTTAACTCCCTGGGCATTTTTGCTGGGATGCAACCTCAATCCTGCAAATCCTCCAACTGCCTCCATGTAAAAAAATTGCATCCAGCCTCAATCCTCCAAAATCGTCCGCTATTTCTTGAATGTGGTCCTCGGAGGGGTGACCACTGCCTCAATCCAGCAAAATCCTCCAGCAATCGCTGTCAATGTGTTGAGGCAGAGCCAGTGACATCCTGCAGCAGTGTGGAGGATTTCAAGTATAATCTAGACTTACATTTATGCAAAGCTGAGCATTAACAACACAAGGTCCAGCCCAAGACCTTGACACAGTGCATCCTCAAAATCAGCCACACACTTGTGCCATATAGCCTCAATCCTGCAAAATCCTCCATTCTGCAAAGACGATTTTAGGGGGATTTGGTAAGGTTAGGGTTACAGTTGCTCTAGCCGTTCCCTTTAATTTATTTGATTTTTTTATCCTAACAAATTTTAAATTTGTATGTTTTATTTAAACAGATAAACTTTTTTTATATTTGAAAATGTCAATGCTTTTAAGATACACTTTTATTTTGAGTTGCCTTTGCACCCATATGGCACATAAAGATACGCATGGATTATTGTCTGTCCACAAATAAGTCAAAATTTGTGACAATAATAATCAGATATCTTGTTTGATGTCTCATTAAAAGTGAATAATTTTTGTACTGCTAAAAAAATAGCAATTTAAAATCAAAATCTATTTTTCGGGATGAAACTCTAAAAACTGCATGGAGTCAGCTACTTTAACTTGCATAATCCACGAACCGTTTCCTTGGGCCATGAAGTGCTACATCACACAGTCGGGACCCAACAATATTAGTGACCAAATAATCGTTGTATCAAGCAGCAGGATTTGTTATCTACAAGATCTCGAAGTCGTCATCAATCTTTTACCCCTCTTTTGAGATTGGTCCAGCAAGTTTTCTCATAAACTTTATTTTTGGTGGTTGTACAGCAATTTCTTTTATGAATGAGTAGATGTATTCACTATCATTTAGGAATAATCTAACAATCTTATGTAAGGCATCTGTACAAGCAGTGCTATCTACAATTTGAAAAACCGACAAGTGCTCAAGTTGTGCGAGAGCTTTTGCTATACACAACTTTGCAAACCTATGTGTATTTTAGCAGAGATTCAATTGATGTATTTTGTTAGGCATAAAGTTAGTTTGGAACTTTTAGGTTTTCATATATGCAACTTTAATGCTACTTTAGCATTCTTTCAACATTTTGAAAGGTTCAAGTAATTTGAAATGCACACTTTGCCGCATACATATGAGCACTAACTATTCCCCATCCCCCCTTCAAGATAAAGACAAACAACTTTGTTGAAAAAAAATTGTATTCCATTCGACTAGTTTTTATGTCAGTCCAACACTGGGTGCATCAAAACCCCAACTCTGTAACCAAACCCAACAAAATGAGTCACGGTTTGCAGGCAATATGCATATCGTTCAGTAAGTTGTAACTATTATTTTTTTTCTTTTACAATTTTTACCCAATGGAAATTACAGACATAATATCTGTCACATACAGATGTCGAATTGAGTGAGTGATACGTGTTATCACAATGAAAGTACACGGAACACTGTTACATTGGCATATCAAAACTGCTAGGGAAAAAAGGTCCTCAACATTTAGATGTATTTGATGGGATCTAGGCCCAATATCACGGCTCTGATAACAACAGAATGCCACGCTTACAATCGCCATTCTCTGCTAACAGCGCTAGTCAAAATATTCTGTGCTAACCACGTTAGTACAGAATCCTTCGTTACGGGATGCACAATGTATGCACACATGTATGCGAAATTCCGCGTAAGCCAAAACTCGCAAACCTGTGAAATTGTGCGCTTACTTGTAAGCACGGAATTTGCAGCTACAGTAAGTGGGAAATTTTCAGAGCCACTGGGCACTGGTCAAATGTTCTGTTTTTAGTGGCATCAAACCCTATAATGAGGCCCGAAACTTAGAATGTCCAATTAGTTTAAGCGTTGAACATGATTAATGGTTTCTAAATAATTTGAGATGTCACATAAGAAGCCAAAGCTGGAGTTAAGCCAAGGTTTCATAACACCTCCCCCGACCTCTTATTGTTTATATTTTTTGGGAAGAACCTTAGTTGGTTAAAAAACTCTCTGCTGACTGATTGTGCTCTAAAATCACGTCCGGGTTTCTTAATTGTTCAATTACTCCGACATTTTTCGGTCAAACGTTTCATATTTCACAAGTTCCTCATTCAAACATAGCCAAATGACATTGTGAGTGCCCCTTTAAATTAGGTTGAACTATTGACCCTGAAAATCCTAGCCAAACACAAGCCCCATGACAAGAACCACATGTTTGTGTAGTAAAATCCTTATTGCGAGTCTAGCTGGCCTCTCAGCTGGGCATGGATAATCCTGTCAACATGGCTATTCAGCAAGCTCAAGTGATGGCTGTTTGCAGTCGTCTGACCACTATACAACCCAAATTTGATAGTAAATGGTTGAGTGGATTTGGAGCAAATTCAAACATTTACTGTAGTTTACGGTACGACCATTGGATCATGGGTGTATTAAGTGATAGTGAGAAGCAGGGGTATTCTTAACGATTTCCAACTGTGTATCTTCACCCAATCGTGACCCTATACTCTGTTCCATTGTTCAAGGTCTACTATAAAATGCGTATAAATACAACCTCTTTCTCCTCACCAATACATATTTTTCAATGCTTTCCTACAAATAATATTCCGACTCGTCACTCCTCGATGACTTAGGCGTCTGAGCAGGGCTTGCACCCTTCCCCGGGCTGGGTCCTTGTTGCCCGCTTTTACCCCACTGCTGCGCCTTGGACTGGACCCCCGCCGGCCCTTGTATCGTCACGCTGCTGCTGCTGGTGCTGCTGGCACCGTAGTCGCTGATGTACTTGCGTCGGATCTGGGCAGCCGGGGTGAGCTGCTCCGGGAGCTCAATGGCGTCCCGGGGGTCAATCATTGTGTGGATTTCTGAAGGAATAAAACAAGTGTGTTTGTTATGCATTCAATCTTAATCGATTGAAACGGGATCATAAAAGGGAACGGGAAGGAGGATGAATATATGAATTTGGTTTGTTATCCAACATGTCTAAGGTGTACTACAGGAATGTATTGGGAAAGAATGTAGTATCCAGACGCCACTTCAGCGGTTGTGTACAAAGTCTTTGAAGAGTCAAGAAAATTTTCCATATTTCCTAACAAAGTTGGAAATGTTTCTCAGTCCCAGATTCATGTCTTTTCAACTGTTTTGCAATGACTGACCTTTATCGAGATGATATATGAAGGAAAAAGTGGCGCCAGGTTGCAACATTCTTTCTATGTATTGCATTGGTTGACTGGGTGGTCAGTTCAGTTCTTAAGAAGTTTATGGTTTACAAAGCATTGAACAATGGCCCTTTTTTTTAACCTTACCTGTTAGTCTTTTTTCCAGTTGTCTCATATTCTTCAAGATGTTTGCTATCTCCTTGTTATGCGTCTTCAGTAGCGGTGATTCGGCATCCTTCAAGACTTCTCGGAGCTCAGCATCTGTTGCATTGGGAGACTGCAGTTTCCTGAAAGAAAGAGAAAAACAAAAGAACACTAGCATTTTTGAGACTGGATCAAGTTTGGCATAGTTAATGGACTCTGTGCACAAACAGTAGATGGTGCCTTGTTGCCACATACAAAAGCCCAAGTGGAAGGCGCACAATGCGTGCGCGTTCGTGAACGTCAGGCCCGACAGGTAATGCATTTGAATGTCCCTCCCAGTGGTCTCCCCCAACTTTCTCTTTGTGACCGTTGAGGGGGTACTTGTGCACGGAGTCCATCTTGGGAAGTTTGTGATGCCACATTTTTGAGTGCCTGTGCTCCAAAATGAATACACATACTGGGTGTATGGAAAAAAAATTTACATATACGTCTCAACCCTCCTGCTATTTAAACAGTCACAGACAATCAAAATTTCCATCCATTTCCCCTGCCACACTTTCAACACAGGCTAGTCACCAGCAGTCAGATCATAAGTCAAGCAAGCACTGTGACTAGTCTACCTCAGTCAACAGACCATGAACAGAAAAAGCATGCAGGTTGTGGGCACAGGTGGCTTATCAGTTACCCAGGTCAAAGCAAAGCTGTATCGAGTCACATACACAGCCACGGCCAGTCAATTCTGCTTTATGTAGGCTGGGGATTTTTAACTGTTCAAAACTGTCACTTGATTGATTTAGACTGAAAGGCCAAATTGGCAGAGAATGTATGTTTGCATAGGAGGATACGCATATTAAAAAGTAACGAATTTTCAACACATGGTTGCATCTGAAAAGACGATTTGTAAGCTTTCCATTGATTCTTGGCTTGTACTCCTGCAGTCGATAATGACAGAGACATGGAGTTTTTTTTTTTAATCCAGAATCTTCTTTTGCCAAGTTGGTCTGATTTGTATGCATTTGCTAGCCGAGTGTGGACTAGTGGTATGGGTTCAAGACTCATGATCAGAGGGTCAGGGTTTCGAATCCAGCTGCTGGCCATATGTTGTGTCCTTGGGCAAACCACTTCACCCTCACATGCCTCTCTCCATCCAGGAGTCTAAATAGATACTGGCATTATCTGGAAGTAACCTGCGATGGACTAGCATCCCATCCAGGGGCAACAGAAATATTATCAGTTATACAACACCTGAATAAATCCTCCTCATCTGATTGGTGTATCGTTGATCACATGTCATTGAATTATTCGTACCAACGCACGGCGCGCGCGTGGCGCGCAGCGCACAGTGCAATGGAAGTTATATTGCACGGTGAATAGAACTTCCATTGCACGGTGTCACTGCTGCTGGTGGCGCGCTGTTTTAAATCCAGAAAAATTTAATATGAATGTTCTGAACCTGTTGAACAGTTTGCATTAATATAAATATGATGAACTTGTGGAACTTTTAAACAATTTTAACCTGAATAAATTGGCTATTAAAAATCAACCAATCAGATGACAAGGATTTATTCAGGTGTTATATAAAACAAATTATGAATGTTTCACGTTCGTGCAATGGAAAGAATAATTTCATTCGGTGACAGATGAAATGTTCCATTCCACTCGGCTTCGCCTCGTGGAATGGAACATTTCATCTGTCACCTCATGAAATTATTCTTACCATTGCACTCACAAACATTCATTATTTGTATATTGTTGCATGCTACAGAAAGCAGATTGAAACATGGGCAAATTGGGGCTCCTCAAACATCCTTGAAAAATTGTACTTACTTGAGTTTGTAAGCTAGCTTGTCCGTGGAGTCCTTCAGTTTAACGGATAGATGATTTATTGAAGACATCACCAGCATGTCAAATGACTACGGGAAACAAAAACAAATTTACAGTTGAATACACAGACAATTTGTCATTGAAATTTCTTTCAGAAAACAAATCGCATTGGCAATTTGAATAATTTTACTGAGTCAATTTCACAGCAGGTTTTGGGCAACTGTAAGATACAAAATGTATCTTAATTTGGATTTTGTTTACATATGCATGAACACACATGTTTGTTTATGGTGTAAATCGAGGATTTTCTATTGTTCCTTTTCCCGTTTCCATTGTTTATTCCAACTTTTTTGCAACAGCTCTTATTGGTTTTGTACACGTTTTCCAACAGAGGAATCCTCGATTTGGTTCCTGTCCTCGATTCATCAATGATACTGCACGTGTGTCCTCGATTTACATCATAAACAAACACATACACCCAAACTGCCAAATTGACAATAAACTGGCCAGTCTCTACACAGAGCTTAGGGACACCATCCCTTTCAGCCTTCTAGTTTGACACAAGACCACTGAGCACCACAAAACCATCAGAATGCATGTACTGGTGCACTGAATGTGCAACAAGTATAGAGTATACCTGGGGTCAATTTCACGGAGCTGCTTAGCACACAAATTTGCTTAGCACAAAAAATCTGGCTTAGAAAAGCAGGTTACCAGCCAAAACTCCATGTGATTTTCATACTAAGCAAACAGCAGCTGAATACCAATCATGAGCAATATACACCACAAGGAGTTTTGGCTGGTAACCTGCTTTTATAAGCCAGACTTCTTTGTGCTAAGCAGATTTTTGTGCTTAGCAGCGCCGTGAAATTGGCCTCTGTAAAGTACAGCAAAACTGGAACACTGCAAATTGGACGACTGCCATAGACAGATATTAGCCTACACATCATCACTTATGAGTTGTGCAAGATTTTGTGACTTTTTTTCTTCGAAATATCAACTTTCAATGACTCCTTTCAATGACTCCTTGGTGCATACAGCAGTCACAGACAAAAAAAATTCAATCCTCTTCCCTGCCATGCCTTTTACACAGACTAGTCACCAACAGTCAGATCACATTTCAAGCAAGCACTGTGACTAGTCAAATTCAGTCAACAGACAAAAGCAAGCAAGTGGTAGGCACAGCTGATTTATCAATCACCTACAGTCAAAGCATACCAGTATCAAGTTGCATAAACAGTCACAGCCAGTCAATCCTGCTTTATGTAGGCTGGTCTTACATGTAACTGTTAAAAACAGTTACTTGATTGATTTTGACTGAAAGGACAGCTTTGAACAGAATGTTTGTTTGCAAAGGAGGGTTAGTATGCATACACTCATATCACCGTCACACCAGTGTCAAGCGTACAATTGACTGCATTCCATTATCACTGTGCACGTGGGTGGCAACTTCAGTACCTATTTCAATATCATTTACCTCTGGTTTGGTCCACTGTTTGTGCTTCATTGCCACAGGGGGACTGCCTGGCTGGGCAGATGGCGGCGACTGAGAAAATAGGCCTAGAAAACAAACATCGTACCATAGCTAATTTTTAGTGATAATGTACACAATAAACCTTGTTTTTTGGATGATGAATACTATCACATGTATCTAAGTTGGTAAATTCAATAAAATAATTGTTGATGTTGCTCTCTCCGCGCTCTTCATTATATTCAATTTTTTTCTTTATTTTCAATTTGTGTAGTTTATTTAAACAACGAAACTACTTTTTTATTTGACTACTTTTATTTAACTACTTTTACAAGGCTTTTATTTGGGGTAACTTTTGCACCTCTAAGCACAAAAAGGCTTTGCGTGGAGTATATAATCCATTTGCGAAAATTTGAACTTTGTCATGTAATAATTCCATAACTAAGCATGGGTGGATTTTTTTTGGCACATTTCATTTAAAATTCAATAACTTACGTATCACTAAAAAAAACAGTGATTTAAATTTTTGTTACATATTTGGGGGGATGGAACTCAAAAATAGCACTGGGGGAATAACTTCAACTTCAGAATCCTATGTAGAAAAGGTACACGTACATCAATGTTTCGGATCCAAAAAGAAAGCACTGTACTTTCTTTGGAGTGTCGTGGCCTAGCGGTTAGGAGCACCGGACTCATGCTCTGGCGTTTCAGAGGCAACAGTGGCGTGGGTTCCAGCCCGGGCCCGGACACTTGTGCCCTTGAGCAAGGCACTTAACCATTACTGCTTCGTCCTTCGGATGGGACGTTAAGCCAGAGGTCCCGTATGTTGTATAAGGCCTAACGCACGTAAAAGAACCCAGTAACACTTATCGCTAAGAGAAAGGGTTTGCCCCGGTGTTTTTGGCCTCCTAGTTATACTCCCTTGTGGAAGTCCTTAGGAGAAGAATCAAGTACCAAGTACTTTACTTTACCTCCAGTGTTGTCGTAGCCGAGCGACGTTGATCGCTGTAACGGCTGTCTGTGGTTGTTCTCCATCTCATCTCTCTGAGTCACTCTCTCGCCGACACCCACTGTATCTTCAGACAATATCTCATCCATCATTCTCTGTTTTCGGAGGAAATACAACAATAAGTTTGTTCAGAGACACATGAAATCGTCACTTGTATGCATTGACAACCGAGTGTAGGAAGCATGCTTATGGGTTAAGATACACTCAGTAATTATAGGCAACCAAATGTATTTTGAGTTGACGGAAACCCTCAGGAAGGCTAAAAACAGCAAACTTTACTAACAGTTACCGGTACCTTATACAAATTATCCCTCCGCAGAGTCAAGACTATTGACAGTTTATTCACATTTTGTGGGTTTTTTTTTGGCTATCACTATATACTGTGAACATCTGAAATGCCATTAGCGCGGTAAGTGAGTAAGAATGAATGACAAGCCACCTTTTAGTTACATGGGACACAATACACAATCAAATTTACGATTTACATGTAAGTGGCATGATTCATTGCACTTGTGAGCTCTGCAAATGTATGTATTTTATTTTTAATTCCTGCTTTTAGCAATTTCAGCTCAACCCATATTTCACTTAAATTTTGGGGTAAGGCTCATGCAGGAAAAACCACAAGTTTACAACCAACCAAAAAAAAAGAAATTAAATTTTTGTGTGCTCTTTAACAAAAGCTACATTACAGTGAGTACAATAAAAGAACTTGGCAATACAGGCACATGTACATACATGTACATGCCTGCATACATGAACAAATTGCTTTAAAGCTATAGTCCATCATTTGCAGCCATCCGAAAAGTAACTGGCGTAATTATTGTTGAAAAACATACTTGGTTGAAAGATAGTAAGTGGACTAAACTCCCTGTGAAATTATTCTTTCTGGTAAGCTGTCATTTTGAAGTAATCAACAAAAGAAGGCCTTTCCAACAGTGCGTCTTCGGTGCGTCTTAAGACGCACCGTAGGAAAATTTAAATTAGTAGTTCATTTTGTTATTCGGCAAAGCGCGCGCAAGCATTGGCATGACGCACACGCGCGTGCGGTTGCTATAATTCGTCGGATCAGTGCGCGACATCGCGTATAGGTGCAACCGGCTCAGTGAGAAAGTGTCTCGGACGCTGAATTCAGGCCCAATTCAAAACATGATTCAGCAACTTTTGATTTGAAATTGAGATCCTAGAATGCTGTTTTTCTCGGAATATACAACTGAAGCTGAGCTGAAACTTCATCAGGTTAGTTGTTCAGCACCCTTCTTTAGATCTTGAGCACTTTTGTTGCTTCAAACGAACAAAATGCACAAATTACAAATAATGGACTATATCTTTAAGTCTGTACCTGTACAAAGATTTATCAGGCTCCATGTACATGGCTATGTACAAGTATACGTACATGTATGGTTGCTGTTTAACAGTTAGAGTAGGGTTAACAATTCAGATTTTTTTTTTATTTCAACAAAAGAAATAAAACCAACAGCCACTATTCAGCACTGGTCACACTACCGATAATTATAGGGTACGGTACCAATGTACAATAACCAAAGCAAACCAGTGCAAACCAGCTCCCAGTGTTGCCGAATTGTGGCGTAATGTGTCCAGAATTGGTAACCACGGTAACAGTGACCAGTGCTATTGTGCAGTGACTAAGTGTACAAAGATAAAAAAAAAAAAGGGCTATAAACAAAATTGCCACTACCGGTACATGTACATGCACTTTGAACAAAATCCATTCCAGTAAAATTTTAACAACCAGTGTACACATTTCAAGTATTTTGTCAGAAAGCGAAGAAACTTGAGACATTTCTGGGTTCACAGTGATGTTACAAATGTATAAGGAATCCAAAGGCTAAAACAAAGTACAAAAAGGGATACAGCGAAAGTGACGAACCTCGCCCATTAACCCTAACCTTCCCAAATCCTTCCAAATCCTCTTTGCAAAATGGAGGATTTTGCAGGATTGACTGGCTATAGGCAAAAATGTGTGGCTGATTTTGGAGGATGCACTGTGTCAAGGTCTTGGGCCTGACCTTGTGTTGTTTATAGCTGTGCACAAATTTAGGCCTGAACATGTAGATTATACTTGAAATCCTCTGCACTGCTCCAGGATGTCACTGGCTGTGCCTCAACATATTGACAGTGATTGCTGGAGGATTTTGCAGGCTTGAGGCAGTGGTCACCCCTCCAAGGACCACATTCAAGAAATGACAGAGGATTTTGCAGGACTGAGGCTCTATGCAAATTTTACATGGAGGCAGTAGGAGAATTTTGCAGGATTGAGGTTGCATCCCAGCAAAAATGCCTAGGGAGTTGCGGTTATTGTTCTGGAAACAAGGGTACCCTTTTTCCGGTAGTCACTGGATGGGATAGGAAATTACCATGCAGACAGCCAGTGTGAAAACTGGTCTTATGGCCGACTCATACTCCATCCAATTTGTTATTTTGTTACGACAAAGGAGAGCCCAAAGAGTGAAAACAAGTGCCAATGAAACATAACAGCACTACGTTTCTGTGGTGCCATTTGTAAGATGTGCGCGTATGAGGCGGCCATTAGAAAAATAACTTTAACTGGGAGGCAATCTATCAAATACAGTTATAAACGCTACACAACCACATACATGTACAACCACATAGAGAAAAGCAAAGCAGGCAGTAACACCGAGACTGTTAAAATTGACACTGATCAGCTGATTTTAGTGATTACTTACCACAAAGTGAAAGAGAAGCTGTGTGTTGGAACCACACAGAAAAATATGAGTGAGGGAGAAAAATTCATTTGCTTAAAGTCACAGACAGTTTTCAAGCAAATGTATTCTATTTGATTGTATTTTGAATGAGACATTTAATAAGAGATCTACAGTACTGAGAATACTGCCTATTCTACATTGTAACAGCTTCTGGAACAGTATGTGAAGACAAGATACATGTATCTTGGTGTTATAAAACAGGAAAAATAGAATGCTTCATGGATCACCTCGGGAGGCTAGTTTTACTACACCACTCGAAGCAGTCATTCTTTGTATACCTTAATTCTTAGTTTGAACAGCTCCATATTATGCACTGTGTTATCTTTGATGAAATCTAATTTGATGATGTCTAATCCCTCTAAAGCTTGATGTCTCTCTCCTGAATATCAATTCATGGGTTTTAGGGACCAAGTCTTCTTTACCTCATCTTTGGGTATGTGCTCCATGGCCATTCCCAGCGTGCTCTCCCCTTTAGACAGCCTCTGCAGATTCTCGGCCAGCGAGTTGCTAGCCTGGGCGATGTCGCCCGCTGCCGTGCCATTCTGCAGGCCCTCCTGCCTGGACCACTGCTGCTGGTAGTGCGCCCCGGCCAGGTGCTGCATGGACATCGCCGTCCTGTGCTGCTGCTGCTGCTGCTGCTGCTGATGTGAGGGGTTACTGTTGCTGCGGGGCTTGTAGTAGTTGTAAGCCGGCGCCGATTTGATACTGCTCTCGTCCGCACTGGATAACGAGGATTTGCGGCTGGTGACTGTTCTGATGTAGGCATCCACTGCATCAGTCTCTGTTGGTGGCTCCTTGTATCTAACAAAATCATTTCAAATTTTAAGAAAAGACACTGTTAAACGCTCATATGCTTTGATTAACCCTCCTGCTATTTAAAGATATAGTCCATCATTTGTAATTTGTGCATTTTGCTCGTTTGAAGCAACATAAAGTGCTCAAAATTTAAAGAAGGGTACTGAACAACCAACCTGATGAAGTTTTAGCTCAGCTTCAGCTGTATATTCCGAGAAAAACAGCATTCTAGGATCTCAATTTCAAATCAAAAGTTGCTGAATCATGTTTTGAATTGGGCCTGAATTCAGAGTCCGAGACACGTTCTCACTGAGCCGATTGCAGCTACGCGATGTTGCGCGCTGATCCGACGAATTATAGCAACCGCGCGTGCGTATGCGTCTTGCCAATGCGCTTCGCCGAATAACAAAACGAACTACTAATTTAAATTTCCTACGGTGTGTCTTAAGAAGCACCGTTGGAAAGGCCTTCTTTCGTTGATTACTTCAAAATGATAGCTTGCCAGAAAGAATAATTTCACAGGGAGTTTAGTCCCCTTACTATCTTTCAACCAAGTATGTTTTTCAACAATAATTACGAAGGTTACTTTTCAGATAGCTGCAAATGATGGACTATAGCTTTAAACAGTCACAGACAGTCAAAATTTCCATCCACTTCCCCTGCTATACTTTTAACACATGCTAGTCACCATCGGTCAGATCCTATGTCAATCAAACACTGTGACTAGTCAAACTCAGTCAACAGACCATGAACAGACAAAGCAGGCAAGTTGTGGGCACAGCTGGCTTATCAATCACCCACATTCAAAGAAAAGCTGTAGATCAAGTTACACAATTTACATGGGCAGTCACGGCCAGTCAATTCTGCCTTTTTATTGGAATTCTTAACTGTTGAAAACAGTCACTTGATTGATTTTGACTGAAATGACAACTTGGCACAGAATGTATGTTTGCATTGGAGAGTTACAGATTTTAAGGTTTTTAGCTTACCAAATAAATCAGACCATAGAGTCAACAGGGTCTATATACATGTATCAAGTGTAAAAAAAACATTGTTTGATGATTCTCTCTTCATAAGTAAGTATACTATCTGTTATAACAAAAACAGAGCTTACTAAGGTTATGCAACTCAAAATGCTACCTGTGTGCATAGCATTAGGGTTATGCCTGCCACTTTCATGACTTTTAAAATGATTTAAGAAGTAAAAAGAAACAAGTTGACCAACCTTCTCCAAGTCCCAGTGGGTGCTTTCTTAACTGCTGCAGAGTCAGTGGAGCTCAGAGAGCTTTTTCTGGAGGATGTTGTTGTTGTAGTTGTTCGGGTTGATGAGTTCTGGACCTTGCCCATGATCCTGGCACTGGTCTCCCCAGAGTTTATCTTACGTTCCCTCAGGGATTGTGAGCGTGCCTGCTGGACAATCTGTGCACCCAGGCTGACCTCACTCCGTGGAGTCTGCTCGCTGCTGCGGCTACTGATCCTCTGTCGGCCAGTGTCAATCCTTGCGCTGGCTGTCTTGGTCCTGGAGTGAAGATCCTTGGGGCTCTGGCACCTGGCGAGGGATTCCTTCTGGGATGGGACCGACCGTCGGAGCATGGAAGAGTTCCTGGAGCTGCTCATGTCTGAGATACTGGAGCTGGGGCTGATGTCGCTGTGCTCCGGACCTGGGGAGTCCTTGCCATCAAAGCGTGACTTGCGCAGCATGGTGCTCCGGGTCTGCCGCGGCTTGCTGAGGTTGGCCTTGATCTTGCCTACGATCTTGGGAGTTTTGTCCTTGCTCTCAGACTCTCTTGGGGTTTTCCGGCCAGTAATACGCCCTGTTGGCAACGATCCTGTTATATTGGTGTTTCGTCGGAATGATGCAGAGTCCATCGAATCGCTCATGCCATCTGAGGTGACTGAGGAGTCTTTGCTTTGGGCTGGGGGAGTTTTCTCATTGCGTTTGTATCTGGAAGGCTGGGATAACCGGTTCCAGATGCCTCCCTTTTTGTTCTTTTCATCAGGAGTCTTGGCCTTGGATTCCGTCTTCCGGTCGTGAACACTCCTCTTTGCTTGATATCCAGAAGGTGGAAGACTGGCTTGGTTGGTCGTGAGCGGGTATGCTCCAGAGGTTCCTACTAAACTCACACAGCTGGCCGTGTCCAAATCTGTATCGATGTCACCATCAAATGATCGATGGGACAGGTCATAAGACTCTGAGAAGTCTGGTGAGGGAGTTGACCGCTGCCGGTCACGCATACGCATTTCTAAGCTTTTCACAAATGTTTCGGTGTCCTTTAACAGGATCTCTGTGTCCATGGAAACCTCTGTATGAAAGTCCTCTTCGTCGCGTACTGGCACAGCAGATGAAGATCCCACTTCTGCCACCGGTTTACTAACAAATACTGCAGGTTTAGGCTCTGTTGACAATTCCCGCCAAGAAACATTAGTTTCATATGCAGTTGGCTCTTCCTGTTGGGAAGAGGCAACACCCTCTCGGTTGCGTGGACTGTAAAAGGCACTTGATGGCGACTGTCTTACGTGTAAGCCATTTGGTCTGGAAGAATCTTCCGAGCTGGTCAGATGTGGTGATAGTCTGTCACCCCTCTCTGGCGGGGTCGTGGGCAAGAGCCGTTTACCCCCTCTCCTTGGTGGGGCAGTGGGGCCCTGGCCAGCCTGATGAGGGGATCTACTGGGCATATCCTCTGCGGCTCCTGCATCCTGGCTGTAATTCCTGGGACTCTGCGAGGTGTCGCTGCGTGGAGATCGGCCGGGCTCGCGGGGACTCGTGTCTTTGCCAGCGAGGACTGCCCACTGCCTGACCCAGGCTGGAGCATTGGATGATCCAGTGGCTGGAGGTTTGGGCTACAAAGAAATATAACAAATAATGCATGTTTAATGGCACTTTAAAAAAAAATTTGAGATATTCTTTGGTGCATGAGGTAACATACATGTACGATGTCCTTCATTGGTATGCATGCATATTTTTGTCGTTTCTCCTTGCCCGGCTTCAGCTTAACCTCAAGCCTTAGGCCCCTATATGAAGGATGTTCCAGTTCATTCAAGTTAATTGTTTCCCAAATCAACACCTCAGCCTTGACTGTAAGGCAGAAAGACGCCAGAGGTTTCTTTCATACTTCTGGAGCCAGAGAGGAGGCCTAAGCCAGTACCGAAGCTGAGTTTTGTGATACTGCATTCGATACAGGTTGTTGCCACTGATGTGTTTATAATAATAATAATAATAATAACAGGCATTTATATAGCACTTTTAAATGGGGTATCAAAAGGCTTTACAATTATTATTACCCCTTTTCAACAGGCAAACACTCCTGAAACCTTCTCAACTCCATGGGGAGCATACACAACCAACAGGCAGCCGTTTAGGCGCTTTTGGCTGTAATCAACCTCTCACAGTAACCAACTCTGCCCTCACAGGTACCCGGTACCCATCTACTCCCGACTGGAGAGAAGCAATGAGTGACAAAGCGCCTTGCTCAAGGGCACACGCACCATAATCCCGGGCAGGATTCAACCCACAACCTGCAGAATTACCCGCAGCCCACAAATTCAATGCTCCAGACCACTAGGCCTAAACAATTCACAGTCCCTATTTATCCAAAATTTAGACACTTAGCATGAGCAAACAACTATATGAATGAACTTGTTTGTTGATTACGCCATGGGTATTATCTTTATACGAAGATGAGAAACAAACCTGAAATGGCGGTTTTGCAGTTCCCTGTTCACTGGGCTTGCCATATTCCCGGTCCAAGTATTTGCCGACGTCCATCTCCTGGGTTTGGACCCTTTCCATGGTGACTGCTTCCTCTTGGATTTCTTCGTCCTCGATGTCCTTGTCCGTGTCCTCATCGCTGCCCTGCTTGGCATCCATGCTCGCCCCAACTCCGAACACCTCGTCAATTTTGGACCGTGCTTCCAAGACCTCTTTGGACTGGCTCTCGCTCTCGATGGTGTAGGTGCCAGACTCGCTCACATTGTCCCCGTTCTGGTCATTGTGGTGGTCGTCATTCTTGTGAGGGCCGTGCGAGGACTGGGACTTGACGGGGCCCGATTTGGAGGAGACGGGTTGCCTTGGCGACACGAGCGGTCGCATCTTCAACTGCTTTGCTGCATCCCCTTTACTGGTTTCTGCTTGGTGAACAAAGTAACGATCGGATTATTTTCTTTATTAACGTTTAAGTTGGTTAAGTTCATACAGCAAGAAAGCTACATAAATATAGTCTATATTTTAAAATAAGTTAGATACTATAAATATATTATTAACCCTCCTGCTGCTTAAAACGTCACAGATGGTCAAAATGTCCTTTCTCTCCCCCTGCTATACTTTTAACACAGGCTGGTCACCAATGGTCAGATATTGTGTGTGATTAGTACAACGGTAGGTTAAAATCGGTCAACCAGTTTTGACTCTTGGGACAGCCATTGAAAGGCACCACATGTTACTCATTATGCATGGGAGGATAGTTGCTGGGCTTTAGGATGTTGATTTCTGCTTTTTTTTTGGAGGTGGGTGTTCAGATAATTACGAATTTCCAATAACAATAATATGAATTTCAATTAGTTTTGCAATACAATGCTTTTTTGACCATTCCTGTAGCAAAATGGGACATCCCATTTTTATATTCAACAAACAATGGCAAAGTTTGTTGACTCAGGGATTGTAAACCAAGGCAGGGGGATGTTTTTATCAAGACACCATCAGTCACTTGCAACAAAAAGCTGTTTTGACTACATACCGGTAGATAATGTTCTAGTAAGTCAATACCAGCACCTTTCAAATCTTGAATGATTTTTTAAAAAGTCAATAGCAGTCAGCCAATATCCAGTACCAACCACTATTCAGTAGGTCATATAGCTGGTCAAATCATGCTCATGGTTAGATACTTCAGCAGTCACAACTGGTCAATAATACACTTCTATGCTCAGTTTTTCAATGGGTCACCAATGGTCTCTTGGCCGATTTTGACCCAAGTAATAGCAAGGTTCAAAATGCGCATTTCCATAGGAGGGTTAATGTAACAAAACCTCCACAAAACTTCAGTTACAGTACGGTATATATTTGAGAGAAGAAAACCTTAAGCCAAACAGGGAAGCACGTTGAGGTAACATCAGATATATTTTATGGGGTTGATCATAGTCATGATAGTTAAAACAATGTATGATTTGTACCTGAATTATTTGCCGTTCTGGAGTCTCCTGGGCCGGCCTTGCTGCCCTTTTTGCCACTGGACCACATGGTGTTGAGTTTCTGGACAGCTGAGGGTGACATCCGTGGAGACTAACATTAGGAAGAAACACAGAGTCAACGTTTATCACAATTTCACCAACTTCACACTGCCACCTACCGGTACAACATCTTCCGTTTTCATTAAGTAAAAGGTTTCTCCTTGACAAAAAAACTTGTGCAATTCATTTTGTTTAGTTGGGCAGGACCTGGACCATGACCTCGTCCCAACAAGTGCAGACGTTCCAGCAACTCAACAACAAAGATTCACAACATAGTGCCACACCATGCTTTTGCTCAACGAGGCTTCTTTTCCACTTCAAAGTAATATTCTCACACCTGTTTTTCCGTAAAATCCATAATTTTCCTTGAATGCTTACGTAAAGTGCCAGATCACTGAAAGTTGAAAAGAACGCACAGATCACCGCTTTTGATATGCATGTATGGTTCAGGAGCATCTACATGTAAGTAATGTCGAAAATCATCAAAGTAATGTCCAAGTTGGGGTAGTCAATAGCTCGGTGCTGTATAACACTACACTGACAAGAGCCAAATGTTTCTTTTATTAAACAAATTTACTATGGTACCTGATAGCTGTCTTGGTCATCAGTCACACTCTTCTTCATTCTCTCAGCCTTCATATCCTCTACCATCTTGCTGCTGCCTTCAAACTTACTCCTGACCCCCGCCGGCACAAACTCACTCAGGCTCTCGTTCATGGACAGCTTAGGGGCGTCCTCCTTGGCGTTGAACTCGATGGTGAAGCCCACGTGCTTCTCCGAGGCAGAGACCAGGGTGACCTCCGTGTGCTCGGGGGTCGAGGGTCGCTTGACGGGCGTGGTGGGGTGCAGGCCGGTGGCCTGGCGGGTGTACATGTGGATGGGGATGTCCCGGTCCCGTTCGGCTTCGTTCAGGGGAAGCCTGGTGGGACGCTCCAGGTGCTTGTGGCTGGGATGACTAGGAGATGCATGAGCATCTACGAGACAAGAATAAGAGACTCTTACATTGTAAATCTTCTGTAAAGTCAATGAATATTGTGTTCGACTTATGTGCCACGGTACGTGGGTTTGATCCCCGATGTGGAACTTGGTGCTTGTGTTCTTGGGCAAGACACTTTACTACAATGACCTCTCTCCACCCAGGAGTATAAATGGGTACCTGTGCGGGTAGATACTGGACTGCGCAGATGTCAATCTGCTGTAGAAAAATGGTCTCATGGCTTGATGAACAGGGCATGTAAAGTGCTATATAAGCACCACTTAACTATTTTTATTATTTACACCATTTTAAAAACCCTTATCCTCTTGCATGTTTTCTAGAAAAGTTCCTGAATGCTTCAAAGACCTCTGTTGTGCAGGAAATGGATGACACATTATTTGTGCCTAAAATCTCAAGTTGCATCAAGTAAGAACCAGCCTAAAGCTGTTGGCACCAGATACCTTTTCCATTGGCCGTGTGGTTCCCAGTCCTAGATTTCCGTCCGCCCTCCTCCATCTCATTCACAGGTCCCTCCCCCTTTACGACATCATCCTGTCCCCACCATGCTGGCTGGCCGTAGAGAGAGGATGGCTGGGAACTCACGGAAAACTCTAATAATAGTCACAAATAAATAAGCCAATACTCAATTGATAGTTGTCAGGGCTGTGTATACATATTGACCAAATAACAACACCAGTCTTTAACCCCTTAAGGACGGGAAGCGGTCATGGCCGCGGCCGCTAATCCTCATTGGAATGCAGTTGCCAGCTGTGGTATGCTGTGGCACACGGCTAGTGGGTAGTTCCACAGCTGCTGCTTTTGTGCAGTCCCGCTACCACACAAAGGCTGTGCAGTCATGCGGGCCACTTGCTCTATGTGTGGAGGAATGTCCCCATTACACCCAGTCCTCAAGGGGATAACAAAACAATCAACTTGTAAACATTTCAAAACATCTTTTCTACCTGTAACATTACTTTATGAGAGATATAAATGTGCCTGTAATACGCACACAACTAAGTGTGCAGAAAACAAAATTTCTAAAACTCAGTTCACTATCAGAAAAGTATACTTTAGGATTGAAACTGTATATATATTTTTTTTTCCGGGGGTGCTTTCAAAGCATGTGAATTCTTCATCCTGATTGGTCAGTCCATGGCAACAACCGTATGGTATTTTCATATATTGCCCAGTCTATAATACATGGCATGTATCACGGGGCAACTTTTTTTTATCCTTGCATGTGTAATGGAATATCAGCTGGAACGTGACTACAGCAATTTGCATTGTTACTGTGCATCAAGTTTGCATGAAGATAAACCACATGTAATGATCCACATTGCACTCCTGGAACAGAATGAGTGTGGCCTAGTGTTTGTGGCTCATGATAAGAGGGTTTTAGGGGTTTGAATCCAGCTGCTGACCATATGTTGTGTCCTTGGACAAGCCACTTCACCCTCACATGCCACTCTCCGCCCATGAGTATAAATGAGTACTGGCATTAGCTGGGGAGTAAGCTGCGATGGACTGGCATCCCATCCAGGGGGAATAGAAATATACTAAGTTGCCTCACACCACTGAAAATGCAGATAAGTGCCAGCCTGATGGGCCATATTGCTCATGACAGACTTTACTTCATTCCTGGAATTTTGAATGCTGAAGTGCGTCATCATCCCATTTGTCACTAAGCCTCCAGCCTTGTGGCACAGGGGACACAGACGTGCTACGTTCCGCATACGAAACATTGACACACAACATTATTCTGCATGTTCTATGTACCACTTGCACTCTTGGAATCACTAACATTACCTTGTTTGAGAGGCGTTGTCCTACCGTGTGACATCATTCTGTTCTCCACCGCTGTGGTTCTGGGCTCATACTGGGAATTGTGCTGTCGGCTGGGCTTGGTTGAGTAGCCCTGTGTTCCAAGTGACAAACAGAAAAAAGGACTCGATCAAATTTTGATGAACTGCGTTAATTCAGGGGCAGTCTACAAAAGACTGAAATGGATACAGTGTTGATACGTCATTTTCCAAGTCAGACAAATCTGAGAGATAAATTGGCAAATTAACAAATAATATGTATCATAGGTCGAGGGAGTCACCCCCGAGTTGGACTTGGATGGCTGAAGTATGTCCTGAAATCAGAGGATGTGAAAAGCTGAACATGACAAACATACAGGGGCGTACATGTACAGAATGCATATATACTGTTATCTAAAGGCCAGTTCATGTACGGTACTTCATGCGGATTTCAGTGCAAAGCGAATTCGTTAGGGTAATAGCAATCATCACAATGATACTTCAATAGACCGATCCATGAAGTCAAGTCATTAGCTATTCCAATGAACTGTTACAACAGCATTCCTTTGTCACTGCTCATCCTGTTACTTGTGACTGGACTTATGAAAGGACTTGTGACTGGACTTGTGACTGGACTTATGAAAGGACTTGTGACTGGACTTGTGACTGGACTTATGAAAGGACTTGTGACTGGACTTGTGACTGGACTTATGAAAGGACTTGTGACTGGACTTGTGACTGGACTTGTGACTGGACTTGTGACTGGACTTATGAAAGGACTTGTGACTGGACTTGTGACGGGACTTGTGACTGGACTTGTGATTGGACTTGTGACTGGACTTGTGACTGGACATGCGATGGACTTGTGACCGGACTTGTGACTGGACTTGTGACTGGACTTGTGAAAGGACTTGTGACTGGACTTGTGACCGGACTTGTGAAAGGACTTGTGACTGGACTTGTGACTGGACTTGTGACTGGACTTGTGACTGGACTTGTGACTGGACTTGTGACTGGACATGCGATGGACTTGTGACCGGACTTGTGACTGGACTTGTGACTGGACTTGTGAAAGGACTTGTGACTGGACTTGTGACTGGACTTGTGACTGGACTTGTGACTGGACTTGTGACTGGACTTGTGACTGGACATGCGATGGACTTGTGACCGGACTTGTGACTGGACTTGTGACTGGACTTGTGACTGGACTTGTGACTGGACTTGTGACTGGACTTGTGACTGGACTTGTGACCGGACTTGTGACTGGACTTGTGACTGGACTTGTGAAAGGACTAATGTGATGGACTGGACAACATGTACAACACTGACATGTACGGTACATGCACACCTCTCCAATGCCACAGTACATTATCCAGCACGCATGTCAGATTTTGGGGCATGCATGCAGGACATGCATACATAAATCATGGCTGTAATTGGTCAAAACACCATGTGGCGGGGCATAATGGATCAGTCAATTGCTGACGTCATGAAATTCGTTTTTGCTTCAGCTTTCGTGTGAAGTACAAATGAACCGGCCTTAACTGAACCTGTACATGATGTATCTCCCAGCACATGACATCACCGACCAGAACATGCACATACTTGCACATATAAAATGTAACATTGACATCAACTTTAGAAATTATTGAAAAAAAAAATTACGTGTACAATTTATAATTTCTCAAAGCAGTTAGCAGTACATCAATAATGAAAGCTGTTGTGCATCAAAATCAAATGTTCATGCAGGGGAAAGGATTTAAATTAGAAAGTAATAGTGATACATTCACTTCTGTTCTCTATTCTGGTACAATTTACTTCTCTATACGTGCACTCTACACACATAACCACTTACTTAACTCGAAACTAGAAGGAAAGAAACCCTCACGTAAACATGTACTACCATTATGTTGAATAACTAACTAAACAATGTAGATTTGTACATGTAATACAATACGATTCATGCACATGTACCATGTCATACAAGTACCCCCGATACATGATTATATACATGTACAATGTAAAAATACATACATTGTACATATTTACAGTACATGTGTATGCATACAAAACCATCAAGAAATGTATGTATGTATTTTTGCCATATGAATTAATTATTTTTCCCCGAGTTCTTTCTGGGTACCGGGGTACTTCTATTTTCACTTTTGTTATTTTGATACTTTCTTTCACATTGATTGGGAAAGTGATTTTCTTATTCTGAGGTCAAAGTACAAATGTCGAGTGCCTCTAGACAGCAATGATGAACGATGAAATATGATTCATGCCCAGGGGTATTCTGACGAGCAAACCTTTCACGCAGCAAAAATGTCCACGCCAATTAAACTTGTTTATTTAACTTTGCTTGTGGATGATGACAGTTCAAATAATACGTTGGTGTGTCAGAACACAACCTGAGCAAGACTGCACATGTGGGTCATTCTATAAATTCAGGGTCCAAAGTACTGCGACATTTTTTCCTGTCCCTGTTACCTCTGAACTTTGTAATTTGTCATTCAAGTAGCATTAAGGATGACTTCAAATCATTTTTTTAAATTTTTTTATTTGTTGGGTCAGTAGTTTGCAATTTATAATCACTCTTGGAGGAAAAAGGAATTAAGGAGTCCATCCAATAACAAATCCATTTATTGTACATGTCAGATAGGTCCTTGCTCTATGGTACATGTAACAGGGGACAGGAAAATGTGGACTCCAAAGTTAAAGAATGACCCATACAGGTACAGTATGTACATTGTACATGTACGTTGACAAAGATGAACATGAACACTACATGTAGAGCATTGCAAATAAATCTCTAATACATGCAAGAAGTTGAAGCAGCTGTTAAGGAGAATACACGAGAAAGTGTGGATTCGTAATTTAAGAATTCACGAGGCGCGAAGCGCCGAGTGAATTCGTAAATTAAGAATCCACACTTGCGAGTGTATTCTTTAACTTAAACCATTGCGTCAACAGAAGTATTGGAAAGAATGTTGCAACCTGACGCCACTTTTTTCTTCATATCATCTACATGTTAATGAAGGCCATTTGTTGCAAAAATGATGATAAGACATGAATCTGGGACTGAGAAATGTTTCACATTTTGTTAGGAAATACTTGAAATGACTCTCCATAGACTTCGTACACAAGCGCGGAAGTAGCGTCAGGTTGCAACATTTTTCCCTGACGTGTTTAGTTTATTGCCACACCCGTACAACCAAGCCATTTTGTGTGTATAGGCTCCTTACGCCAAAATGGATATTTCAGATTTCTTTCTGACCAAAAGTAGTTTTTTTTTGCAGTGACAGCGGCGAATGTGACAGTGAAGATGCATTGGTAATTTTTGGAAAACAAATTGTCACGTAGACGGTCCTATTCTAGTATTCAGGCTCGATCATTATGGCATTATGAAGAAATATTGTCCAACGTGTTCAAAGTGTGGATTCGTAATTCCGAATCCACACTTTACTAAAGATTCTTCGTTCCGAATCCACACTTAGTGACCAGTGTAAGAGATTCGTAGATCCGAATCCACACTCTTTAACAATAGTGTGACGTCATAGCAATGGTTTAATACAAAAGAATCATCTACAACTGTGCACTACACAGCACATTAAGTCAATTTACAATGGACAAAAGGCTGCATATGTTTACACTATAAACATTGTGCACAATGACATCCTAGCGAGGAATGACAGTAAGACACTGACAGTTTCTGAACATTTCAATCACAAGAGATGTGCACAGTCAAATTTACACTTGTGTGCACTAAACAATTACTGAAGGAATTTGTTATTGCAGCAAGTATGATATATGGTGGAATTCACTATTATCTGCACAGAGTCAATGGCACAATATACACATACACCATGTACACTGTACACTGTAAATTACACGGATATTAACTATGCTACCGGTACATTGTACCACCATCATGCCAATACACAAAGCTGTTTCCTAGGGTACTTTACTGGATGTACACTGCACCGATACATACAAGCACAGAGGACAAACCTCCTTCATTTCTTCGTCGTATTCATTTTCATCACCGCCATCTTTCGTCTCCTTTTCAATGCTATTCCCCGTGCCATCCATGATCTCCTTGAAAATGTTAAGTGCATGCGTGTAAAGAAACCCAGACATGCCAGATGAAAAAATCTAGTACACACGTACATGTACATGTACATCAATGTAAATGTATTAATACAAAAGAGTAATGCAAAAAAAAATAATGTGCGCCTTCACGAAACTCACAGTATGCAAACCCTAGCTTTCCAAACTTAAAAAAATCAAAATATATTCCTCGGTGAATCTCTTCATTTGGGGCCTACTTTATTTGCAATTCTTGTCTCATTCATAATGCACAAATTATTTGTACTGCTAAAAAAAAATCAATCTGTAGGGAATGATTCCCATATCTGGCCATCACTAATTTATTTTCCTTCAGTGACCTATCACAGTATCGGCCATCAGAAAGTGATTTGGCAGGGAAAATGTTGAAGTATTTACTGAGAAAACACTTAGAAATTTTCAGACCAGTCTCACAGGGTTTGTGCACAGGGTGAAAAGTGATGGCCAGACATGGGAATCTTTCAACCTGCATACATGTATATGTACGGTACCATGTTGAAAAAGCTGTATTTACACTGAAGTTGAGAAAAAATTAATCCAATGTGAAATAATAATTTAACATACAAAGTTACAGTCATATCATGTGACATTAAATACAATGTACATGTACATTTATGTTGTAGGCCAACACCCATTCAGAGATAATGATGTCATGCATTGAAGGGTTTCCAGCTGTCTACATTCATCATTCTGTCATATGGCAAATTACTGTACACTACCCACATGAATGCATCTCTGTCATCTATAAAATGTAAAATGTACAATGTACATGTACATGTACATGTATAACATCCCTGAACGTTCTCCATTTTATCTTCCTGCAGTATAACAAATGAGGGCATATGTGGCATAAAGTCTTGGAATGTGCCAGTTCAGTATTCCAACTGTGCATGTACATGTATGCACATCAAGATTTGACAATTTATCCTTTCCGGATATACAAAATCACAGCGGGCACTGGTCATCAAAAAAGTACAATAAGCACACAATTTCAAAAAGTTTGGAAAGTGAAGTTTTGTATGCCCAATTCTTGGGCGAACGAAAGTTTCCATCGTCGCTTTAATTGCTTTAATTGCATGAAAAAACTGCAGAATTGATTACCCATGCCTCATAGACTTGTGTGTATTTATCCGCCGCGTTTGTCCCTAAGTAAAAATTTTCAAATTGTGCAGTTGGAATATCATGTTCGCGTACATACATCAGGCATAAATTTCTCTTGGCATGCACAAATGTAGATGCTTTGTAGTTTTCCACCTCTTTCAGTACACAAGACACTAGTCTTGCTTCTATTAAATCTGCAATTTCCTTTAACAAGGGCAATTACACTAGCAGACTAATGACATGCACTCCTCGATAATGAAAATCCACTGGCCTGCATCCGACAACCATCAAACGGCATTAGAGGAAAAAACAGCTTCCAGTGAGAGGCTACCAGCATATAACTTAAAACAGAAATCTGATGGGAATTCCTACCACCACATCTTCATTGAGGTGGATAGACACAAAGGACATACACAGGATTACTAAATAAGAGGATGTACGTGTCTGGGCCTCCACTAACTATTTTAAGTAGAAAATCCAACATGTACCATGCATTAATATGTGTTACATACATCTAATTGTCATGTACATGTACTGGTATTTCCTGTTCCTGGGCTAAAACAAATATTTGTTTTGTCTGCTAAGGAGAAAGTCAATGTATGTAACAATTTTTGGAATGGAATAGACTTCATCTAAAAATGATTTACTTCCAAAAGTTTCTTGGGTATAATTGTACCCAACAAGTACCTAAAAGGCAGAGTTCCAATTACATGCATGTAAATGTACTTGTCAAATGTGCCTGTACATACATGTAATAATATGACATGTATTTCCATACATGTCGCACGTAGTATGTACAACAAAACATGCATACATACTGGTACATGTACTGGTACATGTACAGTTAGTTATAAAAAGAGAAATTAGATACTATGGAGCACCAAATAATAATAAAAGGCGAGTTGAAGTGCTCATTTTCACTTTGATACATGTAGGTTTTCAAAATGGTGCACCAAAGTGTCATTGTACATGTACATTGGACAACAATTTGACCTTTTGGTCGCGAGATAATACAATTTTAAAAAGATAATAAAATTGTTCTCAATGTTGGGGAAATTATTTTTTTAATCGGCATGGGCAGAGCATCATGCTTACATGTCCCGGTAGTTATGTCTGGTGAGACTGCTGCTCATATGCCTGCTCATTTTATCTTCGGTGCCTTTACAAATTTGAAGATACATGTACTTGAAGCTACGGTAGGAACCACTGTATGTATGTGTCTTAATATCCTAATTTTTCCTTCTTAAAGCTCATGTACAGTCCATCATTTGCAGCTATCCAAAAAGTAACTGATGTAATTATTGTTGAAAAGCATACTTGGTTGAAAGACAGTAAGAGGACTAAACTCCCTGTGAAATTATTCTTTCTGGCATGCTAGCATTTTGAATAAATAACGAATGAAGGCCTTTCCAACGATGTGTCTAAAGACGCATCGTAGGAAATTTCTGTTAGTAGTTCGTTTTTTTATTCGGCGAAGCACGTGCAAGCCTTGACACGACGCACATGCATGCGGTTGCTTTAATTTGTCGGATCAGTGCGCGACATCGCGTAGCTGCAATCAGCTCAGTGAGAACGTGTCTCGGACGCTGAATTCAGGCCCAATTCAAAACATGATTCAGCAACTTTTGATTTGAAATCCAGATCCTAGAATGTTGTTTTTCTCGGAATATACAACTGAAGTTGTATATTCATGCTCAGCATCCTTCTTTAGATTTTGAGCAAGTTTGTTGCTTCAAACAAGCAAAATGAACAAATTACAAATGATGGACTGTACCTTTAAAACTAAACAATCACAAATGTACATGTATTTTACATTAACTAAACAAACTAACTTACCAGTTTGTTGATTCCGTCTTCGGCTTTGAATTGTCTGACGCTGCTGGGGTCCACCTCGTCAAAACGATAAGTCACGGGATGTGGCAAAGTTGGTCAAGGAAAAACCCCCCAAAATTAGAATGACCCAACTATTAAACTGAAACTACATCTCAGGCTTGGAAGCTGATACACTTGTGATTTTCCAAGACATTCTTCATGTTCTCATTACGACCAGTTAGCATAGATGACTAGTCCTCTGTGCACACTGTTGCCCATAATGAATCTGCACTGCATCTACAGCCATTCAGTCTTACTAATTGTATGCGAACTGCATGAACAGTACACCTATGTATGGTGGCAACACATGCAAAACATAACTACCCTGGCAGCTGTGTGTACAGAAATGTGGCATGAGAAAAACTTGATCTTTTGAAAACACTCAGTAATTCACACAGACCGTCGACAGAAAGTTTACTGCATGTGCATTTAGGGACACAATTCTACCAGGCTTTTATATTCTTTCTCTTCGTTTCACCTCACCCACTTTACAAGGACAATATTGCATTCAGGCCCAGAGTGACAATGGTTGGCTGAGGGTTGGAACAAAGCCTCCTTTAGGCCACTTTTCTTGTTCTATTCACGAAATGAAAACACGCTGCTGGCCTTCCAGTATGGGGTAACATCATAATAAAGTATAAATGTGGGACTGACGGCAAGTGTAATTCTATACCGGGAAAAACTACCTCCGTAGACCAAGAAAAAAAATCTGTGACTGTGTTTCAGGTTACCCCAGCCTACGTAGAAAATAATGCAGAACCTCAATCTTTCTAATAAATGAAGAAAAATATTATAGTGCCAACCACATCCTAGTTTTTGTGGACATTGCCCTCAATTTTTTGAAATAATTTTTAAAATTTTCTGTAAGTTGGTCGGCAGTGCGGTCTTGCCGAGCTGTGCAGTGATGCCTAAAATCAGCACAATAAACACAGAATAATAATGTTAACTATTATGAATGCATGGGGGAAAAAAACACAAATTAATAACGATTAACTTTTAACAAAGGCTAGTCACCAGGGTTACACCTCTATGTTCCGACACCCCTATGTTCCGACTGCACATATTCCTATTCCTAACCCTAACCCTAACCGGGAGTAACACAATCTAGGTTGTCGGAACATAGGGGTGTCGGAACATAGAGCAGTCACTGTCACCAGCAGTCAGATCATTTGTCCAGCGAGCACTGTGTCTAGTCAAACTGGGTCAACAGACAAAGCAGGCAAGTTGTGGTCACAGCTGTTTTATCACTCACCAGGAGTCAAAGCATAGCTGCATCGAGTTACTTAATCAGTCAAAGACAGTCAATCCTGCTTTTATGTGTGCTTGGAATTCTTAAGGGTTGACAGTCACTTGATTGATTTTGACTGCAAAGACAACTTGGCACATAATGTATGTTTGCATAGGAGGGTTAATCGACCAGTACCCTATCCTATTTTTTTCTGGCTACATGTATGCATACAAATTCAGAGCAATTTTTTTTTTACCCACACACCTTTTTTTCTCAATGTTACATTAGGAAACACAACATAATTTTTCTTGGACCATTCAAAGATGCCTGGGAGCTGTACTTATGTTATAATAGAAACATCATGGAATAGAGCTTTGGAAGCTGCGACTGATTTGGTTGAATTACGCTTTATTCTGACAGGCACGAATGTTGACATGAAATATATGCCGAACACAAATCAAAGGCATTTCTCAAGAAGTATACACTTTATGTCGCTATGAATCAAGACAGTTTTTCCATTTAATTGGCAGGCTCTGTGCAATGGATGGAAACATTTCGTGTTAACCAGGTCTGCTGCAATAGTACATGTACTTTTACAACAGTGACCCACAAAATACTGATGTTAGTTTTGGAAGTTTTAAAGCAAATATAAGTCAGGATGTGTATGTATGCCACAATTGTTGTTTTTCTGTTTTTGTTTCCTCAAAATGGAGGTTAAGTACTCTTTTTTGCCTTAAAAGTGATGCCATGGCAAGGCGAAAGTTAAACGTATTTCAACCGGGGCAAATGTTGCTCTAAACGTTTTGTGAGTTCATACTCACTTCATAGTTTTACCTTTAAAGGGACTATACAACATTTGCAAACATCGAAAAATAAAACTACCAAGTTTTTACGAAATACCTTACTAGGATGTTGGTAAATGACAGTCTCAAGCATCTTGTAAAATTATGGCACCTAGTGTCAAGTCATTTTCAAGAAAATGGTATTTTTGTAAACATTTCCAACGGTGGTCGGCCGACCAGCGTTGGAAAAACCTAACTATTTTTCAACTACTGCTCCAAATTTACCATTTTTTCAGTCCAAATGTTGTTTGCTATTGGTTACATGTTCATAAACGGGTGCAGGCCAGCTAGACTGGTTCCCTTGCCTTACAATTTTCCATCATCTATAAATTGATCTATTTTATCTTTTGTGGAGTCAGGGAACCAGACTACTTGAACATTTTTGTTTTTCTTGGTTTTTCCAACCTTTTCGAACATCAAACTTAAAAAATGTCAGTGTAACAATATTTGATCTATTATACTAACCTCTCAAATAATTCATTTCTGAAAATTACAGCAAAAGCCAATGATGTGTACATTCCCTTTAAAGTACAATTACAAATACACCTCAAGCTTTTTCAAAAGGATATCATATCCAAACCTAATGGAGTCCCCGCGCTGTAGACTGATGTAGGTTGAATCAGGTATTCTTGTGTCGTTAACAAATGTCTGCAATTGCACGGAGAAAAGAAACCAGAAATAAAGACTGCCATCTTGAAAATGGAAAAAAAAAGGCCAATCAAAATTATCCAAAATCTGTTCCTCGGGAATACACCGTCTTTATTTGCTCAGGCAGTTAAGGGCGGCACAGCGAGTAATAGGCAGGGCGGTGTGGGGCAGTACAGAGCCTAGTAAGGTAATGGACACCATTAACAAAAAAACTATATTTTGGCCGATTCAAGGAACAACAATACAAAAAATCTGAAGCAGATTATTATATAAAAACGTAACCTGTCAAAATTTCAGCTCAGTAGATATACTTTTTGAGAAAAATGTGAAAATTCATAGATCTTCAATTTTTCTTGACACAAAGCAAGGTTTTCCTTTTTTTTCTCGCGATGGTTTGGTCCTAACCATCACAAGAAAATGACGGTACAGTAATTCCTCTTTTCTTGAAAATGAGAAATTACTAGGCGCACTGATTTCAAAGGATGCTTGATCCCATTAGTTTCTTACTATCAAGTAGGATATTTCATAAACTTTTGGCAATCCATTTTCTCAAATGTTATCTCATTACGTATAGCCCTAACAGTCCTGAATCCTCCAAATTCAATACGATTTTGCACACCCCCTAGGGAGTTAGGGTAAAAAAAACCTATGAAAACAAAATTTCTAATTTTGGATTTAATATTCCACGACTCACCCCGTTCAATGTTTCCATGTCCTTGATGCAGAAGGCATCGTCGCTTCTGTCAAAGTTGATGACCGAGTGTCGTTTGTCAACGCTCCGAGACTAATAAAACAAACAAAAAGAAAGGACTGACATTATTTTAATAACTCAAAGCTAGGCGACAACCTTTCTCAATGGTCATACAACCAATGCACAGAATCAGGCATTTCCATGTTACTTTTAATCTTCAAGGTTTGATTATTTACATTGCTAATCCTAATACATTTATAGCTGCCCCCCCCCCCATAAAAAGGGGGGGAAAGGGGCAAAGACACAAATGTTCCATTATTGACCCTAATTCCACTATCTTTTACTAAGTACTGGACCAAGTCCGCCAAAATCCATCAATCACACTGCTTCCGATACACGCTTTGCTTAAAGCCCGGTTCATACTCGGCGTGAAAGCGAAAGCAAACCCAAATTTGTGATGTCATGGAGAGTATTCGCGATGTGAATTCGTAAAAGTTGAACACATTTCAACTCGGGTGAATTTCGCAGCGAATGTTTCATGACGTCAAATTCGCTTCGCATTCGCTTTCGCATGAAGTATGAACCGGGCTTTAGGCCTGCAGAGCCAAGTCCATCATACTCCATCAATCTTTAGTCACACCAGGCCTGCAAGACTAAGTTCCCCAAAATACACCAAAATGGGAAGGGGGAGGGGGTTGGATTTTGATGGCATTGGGGAGGTTAGGGTTGGTTGAAGGTACCGGTACATGCACACACATACATACATGTTACAAAGGTATTAAGTACATGTAGGCCTATCATTTGCTTTTTGTGCATTTTTTTGTTTGAAGCAACAATTTTTTTACAAATTTGCCAAAAAAACTCACCTCATGTGCATACTACAACGTATACATTCAGTTCAACTTAAAAAAAAGTATGCTCACTTTTTTTGGTCTCGTAACTGGATTCTGTTGCTAACACCTACCGTACATGAAAATTGTATTTGTGAAGTCTCTTTTTTAAATTTGTCATGGGCGTGACGGGAACCTGGGAGTATCTTTATTAACATTTAAAGCTAGACATCCCTCTATTAGTTGAGATATGATGACACAACCCTTAGTCAAATTGTACCGAGACCAGCTGGCAGTTCCTCATTAAAATTCCTGCACAGTGTCTCCTCAATATGTCATCACAAGCCACAATTGAGCAGTTTCAATGTACTGGTAGGCCCTACTGTTGAAAAACTCTTCATCACGACAACTTAGAGTTGTACACAGTTGTTGAGGGGGTAATTCCAGCGTCACGAACATTACAAATCAACAATTTCTTTTTGTTTTAACCTTTAGGCATGTTAGGAGCTCAGTGAATTTACCTGAAAAATGTAATGGTCAAGGAGATTACAGACTAGGATCATAGGCCAACAAGCTGGCAAAAATGGATCATTTCTCTGAATCATTAATTAGATATCATGCTTAAGGCTATAGTCCATCATTTGCAGCTATCCGAAAAGTAACTGGCGTAATTATTGTTGAAAGACATACTTGGTTGAAAGATAGTAAGAGGATTAAACTCCCTGTGAAATTAGTCTTTCTGGCAAGCAGTCATTTTGAAGTAATCAACGAAAGAAGGCCTTTCCAACGGTGCTTCTTAAGACGCACTGTAGGAAATTTAAATTAGTAGTTCATTTTGTTATTCGGCGAAGTGCGCGCAAGCATTGGCACGACGCACACGCACGCGCGGTTGCTATAATTCGTCGGATCAGTGCGCGACATCGCCTAGCTGCAATCGGCTCTGTGAGAACGTGTCTCGGACACTATATTCAGGCCCAATTCAAAACATGATTCAGCAACTTTTGATTTGAAATTGAGATCCTAGAATGCTGTTTTTCTTGGAATATACAGCTGAAGCTGAGCTGAAACTTCATCAGGTTAGTTGTTCAGTACCCTTCTTTAGATTTTGAACACTTTTGTTGCTTCAAATGAACAAAATGCACAAATTACAAATGATGGACTATATCTTTAATTGCATGGCTCTGTCACATACATGTACATTACAAAATTTTTGATACACCCTGTACACACCACTATAAACAAGCATTTTCTTAGCATACCGGTACAGGCGTATCTTATGAGAAATTTTTCCCCATAGAACTTTGCATTCATGACTGCACAATTGTGAATGCTTACAAAGACTCACCGTTATATTGATCTCGCAGTTGTCTCGTCCGACAAAGATCATGGACTGAGGCAATATGTGAACGGCCCCTGTATTACCCACAAGACACCACGTCATGGCAGGCAGGCAGATCTCCCTACGCACGTATCAGCACATGTAGCACACACACAACGCACACCCGCCCTGGGCGTCAACAGGAAACAAATCACATCAAGGCCAAGGCTTATATAAAGGTCAACTTGGGTCATCTAGGGTCGCGGGGGCAAGAGGCTGGACGAACTTGCTAGATCTGTAATCATGAAAAACAAATAATGATGCCACAATATTGGTACAAAAAATGAGTATGGGTTTGACATGTGCATCATTGACATGTATGCAGGATCTTCCAATCTCTGTGAAATTTTCATATTGCAAACTTGCACTAGTTTGTAGTACAGTACACGTAGGCCTATACTGCACATATTTTCAAAGTATCTGTACATGAATTTACAGCAACCAAAATTCGCGACAGCCGATATTTTCAAGCTCAAATGTTAGCAAGTTAATGTGATATAATTGGGTAGAGCTCCAAAGAGGCAATATTGCACAATTCTTAATTCATTTTATGTAAGAATCTTTAACCCTCTTGCTATCTGAACAGTCACATACAGTCAAAAAATAATCCTCTTCCCCGGCCATGCCTTTTACACAGGCTAATTACCAACAGTCAGATCAGTTTTCAAGCAAGCACTGTGACTAATCAAATTCAGTCAACAGACACTTGAAAGCAAGCAAGTGGTAGGCACAGCTGGCTTATCAATCACCTACAGTCAAAGCATACCGGCACCTAGTCCGAGTAACTTGGACCCAACTTATCGCCTTTTTTAACATTTGGCCATGGTCTGGCGATAGTAAGGTCCAAGCTAATACCGCCAGCTGGACAACACCGTCCCAAAAACCAACATTTTCCAACAAAAAACATCAGATTTCACCTTCAAAACGGCCTCCAAATTACTAGATATGCCACCTGAGGTACAAGTAGACATCGATGATTAAGATGGTTGTACTGAAGTTAACTTACGATCCGGAAAAAAGTGAAATTTTCCGTTCATTTCGGAGAGCTCCCCTCGCGATCTTGAACACGTTAAATTTCCGATCGTGTTTAATGTTTGAACGACGCGATTTCTTCTTCATGCCCAGCATACATTCGATGGTCCCCGTATCCCGAGTGCGATTCCGTTACCGAGCGCGCACGATGCATCGATTATGATAATGAGTCACGTTTGTAAACACATACATGTGCATTTCGAACTGTAAAAGGGAATCGGGAACCAGCTTGAACTGGTATCCGCCATAAAAGCTGCGCTAGTTCCTGACTCCCTATTATCGTTTGAAATGCACATGTGTTTACAAACGTGATCCAGTCTACTCATTATCATAATAGATGCATCGCGCGCACTCGGTAACGGAATCACACTCGGGATACGGGGACCATCGAATGTACGCTGGGCATGAAGAAGAAATCACGTCGTTCAAACATTAAACACGATCGGAAATTTAACGTGTTCAAGATCGCGAGGGGAGCTCTCCAAAATGAACGGAAAATTTCACTTTTTTCCGGATCGTAAGTTAACTTCAGTACAACCATCTTAATCATCGATGTCTACGTGTACCTCAGGTGGCATATCTAGTAATTTGGAGGCCGTTTTGAAGGTGAAATCTGATAGTTTTTGTTGGAAAATGTTGGTTTTTGGGACGGTGTTGTCCAGCTCGCAGTATTAGCTTGGACCTTACTATCGCCAGACCATGGCCAAATGTTAAAAAAGGCGATAAGTTGGGTCCAAGTTACTCGGACTAACCGGCACCTAAGTTACATAAACAGTCGCAGCCAGTCAATCCTGCTTTTTGTGGGCTGAGAGCTTTTAACTGTTGAAAACAGTCACTTGATTGATTTCGGCAGCAAGGACAACTTAACACAGAATGTACGTTTGTGTAGGAGGGTTAATATGGTTAAGAATCTATGGGATTTGTGACACTCATACAGCATGTGATATTTCGTTATCGGTACCCAGCAGAACATGTACCGGTACATGTACATGTACATGTACAACCCAAGAGAATGAAGACACTCAGATTTAATTATAAATTCTGGATTCTAAATGCAGGCTTACTGTTCTGGTACATACATCATATGGTAGCTGCTAACAATTCAGAAATGGCATATGGCCGTGATTGCCCGTGGACCACAAATTTGACAGTCGACACATCTGAAATACAATGTACATACCCGTATTTACACAATACATTCCGGTACAATTGTTGGTGACAAAACATCCAATTTTGTATTATTACTGGCTCGTTCAACCATGAACATTTGATACGCTTCAGATCCGTTTACTGTAGCAGATATTTGGTACAACAGTATACCTACATAATGCCTGCAATTGCAAAGTCTAAGGCATGAAGGGCGTACTTTGTGTTCCTGCATAGTGCATGGAGGATACTTTGTAATTCCTCAATGGCACCTGTATACACTACAGTATGGCAAATTATGTTATTGTACACTGCTTTGAACATGTTGAAGGCAAAACATTTTTACCTAAAATAACCTCTTTCATAACCCCTTTCAGGTTTTATTAGCACCGAACAATCAGGTAAAAAAGGGGCTTTTGTTGCTGAAGTTACCCACTGCTGGACATTAATTGTTAGATTCAGGGGAGTTTAATTGACACCAAGCAATGGCCATCCACCACAGATCCCAAAACTTACCCAGCTACATGTGTACATGTATGTACCAAGGTTGGAGGCTTTCAAAGAGGTTTGCACATGTACTCACGCTCTATACACTCCAATAAAAACATTATTGAGCAATCCCCTCTTTTGTTGAACCTTGCATACAAGACTTGAGAGTTTACTCAGCGCAACCTTGATCTGTTTGCAATAAAGTCAGCTAACGAAAGAAACTGTTAAATTTGGTGACCTTCAAATAGCAGCCTGCATTCACAACAAGATACCGTTACTATCTGCAGGTACCAGTACACCTACACAATGAATACAATGATTTCACAATATTGACATCGGACCTACAGGTATTTCCATACATGTACGGTACATGTATGTACATGTAGGTACACGTACATTGTATCATATTCAGAGAAAGCCTGCTGATTCCACATAGAGCGACTCACAATATTACAACCGCGCATTTGAAGAGATTAGTGTAATTTCTGTGACATCAACTCTTGTATGCAAGGTTCAACAAAAGAGGGGATTGCTCAATAATGTTTTTATTGGAGTGTATAGAGCGTGAGTACATACAAACCTCTTTGAAAGCCTCCAGCCTTGGTACATGTACACATGCCTCACCACCATTATGAGCTGATGTATAACTACATGTACATGTATAAATTTCCAGTCCACCCATATACCGGTACAAAATGTACATGTACATAAGTTTACATACATATACTGTACATGAACCGGCCTGCACGTCTAGATGTCACCTGCGGTTGCTGTATGCATCACTACATGTACCAGGCATGCAAATGGGAATTTAGAAAAAACAAGGAAACTCCAAACCACGAAAGACTGTAGTATCGGTATAATCAATTTTAATGGCATTCATGAGAAGTACAAAACGAGGAAATCAGCAGATCTGAGGAAAAGTTGCATGCCTGATGTACGGTATGTAATCATACTGCATATGTATACACACTGCAATCTGGCCATGTTCAGACACCGTTTTAGCTAAAACGGTAAAATTTAAAATAGTCGCTCACCACGGGAGGCCCGTCCTCTGTTTAAAAGCTCCAGTCTGGCAGTGCAATTCACAACCCAGTACCTGCTACAGTAAGAACTACAGTATGCATGTACAATGTACCTGTGTACATGGTCCCGTAACTGCTTAGACTTACAGTTCAAGTCCCGCACAGTGCGCCCTCATCAACCACTCAAGTCATGAAGTGAACCTGCCAGTCCCACACCGCAACGTCCGAACCATTATCACATCCAATATGATATGAAATCCCTCAACCAATGAACCAAACACACTTACTGGTACACACATTATGCGATGGACACCTGGGATACACGTAATGAAGGTATTTCCTAGCCAGCCACGCAAGCTGAAATGACTCACATTGATGGGATGAGTCATCGGTTCAGACATGTAGGGCCATTAGGTACTATTTTAATTGCAAGGTCCCTCATGTGCGTAAGCCTGCAGCTCCATCTACCATTGGCTACATGTGTGGATTCTGTGTAATGGATCAATGGATCACGACAACAACAGACACACTACAATAGCTGGTCATACTTGACAATCACACGCACATGTAAATTATGTAAACATAACAATGTAAAATTCCTGAGCGCAATACAAGGTGTGTGTTGACGCACAAATACTAAAACGTGCCAACTGTACAATTTCTGAAATAAATATGCCTACTGCACAATACATACAGATCATACAAAGTTCACAATGTACATATGTACACGTACGTATGTACACAAGGATGTTCTGAAAAATAACTTACATCAAAAGTTTCAGGATTACATACATATGTATTGTTTTGTGAGGTTTTTGTTCGAATCCTACGTATAGGGTGCATCTCCCTACATGTACTGTTACATGTATTGAAGTTTCAGCTCGGACACCGCAGAAAAAGAAAGTCCACACTCATTGGAGGGGTCACAATTTTGAATCTGATCGTCTTATGATAGCATCATTTATACAGACCTTTGGGGAATGTTGTTCGTTACATTTTGATACTCCATTTGCTACCAAAGACTGTTAAATAGTCCAACACTGACAACAGTTTATGAAAAATGATGCAGTTTGAAAAGTTGCAAAGTTACATGCGAGTCGAGTAGAAATAGCTGCGTGACAATTGCAGTCGATGGGGCCAATGAATTACAGGAATGTATGTTTGCCCTTACCAAGCTCTCCACACATTTTTTTTCGAAGGCTTGTGTAACCTATCAAGAATCAGCCTTGCACTGTTTCATGATCTGGAGGAAGCTGCTCTAATTGATGTCGCACCTGCAACTTTCGAGTTTCGACCTCGCCATTCGTCTCTGCCCTGGTTTGACGCTGAGGTGTTGCAAGCCATCAAAGAGAAGGAGAGAACTTTCAGAAAGAAGCGTGCTGATCCTTCTGATATAAATATAACTGCTTTCAAGTTAGCAAGATCAACATTCAAGCAGCTCTCTCGAAAGCAATATGCTGAATACCTGAAGTCATTAGCTGGACTCTTGCATGTTGGGAAGAAACCCAAAACGGTTCTGGAGTTTCGTGAAGGCCAGATCTAGAAAACACTCACTGCCGTCAGTTCTACGAAATGAAACATCGGGCACAAATGCGACTGACTCCACTAGCAAAGCAACTCTTCTGATGGATATTTCCAAACTATTTACACCCAACATTCTGATGACACCAATCTGAACTTACCAGAAGTACCGGTATGGCTATGAAGCACGGACCTTTAAAACCATTGACATCAACAGGCTGAAGGGGTTCGAGATGAAGTGCAACAGGCGGGAGTTAAGGATGATAGCTGTGCGGCTCACAGAATGAATGGAAAGGGCAACAGAGAGAGTGCTAGTGGCAACTCTCCAAAGACAGAAGCTGCACAGTAGTTCGGCCACCTCACCAGGGCTCAGAACCTCTACACCCATGTCTTCGAGGGTAGGCATGGTACCTAGAACTGACGGAAGGCTGGCCAGAGGAAGGCAGAGGAGAAGATGGGGTGATGACATCAAAGACTGGACAGGAAAGCTGCTAGCACTAGCAGAGTGCACAGTTACAGCACGGGACAGAGGCAGGTGGTGAAGGCAGGTGTGGCAGATTGTGGTACCTGACCCTCAATCACGAGGATTGGAACAGTCAGGCAGGTCATGTTACTACAGTCAGTGTTTCCCCTGGCTAATGAACTGAGCCAGGTGGTAAAAATTCAAATTGATGATTGAAACAAAATTTACGCAGTCTGCAAACTGAAAAGAATGCAGCGCTCACAAAAAAATGCGTGATGATGCCATATCTACACATCCAAATTGTGAGTTCTTGATACATAGAGTCTAGAGATTAAGGAAAAGGCTCATAAATTACACAAAATGAAAATTTTTTGATTAGAATTTCCTTTATTGCAAATCTTCACAGCGAGGTGGTGATATTGGCAAAAATTGAGCGAGGTGGTCACTGAAAGTAGCGAGGTGGGCCGCCTCACGTTTGAATGGGCAGGGGAAACACTGACTACAGTTAAGATCTCACTCTCTCAGTTACACTAGGCAGTGCTGGTTTTCCTTATCTGGTCAAATTCTCCCCTTTACCATTTTTGGGGGTATATTCGTCCTGAGGCAGAATCCGACCAATCATTGCTGAGCAAGCACCTTGAGGACTTACGACAAGGGTTGATGCTATGGTGCTAACATAGTACCGTAGGTACATAATGTACATGATCATGTCATAACTGATATGGCAAAGATCAATTACACTAGACACAGTGCCACTTTTCCTTATCTGGTCGAATACTTCCTTTTTTACCCTATTGACAATATAGGGTAACAGTGATAGTGATAGGGGTATTCGGGTACATGTTCCGAGTGTGGCCTTTATTTACGGTGGTAGTCCAGTAAATTGGCCACATTAATGGGGCTAAAAAGTGGAGTTAGGAAAATCTCCAAGCTCCATGCCTGGCTCGGCCCGAGTACAAACAGACAAAATTGAAGTTACAAAAACTAACAATCAACACAACAGGTAGCAATATAACACCAGTTTTAATATTTTGGTAAATATGGTTGAATTAGTTAAAGCTCTGGACGGGAGAAAGACAATGGTGCAAAAATAAATGCCATACGAGCTTCCCTTCAGGAGTTACATGTATGCTCTCCCAAAGACACCGTAACAACAGTGTTCGCCTTTTGCGGATGTTGAAGAAACCACTTTTTTTTGCATTGGTGATTGGTCACCGCTGTTCCAGAGACACACAATGTGTATATCGTACACTGAGAATGACACAAAAAATGTATTCCTACTCCGTCATGTCCGATGTAAACAAGCAGGTTTTTTTTTGTCTTTTCTCGGGAACGGTAAGACATTAGGTTGGTTTCCTTTCAACCAGATGTTTGAAATAGGCTAAGTAAACAATCCAAAACATGAAATTTTTGGGGATTTCAGGACCTAGTGCCCCTTTAATTGAAATAAGGAATCCATGAAAATTACAACTTCGCCTTTCACTCGTGTTGTGAGAACGACAATATGCACGTCTGACTGCAAAAAAAGGTAGGACTAGGAAAGTCACATTTTCTTTGAAAGTGCTTTCAAAAATTACAACTAACATGAGCTTATATGAAGACAAAAAAACTGCTTTAGCCTGCAAAAGTCACTTTGGTACTGGACAGTCATCTGCAAAGGTCAGTTTTGAACAGAACTCGTAAAAAATAGAGGTGTCCTAAAGATAAGGATTACCCATGCCTAGGACTAGGTTGAACTAGCCCAGGTGGACTCCCTTTCCTCCCTACGTTACGGAGGGAGTCCAGGGTATGAAGTGCTTAAAAACGGGCGAAAAAAATTATGACCAATATTTTCAATATTTTTACCTTGTTGGAGAAGCTAATTTTTACGTCTTAGTATTCTATGTGTCCTTATCTATTGGGCCGCTGGGTTCAGGAATTCTATATGCGATGCTGACCGACCTTAATCAGGAAAATAAACTCTAAAGCAACGTTAAACTTGTACGTTTTTGTAGACTCGTTTCATCAGTTTCTCACACGTACAATGACCGAGTTTGTGCAACGTGAACGCGCAGTGCGCACGCGCGATTTGCTTAGTAACCACCCTCATACGCATGCGCACTAACTTGAAGGCGCAGTTGCTTATCCAATGACCGAGCATGTTTTCGCGCCAGTTACCAGAAATTGGTCATTGGTTGAGCGTTTTCGTGACGTCGGTTGGCTGGAGTGACGTCACTGTTCCAACCAAAACTAAACAAAGGAGGGCGCTAGCGTGCGTGCGTGCTTTCGACGCACGTACATGGGGACGTACGACTCGGTGATAAACTGATGAAAAGAGACTACAAAAACGTACAAGTTTAACGTTGCTTTACCCCTTTAGAGTTTATTTTCCTGATTAACGTCGGTCAGCATCACATATGCTATGGAATTCCTGAACCCCCCGGATCAATAGATAAGGACACAGTCACAGAAAATGTAGGCGTGAAATAAGCTTCTGTAACGAGGTAAAACGGTAGCTTCCTTCAAGTTCAACCGTCCATGTCAACATCATGTTCAACCTTAGCCCAGGTTGGACGAAGTCTTCATTGCATGCATTACGACTGACGTCCAGGATGAGAATTCTCTACGGATACCACCCAAAATTTTGACCATATTTCCGGTATAAATTTACTCACTAAAAAGCCCCTAATGTTCGTAGTAGTGATATCAAATACACAGTGACGTGATACATGGAAGCATAGACAATATTAAAACGCACAGACGGTGTTTACATGTAAAAAGCGAATAAATATCGGAAAACAATCTCCTTACCTGTCGACCGCATAAATCCGAGTTTATGGAATGAGTTGGGGTGGCTCACAAGAGGGCGGTATACATGTATTTCAGACAGTTCGCTGGTCGCGATCCCAGATCGGGTGCTGTCTGTTGATTGTTGTACGCGCGCGATAATAGGATGCAAAGAAATATGATAAATAGAGTCACACTTGAAATAAGTCTACTTGCAAATCCGCGTAGGTCGTGGTTGCAAATTACGGCTTTGTTTCAGCCGCGGTTGTGTAACTTGCTCCACATTCATATCTAATGGCCTAAATTCAATCAAATGGAATGCACTGGACTTTGTTCTTAAATCATAAGATGTAGTGCTTATGAAACAGAAAATAGAGCTACATTGAGCCTATTTTCCCCACGTCTAGGGGCCTAAATTCTCCTGAAGTCACAGTGGACCAAAACCGGGTTTGGAAACCCCCTTTTTGTAAATAAAATCACGTGCAGCGCCTGTATTGGGAGGGCGCTGTTGATATGATTTAGGTTAAAAATTTAGCACTAGCAGGTGCATGTGACAGCAGTCTAGACTTTATCTCATTCTTAAACCGTGAAAATGTGATTTGACGTTCGAAGTTAATAATAATCTAAATTTGATACATAAGGAAAATGGTCGAGGTAAGTTCCGTCAGAGAGTTAGTTCCATTGTCAGTAGAAAAAGCAATTTTAACAACTCGTCAGGACAGTGTCAATGTCAGACTCATTGTCATTGACTCTGTATTCCTCCTGTATGTTGTCTTACATGTATCTTGGGTTGAACTTTGATTCTGGCGGATGAGAAAAAGTAGAAAAATCGCGGGTAACAGCATGCATGCGTGGCAGGTGAGGTGGAAAGTAATATCTACTTCTTGGAAGAAGTGTGGTTCTGAAAAAGTTAAAGTACTAGTATTATCAAAGAATGTTTGCACTAAAATAATGTTTCTTCATCAGATTTACAACTTTCGGCACTTTTCACAATTTCAGGTCATTTTGATGAACATGAGTGTGCCCTTACGCATAAGGAATACCTTGTCATGCTTGTCATTGTTATGTTGGACTTCATCATTTGCGTCATGTTCGTAGACAGTGGTAGAATTAATTTTAGTAGAAACTAGAATTTTAGAAATTGTACAATTTTACAAACTTGTCAAAACTGTAACGGTCAGGTCAGATAGGCAGCCCCCTCTAGTTTTGTTTAAACATGTCAAATGAAAGTCAATAGTCATGATAGTTAAGAGAGTTTTATTTCATGTATTTGTAAGGTTTTTTTTGATATTATCATTTTTTATATACATCAATATTAATGAACACCTTGTGTTTTTCTATATTCATATTTCTCTTTTACAGGAGTTAAGGAAATACTTCTTCAAGTTGCTCCAGATGTAAGTTATTATGTGGGAGCTATACTAACATGACAAATGTGGTAGATTCCAAGTGTTGTAAAGTCTATGCTCGAGCCAATATATAGCCCATTAGTCCAGCATGTATCTCCGGCATGAAATAATTGACAATGTTTCTATTACCCCTGGATGGGATACCAGTCCATCGCAGGTTACTCCCCAGCTAACATGGCTAATGCCAGGCCCATATTTATACTCCTGGGTGAAGATAGGCAAGTGGGGGCGAAGTGGCTTGCCCGAGGACACAACATTTGACCAGCAGCTTGATTTGAAGCTCTGATCCTCTGATCATGAGTCAAACCCCCCAACCACTAGGCCACACTCTCCAAATTTCTAGTGTTGTACGATTTGTTGAATTAATTGTTTTGTTGAAAAATGGTCCATTTCATATGCCATTAGATTGTCAGTTTCTTCTTTTGTCTCTTTTCAGGGTGGAAGGACTGGAGGCCATAATTGTTACCGACAGAGATGGGGTACCGGTGATTAAAGGTGTGTAAATAGTGGGGGGGGGGGGGGGGGTGGCATGGGGGGGGGGGCATGGGGGGGGGGAGGTATTCCCAAACATTGTAGTCCCAAGCATGCCTCAATATCTTACATGATAATCATCAGAGATCAGCCAGCATGACCTTGAGACAGGGTCAAATATATTTGTACACACTTCATGTCATGAGTTCTCTTCATACTGGAGAACCGGGCCAATTTGAATTTGGTAAAAGAAGAAGTTTCAAGTTATCAACCTACTTGCATTCATTTGCTGTCAGTTTGAGTCAGGTGAGTGCAGTAGTAGGCCTACCGACTTCCCTCGCCTTCAAACCTTGTGCCCGGGTTCATATCCCCTCTCCGTAGACATGGATTAGGTTCACGTCCAAACATCATGTAACCCTAACTCACTAAGCATTTTTGCTAGGATGCAATCTGAATCCTGAAAAATCCTCCAACTGCTCCATGTAAAAATAGCATACAGCCTCAATCCTGCAAAATGCTCTGTTATTTCCTGAATGTGGTCCTTGGAGGGGTGACCACTGCCTCAATCCTGCAAAATCCTCCAGCAATCGCTGTCAATATGTTGAGGCAGAACCATTGACATCCTGGAGCAGTGTGGAGGATTTCAAATATAACATGTATAAATCATGGCCTAAATTTATGCATGGCTGGGCGTAAACAACACAAGGTCCGGCCCAAGACCTTGACACAGTGCATCCAACAAAATCAGCCGCACTTTTTTGCCATATAGCCTCAATCCTGCAAAATCCTCCATTTCGCAAAGAGGATTTTGCAGGATTTGGGAAGGTTGGGGTTAGTGGATTTCTGATTCCTCAGGATATTTTATCTGAAGTATTCCTCGTACCTTTAACGCTTAATTATTTCTTTGCCTCCAGGCCTGCAAGCTATGTTGTGCTCTTTTGAGGAATCCTTGATTTTACAACTGGATTTGATAATGATAAAAAAGAAAGATTCTTTCTATTGCAGTCACCTCAGAGGCTGTTCCAGAGCAAGCCTTGAAGCCAGCCTTTCTAGCAACCTTTGCCATGGCAGCCGATCAAGCCAGTAAGCTGGGCTTGTCACACAACAAGAGCATCATCTGCATGTACGGAGCTTACCAGGTGGGCAAAGGCTTCCCTACCTTGTCCCAAGTGTAGTGGCCGCAAATCACGATTCTACTCACCGGCAATGCAGTTTTACAGGTCAAATTGCAAGTCACGTCAGAAGTCAAATCGGAAGTCACAACAGTGACAAGAGAATGCTTAATGGTCACACCTTTCGTACAGCTTGACTTGACTTGAGATAAGGTTGCTTGACAACGGTTTTGGCATTTCAACAGCTTCAATGTCTCAATCACTGTGTTCTGATCATCATCTAGATTGTACTGATCGCATTGTCTTTCAAACTGGATATATTTCAGTTGAATTAATTTAGTTAATTAGAAACATCCACTCATGGCTATTTTAATTGTATATTCAGGCCTTGTTGGTTTATATTTGGTGATGAAGGGTCTATGTCTAGGGACCTGTGTTTATAACATCAGCTACATAAACCATCTTTAACCCTAACCACGCCCAACCCTTGAAAATCCAACTGCATGTTTTGTTTGATTCTGTTGGAGTGAGTACTGCAATAGTAAACTGATTATGTTTTACATGGGACCAGGCGTACCACCATAATCAGAGTCCAACAGTTTGGGTGTTGAGTTTACCATGTGGTGTTGGATTTTGCAAGAGTGAGGAAGGTTCCTAGTAAATCACTCAAGGGAGTTAGGGTTAAAGTAGAAGTTCACCTCAAGAACTTGAGTTTACCAGAAAAGGTTTTGTGTTACCTTAAAGCTATAGTCCATCATTTGCAGCTATCCGAAAAGTAACTGGCGTAATTATTGTTGAAAAACATACTTGGTTGAAAGATAGTAAGGGGACTAAACTCCCATTCTGAAGTAATCAACGAAAGAAGGCCTTTCCAACGGTGCTTCTTAAGACGCACCGTAGGAACATTTAAATTAGTAGTTCGTTGTGTTATTCGGCGAAGCGCGCGCAAGCATTTGCACGATGCACAGGCATGCGTCGTTGATATATTTCGTCGGATCAGTGCGCGACATCGCGTAGCTGCAATCGGCTCAGTGAGAACGTTTCTTGGACGCTGAATTCAGGCCCAATTCAAAACATGATTCAGCAACTTTTGATTTGAAATTGAGATCCTAGAATGCTGTTTTCCTCGGAATATACAGCTGAAGCTGAGCTGAAACTTCATCGGGTTAGTTGTTCAGTATCCTTCATTAGATTTTGAGCTCTTTTGTTGCTTCAAACGAACAAAATGCACAAATTACAAATGATGGACTATGTCTTTAATGAACCATAACTTGGCATGGTGTTTACGTTGCAGATTCCTATTTCTCTAAAGCCTGACTTGATTGGCCCATTTGCATTCTTTGCAGGTGGTTCAGTTCAACCAGCTTCCATTGGTCATAAGTCTAATTGCAAGTAGTACGGCCAACACAGGTAAGCAAGGTTTCTGGCATGTTTGGAGTCCTTTTGACCACACATTGAATAAGGTAGTGTTTGCCTGTCCCAGAAAGGGCCAGCCTGCGAATTGTTTTTTTTTTCCCAAATGACATCCGTTTCCCATCTTCTGATTGGTCCATTACATCATTCCTCCATGATTACATGCATATCTAATGCCTTGTTCTCCACATCTTGTGAGAATTGTTCCTTCTTCATTTTAGTTATTTAAAAGGTAAAATGAGAAGAAGTGAAAAACGCTCACTGGGATTCGAACTCGGATCACCTGATTTTAGGTCGGGACTACTTCCAACCAGTCCACAAATCAGCTGCCAATCATCGGTGATTTAAACACCATTATTCCTTGTTATATGACTTATTCTCTAAAGCCCTGGACATCACCTGTTGTCCAACTAAGCCCCCTCAGCTTATATCTACACATGCAGTTCCACACAAGCACAAAAATCATGCTTTTTAAAGTTTCTTCAAACCGACAGCAGGGTACATTGCCAGAAGTTCAGAACCACGTTGCTTAGATCTTGATGGAAACTCGAACCAATTTGGGCGTTTCACAACGGGGACCTCATTTTTCCCAGTGCATTTTTGGAGATGGTCGAAAAATTCTCAGCATAGGCTATTTGAAATTGTTAGTTTGTCCGGTCAGTACTTTCGTATAAACTCATGATGAGAATATCTGTTTGCCCTTTTCTTTGCTTGTTATCAATATGGTGTTTTCTTGTATGGCAGCAGAACGCTATGCCCCAATTCTTAACAAATTAGCTCAAGTTGTCTACTGATACTCGTTCAAATGGGCCGTGTTTTGTCGACTGTGAACTTGAAAAATGGTCTCTCCGAGGCAAACTCTTGATGGTGCACTGCATTGTGTAACACCCGAATTGTCTGTCTGTCACTTTTTGTATACGTGTACCATACTATTCTTTTTGTGTCTTTTGACTTCAAGGATTTTTAACATTTCTTTTCGGCTACAGGTTTACTCTTGTGTATGGAGTCCGAGTTGCAAGGAGTTTTACAAGAACTGAAAACGGCAATAGACATATGACACCGACGTCTGTAGATTATTTTTTTTACAGTAGCGTATCAAACAGAGATGTCAGGCAGGGAAGAAGGCGATTTCCTTTTATGAGTTTACCCAATGAATCCCTGCGTTACTCTTGCCTAGTATTATTTCATATTTGAAAACACAAGGTAGATATATTTGTTGTACACAACATGTTGATTCTACTGTGCCCACATGTTGATTATTTTTTTTAAATATTTGGTGGGCTTAGAACATTACATTGTCAAGGAAAAAAGTTATCTTTTATCATGTATCGACTGTGTCTTAGGTACTCTTACGTCATGGGTGGCAAATCTATCATGTAGTCGCCATGAAGATTTTTCAAAAAATGAAAATGTCTGTGTTTTGCTTAAAACTTGTATCTAAAAAGGTTAAAGAATTGTGTACATTAATAATATAAGCTAACTTTTGACAAAGCTGACATACATGTACATGTACATGTACTATAAACCTTATTTGTAAATGTTGGATCATCTATTTCTAAAAATCAAGTGTCAACAATCTGTGCGTTTGGTAACTGTCATAGTTCATATCAGCTTATCAGTTGGATTTTGAAACGATGTAAAGATATAAACAGGAATTTATAAAGCACACACTTTCAAAATACATGTACTTCTCATTAGAATCTGTGAAGATATATTTTAAAGTTCAAACCAATTACAGTCTTGTAACTATCAATTTAAACTTCAAATCTCAGCACATGAAAGTTTCTGGTTGATCCTCATTTGGCATCTTTGTAATTACTTTGATAAATGGTTCAGCGCCAAATGTTAAGACCAAAAGGTCAAACTGCCAGAAAGGTACATTTTAAAAGACTGAGCACAACAAAGGCTCATTATTGATACCCTCCTTTGAAAATTATCCCATTAGTCACTGAAGTGCCTGAAACCGCCCTGCTTATAGATCTCTCTCATAGGACGCCATCTTCGTAGGAAAATTACAACTGCATGTTCAACGCCATCAGGTGCGTGTGCGCGCAGTGTGCTATAAGCGAGTTGCTTGAAATGTCTTCAAAATACGGCGCAGCCGATGCGCACCACGGAAATTTGACGCCCAAAATGCTGATGCACGTGGCAATCTGTAGGAAGTGACGTCATTTGAGAGAGACCTTTTTTTCAGTGAATAAATACAATGTAATACAATTTAGTGCATGGGCAAATGGGTTAAGGACTAGAGTCTTACATCTTTAGTCAAACTGGCGAGCTATTTGATGAGAATAAATGTACAAAATTCCTATGAAGAGAAAATAATTCACAACAGAGCAGTGTTTTGTCTGTCATTAAGCAAGTTCTGCCTTTTTAATTCAATGCACATTGGGTCAATCATTATTCCAAAACTCCCTAGGCATTTTTGCTAGGATGCAACCTAAATCCTGCAAAATCCTCCAACTGCCTCCATGTAAAAATTGTATACAGCCTAAATCCTCCGAAATCCTCCGTTATTTCTTGAATGTGATCCTTTGAGGGGTGACCACTGCCTCAATCCTGCAAAATCCTCCAGCAATCGCTGTCAGTATGTTGAGGCAGAGCCAGCGACATCCTGGAGCAGTGCGGAGGATTTTAAATATAATACAGGCCCAAATTTATGCACAGCTGAGAATAAACAATACAAGATTCTGCCCAAGATCATGACACGGTGCATCCTCCAAAATCAGCCACATCTTTTTGCCATATAGCCTCAATCCTGCAAAATCCTCTATTTCGCACAGAGAATTTGGGAAGGTTAGGGTTTATACTACATTCATGATGGTTGTCAATTTACAAAGTGACTTTTTTTCAGGTTTTCTCAAGAAGACCTATCCATAGAAAAACTATACTCTCAAATCTCATAACCGTGCCTGATCTAGGAAATCCCCGAAGTAAGGTGCTTGAGATGTAGAATCCAAGATTTTGTCAAGGAGGGGGGATGAGATGCTGCAGTCAACACATAAAAACATGATCAACACGTAGTTCGTGTCGCAGAGATACAGTAACAGAAGCAGTGTCAAATTGGGCTCTTGTATTACATACATCCCGAGGACAGAAATGAAATAGGCCATCAGCCTCAGTCCAGGGGCGGTATACCTTGCGCATGCGCACTATAATCATTTATGCCCTGATTTGATACTGGCCAAATCCCCCAGGCTGATGGCCTAAAAAGAGAGAATGACAGATTCTTTGTTACCCTCGAACACGCATCTTTTGTTGAAAACGGTCCTTGAACGTAAGAGCGTGTGCTTTAATGGGAGAGTGCTATTAAAGGGACAAAGGAAAAGACAATACCTTGTCCTCAGGCATAATGGTAAAAAATGCTAGTGTGTATTCACAAGTGTCGTTGTTATTCTCTCCCCCCCCCCCCCCCCCCCCCCCCCCCCCCCCCGAGTCATTTTTTTGAGTCTGACAAATACATGTATACTGAAATGAGGCGTAAATTCCAATTCACTTAATGCAATTGGACTTTGATAATGGATAGGAATCCTCTTTGCATAAGGCGGTGCATGAGTCAAAATCACCCACACCATGGGACTAGTAATTCTCCAATACTTTGCCTCAAACCATGATTTGAAGAAATATAGCTCAACAGCTACACCTTTAGTATTCACAAACAGTGTGAACGAGTGTGAACCAGTCATCTCTGCTTGCCGGCAACAACCCACCAACGCTCATCTGGTCCCAGTGGCCTGCTGCTGCTGCTGCTGCTGCTGTCGCTGCTGCAAGGAGAACTCCTCATACGTCTTGACCAGCAGACTGAGCTTGGGACCGGTCTGCCAGCAGCTGCCGTCGCTGTCCACCACGCTGGCCTCTACGTTGATGGTGTGGGTACCGACCACGGGCAGCGACAGCAGGATCTGGATGCTGAAGTAGTCGTGGTGGGGCTCCACCGACCACGTACCTTCACTGGTCCCACCGTCAGACTAACGGGAGAGAAAAGTGACACAAGATCCAACAAATGAGTCTTAAAGGATCACTCTTGTCTAAAATGCACCATTTTGGGCTGACATGCTTTTCCTATCAAGTGATAATAGAGTGTGCAAGTCTCGCCAGTTCACATTCAGTTTTTATGTGAATGTCTTGGTACCAAACACTGAGCTAGTCAAAGACTCCTGTGTTAGAATTTATCCAACTGTTATTTGCCTATTCAATTAAACGGAATTTGAGGTCGAAATTTTTCATCTTACTGTGGTCGTCAATTTGCAATATTTTCAATATATTATAAACTGTAAATGCTTTCTCTTCTTTCACAGAACCTAAATAATGTCCTTGACTGGATAAGCCTAGTCAGGACACAAAATAAATAAACAAAATATTTTTATATTTAATATACTTTCTGCGCTAAGAGTGTCACTATGTGGCAGACATGGCACATTACAAGTCTACATTAATATTATTATTAAAATAGGACATTACACATGTTGTAGATCCCGCACATTTTTGAGGTAAACTTGCAAGCTCTATTGTCGGGAATACCAGTAAAAAGTAAAACATACATTGTAAAAGTACCTACAAATGTGCTTAGAAAATTTTCGTTTTTTGTGCTATTGCATACAAAAAATTCAGGGTATATAATTTTCATCCATAAAAATCACGCTGTTGCATTTCTAGGCTTGCATTGCTAGGATTTCAAGTAATTTTTTTTCTCTGCGAAAAGTTGCTTCTAACATCACGACTATCCATGATACCATAACATATTTAAACTTGAGTCATACAGCAAAACCCAGCTTGGAAGCTTTAAAAGCAACGGAAACCTCAGAAAACTAGTTATGAAAAAAGACCTCCATACTTCGAAGAGAGAAAAGAATAGGTTCTTGAGTGCAAAGCATACCTCACTGGACTTGCCAACAGCTGTAGTCTTGGCAGTCGCGCAGGATGACGTAACCACCAGCTTCACCTTGCTCACCTTGCGGAAAAGGCCTGAAGGGTTTGAGAAAAAAGAACCACACAAAAGATGTTATTTGTTGAGTGTCAACAGTTGATGCCAATCAGCCCGCCCGATATGTCAATCCCCTCCACATGGAGTGCATGAAGGATGCAATTAAACCCCAATCAGCAAGGAGTCCCATTTCAGTGATTTGGAGGATACTTATTGATAATCGGGCTCGGAGGATAACTTTGCTGTTCCTGGGAGATTGTTGCTGTCAATGCAACAAAGGAAGGACGGTTTCTTATTCTATTGAAGTGTTTTGGAGAGTCTGGTAAGCAAGGGTTAAAACTATCGATCCATTCTATTTTAACATCACTGTGGGAGGCCAAATTTACAGTACCACTCAAAGCAGTCCATGGGCTCTGTACGCCAACAAAAGAGGGCGCGTTTTAACCACTTTGAGAGCCCTTAATTGGACGGGACACCACATGTGAGTACAGGACTGGTTCGCATGTGAAGTACACACGACTAATTTATCCTGAGTGTGTAAAAAGCTAAACCATAGCATCGTCGCACGATGGCCGCGTCGTCAGCCCGCGAATACGTTCGACTGTCTCGCAGACTAATCCCCGCCCCCAATAACTTTGGACCATTCGAAATACGCAGTGGATGGACCAGGAACCAGTCTAGGTCACCCCCAACTCTCCTTTCGGGCCGTTGAAGGGGTGCTTGTGCACGGAGCCCATATCCAAAGACTAAAACTCTATGCACATCATGACGTTTTTGATACAGTTTTGTGCAAATTATATTGATTATTGGTCTACGTGAATATTGCTTCTATGTATGAGTCTGGATGGCTTTCACCACACCAACAAATTGTCAGTTCTCACCGGGTTTGCTACCATGCTGTATAACACCTTCGACCTTCATAGCCAAGTGCGTGTCCGTAGCCAATGATACAGGTTCATTTGGATTACGTGCAGTTGGTGACAAAGCAAGCTGGAAAAAAAATAACATAACACCATTGAGAACAGATATGATCCCCAACAAGTCAAATTAAATTTCTGAGGATCATGAGGTACAATAGACCACTTGTACTCGGGCGAGCAGTTCTTATTATGATGTCCATTTCCTCAAACCGTTCATTGCTAAAGGGTAGTCTTACTCTCGTTCGCAGTAAGATGGTACCCCGGCGAACCGAGTCCGAGTATTTACTATTTTGACCTTGCACGATTAATTATTCATGACACTTCCAAATAAGGATTGATACAATTTCTGTCCAATCAGATCACTTGTTACAAAAGCTGACCACCAACGTGAGCTCAACTACAGTACGGTAAGGTACCCTGGAGAACCAAGTCCACGTATTTACTATTAGACCTTGCATGATTAATTATTCATGACACTTCCAAATATGGATTGATACCATTTCTGTCCAATCAGATCACTTGTTACAAAAGCTGACCACCAACGTGAGCTCAACTACAGTACGGTAAGGTACCCTGGAGAACCAAGTCCACGCATTTACTATTAGACCTTGCATGATTAATTATTCATGACACTTCCAAATATGGATTGATACAATTTCTGTCCAATCAGATCACTTGTTACAAAAGCTGACCACTGACGTGAACTCAAGTACAGTACAGTTGAAGGTACCCTGGAGAACCAAGTCCACGCATTTACTATTAGACCTCGCCCGATTAATTATTTACGACACTTCCAAATATGGATTGATACAATTTCTGTACAATCAGATCACCTGTTACAAAAGCTGACCACCGACGTGACCTCAACTACAGTACGGTAAGGTACCCTGGAGAACCAAGTCCACACATTTACTATTAGACCTTGCATGATTAATTATTCATGACAATTCCAAATATGGATTGATACAATTTCTGTCCAATCAGATCACCTGTTACAAAAGCTGACCATTGACGTGAACTCAACTACAGTGCGGTTGGACGAGTGTCAAACTAGCAAATAAGTGAAATAAACAGGAGGTACCTTTTTGAGACTTGAGTTACAGAGCTCCTATCAGGATCTTGCGACACCATCACGGTGTCTTTATCAACTGGCAAATAAGTGGATTCGGTTTGTCTTTGGATCATTTGAAATAGGCAGTGGATGGACCAGGAACCAGTCTAGGTCTCCCCCAACTTAGACTTACGGCGAACAAGAGGACAACCCCAGCTAGCAAGAATGGGACAAAAGTAGAACATCAGGAAAGTTTGGACTGATCAACACAAACTGAAACAGGACTAAGGTGGTCTACCTTGATGCTGGTTGACTGTAACGCCTGGAAGAAGTAGCGTGGAAAACCAAAAGGCAATCGCATCATCCCTGCACAGGCCTCAATTAGGCAATTCACATGCTGAAACAAAAAACAATTAATGAGACAAAATAAATAAACTGATAACTGAACCCCCAAAAATGTTGGTTGCAAAACAAATTCCATCGCAAGTCCTTACAAGTCCAGTCACAAGATATTCAAATGAACTGTTAAAAACCCATTTCTTTGTTATCGTTTCGGTTTGCGGTAACACCATGTGGTAACAACTACTGTCGCTCAGTAGATTTTTAGTTCAGATAAGAACTTGTCCTGCTTATTATCAACTTTCGCCAAGTAGTTTTTAATTCTGATAAGATCAGTCCTGCTTAGTTCTAAAAGAACTTGTTCTAAAAGAACTTGTCTTTGGTCTCAACATTTCGACTAGCCTGCTCTAGTCATTGTCAGGAGACGATTTCCTTGTTATTGTTCATCCCCTGTTTACTGGTGCCCTAGCATGCCAATTGATTCGTGAATTACTTGTGACTGGACTAGTGAGGGACTCTCTTAACACTGGTAACAGGCTCTGTGTGCGAACACAGTGTTTGATTCCAAAATGCGATTTTCTTCCATGCCAATATATTTGCGTCTTTCAATTCATTAAAATTGAATTTATAATGACAGCGCAGACTATATACAAGCTATTACTTTACGTAATCAGTGCCGAAAGTAAGTATACTACAAGCCCTACTGAGTACACAATTTGTATTTAGGGCCTCTTAATATGTACCTGATGAGAAATAGACTGTCCGTCCGTCTGCGCTAGAACGTTCTGCAGATCTTTCAAGATGGCGTCCGTCAACTGTAGCTGCTTTTTGGCTTGTTGCTTGTTGGTTCCTGTTGAGCCCTCCACGGCATTACAGCTACCCAGGAGATTCCACTGCTTGGAGCCACTGCGGGGAAGCCACCAAATCAAATGCAACTTGTTTGTGAGATGTTATTCCCTAAATTCACGTAACACTTTGGATGTGTAGTGACAAAGCACTGCAAAGTTCATGTGTTATAGCATTTCAGTTAATTTGTTGCGATGAGGACTAGCAAATCAACTGTTGAAATGTCGTTCTTACCTGTAGGCTGGATTGTTGAGGATGAGGCAGTCAATGGCATGACCAAGCAACAAACACTGTTGTTGAATTCTTTGAAAAACAGCAGTGAAGGAACTTTGTTTTTATTAATTGTACTGCAACAAAGTTGCAGTGCTGGTTCTCCATGACCTTATTTTGTATTCATAAATACCTGAGGTAGTTTACCCATCTCTATGGAGTACCGAAGTGTGACGTCATTTAGAACCAGAAAGTGTACTGCAAACGAATGGAGTACGCGCGCGTGTTGGTTCACGGGCTGAATCACGCGCTAATGTCTTTCACATACATTTCGCACGCGTGACGTATTCACTTCGGTACTCCATAGACCTTTATCATGCTGCCACCATATCAGTCATGTTCCCTGTATCCAATAACAGTGCTGAATGATAACGTTTTTTGTGCAAAAAGGAACCAGACTATTTTTCCTTCCAGCCTCGCATTGGTTACATTGATTTGAATGGGGATGGTTTTAAACCTTCCTGTAAAGCACTGCTGTGTTCTGCGCCACATTGTGCAGAACGTGCCTCGCGCGTGCCAATTTCCATAAAAGGAGATTTTTAGCACTAGGCGCCCGAGGCACATACCATATATATGGCGAGAGGAGCATTTCACAAATCTGCGCTAAAACTATTGAACAAAATCGTTGGAAATTTGTGAATTTTTGACTTGTTTTGACTTTTTGACCGAAAGGTATGTATGAATGGGAATAAATATATTACATGTATATATAAAAAATTAAAAAAAAATATAAAAAAAATCCATCTTATTAATATATGCTTGGCCGGTTTTAAACAAGTATGTTTAAGGTTTTGATCATGTACGTTGAAAATAAGTACGCGCTTTAGGGCCTGGCCACAGATAATGTACGGCTAGGGCCATTGTCCGCATCCAGGCCCCTAACCAGCAAGAGCAGCAAGAATGGACAATGTGCGAGTAGTCAACGATGGTAAAACTGAGGTAGTATGAGCAAAACGTAATGAGCCATTTGCGAGTGACCTATAACCTTTGGGATTTGCATTTGAAAAACATCTGGTACACTGGCTTGCTCAGAGTGCTTGGCACATTTTAACTTTGAATTCTCCAGACCAAAGACACTGTTGCTAATCACATGATTCGAGGCAAGCTCTTGCATAGTTACAAAAGAGACGCTCAGCACCAATACATTGTTCACAATGGGTGAGAATGGCACAAAGATACCAGACCATGCCAGAGCTGGGGGTTGCAAAGTTAAAACGTGCAAAGCGTTGGATTAAGTCAGCGTTCCAGATTTCATTCAAATTTAACTCGCAAATGGCTTATTGCACAGGCACATGGTGAGGACAGAATGACTGATGGTTGAACCATTGTTGTTCCTGGGACTCGCTCACGAGAGCCTTGTTTTAGTAAGGATACAATTTGATCTTGCTGAGCGAGTCGGGATCAGCATCAAAGGAAGTCTGGTACAGCCGAGCATAACGGACACTCAACTGTTGGACCTGTGTCGCACATTGCTGCATCTAGGATCCAAGATCAGTAACAAATCATGAACGATTTTAATTACTATCCAACTAACCAAATGTTAATAATATACCATCAAAAGGCAAATTATGTTCCCTCTTACACTTTTTGTTTTTACTTTTCTCAATAACTTCTGAAAAAAAGTAGTTAGAAATAATTATGTCAAAATCATTGGAAAAGCAAATACAGGTTGTCCCACAAAAAAACCTTATAAAATTGGGCATGTTTTCAGAAAAGTGGGGGTAGTATTCAAAATCGTGTCTAATGTATTGCCGAGTAGAATAATTGGTCTTCCAAATGCTTTTTATTTGGTTTCATTAGGATGTTTTGTTTATTTTTGTTTACTTTTTTATTTATCAAATTTACAGATCAAAGCCAGTAGAATAAGTCACACATTACTCCCGAACAAAGGAAATAAAAGTTTACCTAATCCCCCCAAAATCCCAACGAAACTTGGATTAAGTACATTGTGAACCAGACTATATGGGTTCAAGTGATAAAACTAAGTTAGCTGAACGTGATTATTAAAGTCCGCACAGAACGATGGACAATACATGAAGGTAGTAAAGTGTATTTGTTTTTTTAGAAGAGACTTTAATAGAAGTGGCTCTACCTCTGTTGCCATGTGCCCACATCTCAGCAGCTCCTGGCCCATCGTCAAGGCAACAGCCGGTGCAATAGCGGGAGGCGGGCAGGTCCGGATGGTTGCTAGGCAGGACAGTAGGAGCAGACAGGAATGCAGCATATCTGCCCGCAGCCTCATGTAGTCACAGTGGAACAGGAGAGGGTGGGAGGGCGTCGAGGCCGCCTGCGAATATGGAGTCAAGAATGCTGTAATATTGTAACTTCAGATATACACTTTTGTTTAGCTATCGGTAACCATAATTGACTAAAGCCCTAACTCCCTAGGCCTTTTTGCTAGGATGTAGCCTCAATCCTGAAAAATCCTCCAATTGGCCTCATGGAAAAGTAGCATATAGCCTCAATCCTACAAATTCCTCTGTTATTTCTTGAATATGGTCCATGGAGGGGTGACCACTGCCCGAATCCTGCAAAATCCTCTGGCTATAACTGTCAATAGGCTGAGGCAGAGGCAGTGACATCCTGGAGCAGTGCGGAGGATGTCAAGTATAAGCAAGGACTAAATTTATGCACGGCTGAGCATAAACAACACAAGGTCCGGCCCAAGACCTTGACACAGTGCGTACTCCGAAATCAGCAATGTACTTTTGCCATGTAACCTCAATCCTGCAAATTCCTCCAATTTGCAAAAAGGATTTTGGAGGATTCAGGGCAGTTAGGGCTAATTATTTACCATTATTGACTACTGAATCATCAAAAAAGCTTACTTGGATTAAAGATTGTACTGGTACTAAACGCCCTGTGAAATTGTCCGTCTGACATGCCGTCATTAGAGGAAATCAAGAAATGTAGGTCATTTCCAATGATCAGTCAACTGACTGATATTTGGAAATAAAGAGTGCTATAGACGAAATCGTGTTTCATGATCAAAAGGTTGTGCATGATTTTTCACTGTTTTCTTGAAAAGTATAATATCCACTGAGCTGCAAGTTCAACAGGTTAGGTTTTGCACGTTCTGCTTTGGATTTTGAGTGGTGTTATTATTGGAAACCAACAAATGCATGAAGAGCAAACGATGCTTTCAGGCTGACATTCCATTACAGATCTTTTACCTTGAGATTGGACAAGCCTTTTTCATAGTGTTGCAAGGCCTTGGCTAGGCAAGGCATGAGATTGTCAGGCTTCTCAGTGATGTCTGCGAGGCAGGTCTCTCCCAGGCAGAACTGCTCCAAGCCGCACAGCCAGTAGTAGTAGTGCTCAGAGGCAACCTGAAGAGGGCCAGAAAATAAACAGGTTTTTTTCAAAGGATTAAACATGTCCTATCCATGCAACATTTAGGTATCATCCTTGTTATTTTTCTAGGAATACACAAGTTAATCACTTAAAAGTGAGACACCCAACAACAACAAAATTGGCCCACAATTAGTTACGGAATCATTACTTTAAAAACTTTGAAATATTTTGGGCCAAACAATAATTATGTTCTCGCAAGGTAATTGGTTCCTGCCCCATTGTCATCAATAATGTAGAGACCAGAAACCAGATCTGATCTTGCGCAAAAGCAACCGCCATTTTCAGGGGGTTGGAAATGCCCAAACAAGAAAAAGTAGGTTTTTTTCTTTAACCAGTTCACGCCAGGATTGTTTGGACAAGAACCGAACGAGGCACGGAATTACTTTTCACTCGACCTCAAGCAAGGCGGGTTAAAGCCATCACCCTCGGGCAGCACACTCATATATTCGGCCTTGATCACTGCGAGCGGGTCGCAGACAGATATTTCCGGTTTCGCTCCCTGCGTGTTTAACCGTCATCCGTTCCGAATACCACAAAACCCTTGCGTGTATACACATCATCAGGCACAAACTGGTTAACCCTTTAGTCACTGTAGCACCCAAAACCGCCCTGCCTATTACTCACTGTAGCCCCTAAAACCGCACAAGCACTCTATGGTTTTACAGATTCTTTAGTGAATAAACACAATGTAATACAATGTAGTACAGGTCCTAATAGGTTACGATAAATCATACAACATTTTTAATCATATGAATATAATTATATGACAATTCAGTAAGATTTGAGGCTTTGCATGGTGGAGATACTAAATAATGAAAGGTTTGCGGAAACACCATGTGCGAATAATTTCTCAACTAAGAGAATGGTTCTGAAAAGAACCAGAGGTATGAACTCGACGTTCCGATCAGTATGCTCTGACCATCTTCAGGAGACCGTGAGAAATTATTCGCACATGGTGTTTCCGCAAACCTTTCATTATTTATATAACAATTCAAAAGTACCTGTGTTGCTAGCTTGACAAAAATTTCCGCTGCAGTTTCATGGCAATTCTGAAAACATACAAAATTGTGGAACAAGAGCAATTACAATATTCAACCCCCACCCAAAGAAAGAATAGGAAGAACACTGGTACCAATAATCAATTAAAAAAAATTTAATATGATATCAATAATTTTTTTTTTTTTATGTTAACTGTATTTCTGCTGTAGAATAAAGGGTAGGTAATACTGCAATGCAAATCATGTCAGGTCACAACACTAATGGAATGAACGATGACATAAGAATCAGGCATGCAACTGGGAAATCACAAAAAAAGAGGAAATTCAAATTTTCCCCAGACTTTGTACAGTGTTTTTCTATTTTCAATGGCACACATGGGAAGTAAAAAAAGAGGAAATCAGCTGATCCGAGGAAAAGTTGCATGCCTGAAGAATGCATTTGTCACAAGTCATTTGAATAGCTTGGCACTTGGGACTTTTAACTGGTACTAGACTGATGATTGACTTGTTAAGACTTGTGACTTGATTCAGGGAGAATATTGGGAGAAATTGAAAACTCCACAAAATACTCTGTAGAGAGTTTTGATGGTCACCGAGTGCATAGACCTTAAGCACCCCTGAACGCCAATTTCTTTTGTTCTATATAAACCTTTATGGTAAAAAGTAAAACACCTTTACAGTAAAACCATCCGGAATTCCAGATTTCATAAGGGATTCTTAAAAAATGCAGAAATCAGGAAAATCCTGACCAAACAATCCAGACATCGGGAAAAATCCTGCCGAAAATCCTGAAACGAGGAAAAATCCTGACATTTCTCGCCCCTTTTGAAAACACCTCTAGAGCTCCATAAAAAAGGGGATGGATATCGTTGGTAAGGACGCGTCTGAAGTACATGGCTATGATCGGCAATAACAAACGTGTCTATGGAAAGTGGACTAAGCCACTTCCATAGGCCCATGTGTTAATTAATGCTAGCCAAAGTCAAATTATTCAGATACTTCAGATGGAATCTGCATCGGGGTGATATCAATTCACAGGGTTTTGCACTTCACTGACGTATTCTGATTCGGTTGCGGTACCCGCTGCTATATCAGATTCGAACCAGCCAGCCGACCCTGGCAAGCTCGGTGGTGGAGTGGTAAGACGCCTGCACTAGTAAGCAGGAGGTCGTGGGTTCGTGTCCCCCATGAGTAGTTCGTAATTTTTGTTTTACTCACAATCTCTCGCGACAACACTGAGTATACCATGTTCATAAAGAATGCATCAGTGATGGGCACAACCTATTATTCAGATGCAACATGAGGGGCGTAAGCTACTCACCAGTCTTGTTGCTTGGTGCGCAATGCGGTACGCTGGCCACGGGTAGTGATCAACTAATCTCTGGATATTCTGACTGATGCTCTGGCAGGATCGGCCCTTCCTGTCGGCTAGCAGCAGCAACATTGCTAAGCCAACCTGTATAACAGGACGGGTAGTATCAATTTTAACCCTAAAAGGGCCGGGGGGGGGGGGCAGAATCAGCTGCCCCCTCAACTTTTTCCGCGATAGCCTTGAAATTTTTTTTTTGCGACCAGAGCTGTTATGACTTTTTAGCCTCGAGCCTTGCGCATCTTTTGATACCAAAAACATAAAAATCGGATTACCAAAAAACATATAATTTTCCGGCGCTATACCAGTATACTGAACTTTCCCATATATGTCGTGTACATAGAGCACAATTACCATTCGTGCATATGAATAATTAATTAGCCATAATTCCAAACCCTTTGACCTATAGTCATGAAATTCCTTGGGTATGTTCACGATGAGTAGCTCTATGCATGTACCGAGTTTCAAAATTTTTCGGCACTCGATAGCCGAGATCTTGGGGGGGGGGGGGCGGAATCAGAAGCTTTTGAACTGGGCTTTCATATCCTAGATTTTGAAAGTGCTACATGCAGAACTTCACTAAAACAATAGTCCCGACATTTGGGTTTTGTGTGTTTTGACTCACCCTGTAGTTATCATGGCACAGAAGTCCATAGTACTAAGTAACACAATCGATAAAAGACTGTAATCCAATCGTAATGGTCTAACAAATGCCAGTGACTTACGAGCATATCGTGTTTCACGCTGTTGTTTCTCCCGTCGCCCTGAGCTTGCTCCTGATGGAGGGCATCAGCGTACAGTTGTTGTAGGATCGGCAGGTGATGGGTGAATAGATCCTCCGGTCGGGATTCCCCAAGAGACACAAGACATTGGCACAATGCCAAACTGCTCTCCCCTGTCCGCAAAAGACAACATTTTCTTTGAACATTGGCTAATTTAACAGATCAGACCAAAAAAAAAAAAACCAGCGTGTGTGCACAGTAACTCATATTCATGAGTGACAGCCGACTTCTTAACAGACCATTCACCATTACATGTCGGCCGATAGTTTTGCTATTTATCAGGGATTCGCGCACAGGGGAAATGTGATGTGCAGTCAACTATTGCATAAGTAACCAGTGCAATAAGTCTACTACGCAAAAACAATAACGGAACTACTACACGGAGGTAGTGTGCACTCACAAACTTTGCCCTAGCTACATGAAATAATGGCGGCACACACCAACATTTTGCCCAGATAACTAGATGAAATTTGGTAAATAGGCATGAGGTATAATAAACGAGATATAACATATTTTATTTCGAAATATCGCGAGAGATTCCGTGAGATCCCGCCACGCGCATGCGCAGTCATTACGCCACAACGGGTGATAGCGGGAACCGCTGTCATTTTCTTCACGGAGTGAAATAATTATTTGTATCAAATACTTCACTTCGCTTTTGTCCTTTCTTAATCTCCGACGGAAGAATTGTGATCCATGGTAACCATAAGGAAAAAACTGACGGCAAAAAGACGCCGAACAAGGCAGCGGTGTGCTCACCGACTGCTGCTTGTGCAACGACACCATACAGTACGGGCATGACCACGAGTGCAACAACAAGCACTCCTGCATGTACAACTGCACCATACTCTACAAATTATTAGCTCCTCTTGGTATTTGAAGTTGACAAACTAGTTCCCTCGTCTTTTACAATATAGATGTGATGAATTGAAAATGGACTCGCCTTTGGCGTGGGAACTAGTTTGTGAACTTCCAATAACGAGGGGGAGTAAAAATCAACTATCCACCATGAAACTATGTTTTTTTTAATACTATGTTATGGAGCTGTGCCTGCAAAGACTTCTCACCTGAGGTGGATGTCAGAGCGGTGGTCAGTGTGTTGATCAATGCTGGTAGGGCCTCTGGACACCTCTCACTCAAATCACGGACACAGCCCAGCACGACCTGCCGACAAACATGACAAACATCAACATCTCTACAAGTGTTCTTCTCATTGTCTTCTCTCTGCAGGTTTCTTCAGGCTTGCGAGCTACAGTGCCTAGGGCGCTTTTGAGGAATACTTGGTTTCATTACCAGAAATAAGTAACTAATAATAATTGTAACAATAATAAAATTGAGATTGCTGAAATTGTTTACCACGTACTGACAGTATGATGATGTTAAGTATTTCATATTATTTACCTTGAGGGCTTGTACTGATGTCCTTGTTTCCTCGGCCAAGCACTGTATGACAACATTCTGAGCTGCCGATGCTATCGCCATGTACGAGAGGACGAGGGATTCTCGGTTGTCATGGAAACCAGGGCCAGCATTCCCCCATTTGGCCAGAAGGGTCCTTATCTGGATGGCCGTTGCCGCGACGCTCACGTCCCAGTGGTGACTCAGGGTGCTACAGAGGGTTGCAATGGCCTCAACTAGGAGGCACAAAGAGAACGGAAGATGATCATGATGTAATACATGGATACATGTGATGAACAGAAAAGGCAGGAATCCATTATTCTAAACTTCAATTGAAGTGTCATCTGTCAGCACAAATTCAAATGTTCATCTGGAACAATTGGTTTTGATCTTTGACAAAACAATTTGAAATGTATACCGTCTGTAAGTAGTTAATAAGAGAAACTGGCCTTCCTTTTTAAAAAAAATGATTGACAAACACGTGAAGTTGCTCTCTGCAAGGGATTTTGGTGTTGTGGTCTGGAGCATTGAATCTGTGGTCTGCGGGTAATTCGGCAGTTTGTGGGTTCGAGTCCAGCCTGGGGTTATGGTGCGTGTGCAATTGGGCAAGGCAATTTGTCACTCATTGCTTCTCCCCACCCAGGAGTAAATGGGTACCTGTGAGGGCAGAGATGGCTAATGTGATTGATTTTAGCTACTTAATGCCAAAATGGCAGCATCGAGCTGTATACTCCCCAGGAAGCTGAGATGGTATTTGGAATGTACGTTTCATTGGCCCAATGAGCAGGGCAATCATGATGTAGCTGCTTGAGCACCGATACTGGTTATTAGGTGCGCTATATAAATACACATTATTATTATTATTCAATTCGGGCGATTCACAATGCAGTGCGCCACCAAAAGTTTGCCACGGAGATTTCATTTTTCACAGTGCATTGTGGGAGATGGTTGACAAATTTGCAGAGCGGGACATTTGAAATGTTGCGTTTTTCCAGTCAGTAGTTTCATAAGTGTATGATGCGAATATCATTTCGCCCTTTTCTTTTCTTTTTATCAATATGGTGTTTTTTGTAAGGCGGCAGAACGCTATGCCCCAATCTATAACAAATTAGCTCAAGTTGTCTGCTGACACTCATTCAAATGGGACATGTTTTGTTGCACGGCAAAATCTTGATGACGCACGGCATTGTGAATTGCCCGAATTGTCATCCCAAATTTTTTAAACTGCTCTTTTTCTAGGCAATACATAAGTCAGCAACTTTTAAATGAGACATTAAACATGAAAACTCGCCCCTGTTGAGTAATGAAATAATTATTTTACATTTTTTTTGTTATTTGCAGCCCGAGAATCATTCAGCCAGATCTTGTTGTGCATTAGGTTGTAAAAGCAACCCAAATAAAATCCTTCTCTAGAAGGTTGCAAACACCAAAATAGGGAACATTGCAGGTTGTTTTTTTTTACATCTATGCACACAACTAACAAATTGAAGTACTTCATGAAAAAAAAATCACACGGAGTTGCCACGTGGAGAATTTTATCACCACATGTGTTTCTAGGTCAATAACCCCTGCATGCCTGTACATGCACAAGATATAGGTCATTCACATCGTCAGGGATTGTTTACAACCTGTCTGAGCTCTGGGCGGCACGAGGGATTGACACAAAGGGATCGGCGGCACGAAGGGTTTGGCCGCCACTTTCTCTAATTACTGCACAAAGGCATGAGCCGCCATCTTGGCTTCTGTCTTTCAACACTCCTTACTCCGGAGTGGCTAGGGTCTGGCCAATGGGAGTCTACAGGCTTGTGGTGTATAGTAGGGGTGAGGATTACATGGAAGCTTGGCCTAATTGGCCCATTGAAGAAAAAAAAGTTATGCCCATATTTGGAATATGTGGAGAATTGTATCACCGCTTTGCTGCTCGGAGGGTTAATATGTTGAAGAGCATGCATCTGGAGGAAATTAAAGTTTAAATCTTATTCTTGTATAAGTACCTTGTTCCTGCAACAACAGGGCCGGCGTGGCAAAGAGAATGGCCAGGATTCTGAGTCGGTTGGCCAGCAAGGTTGTTGACTCGCGACCCTGGCACTGCTGGGTCAGAGTAGAGAGGTTGTCGCCAGTCCACATGTGAGGTGCCTTCCTGGCCAAGAGGCACAAGTCCTGTACGCAGGTCATCTGAACGGCTATGCGGGGATCATGGCATAGATAGCCCAAAAGAAGACCAACCTAACAAAACCAAAAACTTACATATCAACTCCTGTATCAAAATTGGGCACAAAACAAAAAGAATGCAAACATACATTCTGTGCCAAGTTATCCTTAAAGTCAAAATCAATCAAGTGACTGGTTTCAACAGTTAAGAATTCCCAGCCTACATAAAGCAAGACTGACAGGCCTTGACTGTTTCTGTAACTCGATACAGCTTCGCTTTGGCCGTGGGTAATTGATAAGCCAGCTGTGCCCACAACTTGCCTGCTTTGTCTGTTCATGGTCTGTTGAGTGAGTTTGACTAGTCCGCTGTGCCACTGTGCTCTAAAAAAAAATCCTGTTTCCTCAAGTTTTGAATTATTCTGACAGGCAAAAAAAAAATCATATTTCACAAGTTCCTCAGTCAAACATACCAAATAACGTTGTGGGTACCCCTTTAAAGTAGGTTGAACTATTGACCCTGAAAATGCAAGCCAAACACAAGCCCCATGACAAGAACCACGTTTGTGTAATAAAATCCTTATAGCGAGTTTAGCTGGCCTATCCGCAGGGCATGGATAATCCTGTCAACAAGGCTAGTCAGCAAGCTCAAGTGATGGCTGTTTGCAGTTCTCTTACCACTTATTCAACCTAAATATGATAGACATAAAGTAGCGGACTTGTATTTGGACCCTATTCAAATCTGTAGTTAACTATGAGGCGAACACTCCTCTTAAGACCAACCCGACTAACCATATACGCCACCACTCGGGTTGGGACACACCATTTTGGAGAGTTGACCCTGGGGGGATTAAGACTCTTAGCTGCGCTTATCCTATAATAGGTTCCATAAAGGAGCGAAGGACACTCTGCCTGAGAGATTTCAAGCAGATTATTTCATTGCTAAATTCAATCTTTAAGTATTATCATGATGATGTACCTGAAATGTTGACTTGTTTTATATGTTGAACTGTGAAAATCGGTGAACAAATGGCCGAGAACAATCTTTTACTGCTATGCTAGCATAAACCACAATCACCGGAAAGTATAGTTCCAGAAAGCAGTGTGGCCAACAGGTGGTAGTTCATTTAACCACCAGTGATTATCTCGCTGGGACTGTGGAGCAGGGAGGGGAGTTTTGTTTACATAAGGGCTCCCCAGGGGCTCCCAACAGAGGTCCAAAATGGTGTGTGAAACTAGCCACTTTCTTAAGACGGCCGTTTTCGTCATGACAGTATGACCGTTGGACAGTGGCTATTAAAAATGTTAGCAAGGCACGGTTAATTAATTAACTAAACATACCTGATCTGGAATATGAACCAGTGAAGCAGCGGCCAGCTGTGATAAAGTCCGCAGCGTGATGGTCAGGAAGCTCTTGGCTGGGTAGGACGGCAGGAGATCCAGGCAGAGCTGGCGGGCAAAGGCCGCCGAGGGAGTGTCGTGGTGCATGTGCTTGAAGATCGGGATGAGCTTCAGCTTGATCTCGGCTGGAATGGACAGTCCCTGGATCAGCTCGGCTAGCTTGTGACAGATCCCTGAGGCAAACGTTCTGGGAAGAGAGAAAAGCCAAGTTTACGGACTTCGTGCACTTGTCAGAGCTCCGCTAAACGGACAAATCACACGTAGGCACTGATTGACGCACGTGTTACGTGGGTGCCCCTGTGTGGAGTGCTGTGGCCTCGTGGTTAAGGGCACTGGATTTGTGGTCTGCAGGTAAAGCTGCAGGTTGTGCGTTTTTCAAGTCAAGCCTGGGGTTATGGTGCGTGTGCCCTTGGGCAAGGCACTTTGTCACGCATTGCTTCTCTCCACCCAGGAGTAAATGGGTACCTGCGAAAGTACGGGCCATATGGGCTGATACTCAGCTGCTGCAGAAGTGGTCTCGTTGCCTGATGAACAGGGGTAATAATTGTAAAGCGCTTTGACACCTTTGGTATAAGGCGCTATCTAAGCACCACATTATACGTGAAGTGCACGCGATTAATAGATAAGTATGCGGCGCAGGAAAAAGTCGCCTGTTACTTTTTTGCATAGTTACTACCACTGGACAAGTATCAATTACTCGAGTACTCGCGAGTAGTTTATGCTACTATTTGGTCTACTTGTGGTTTTTCATCTACTCGAGTACTCATCCTGGCGAGTAGAGGCAGGTACTCGTGAGTAACAATTTAGGGTTTAGGGTTCTCGGCTTAATACGTCCCCTGCAAATAGGGAATCACTCCCTCCACCTCTCTCTCCTAAGGCACCTTCACGGTAAAACCTCAGTAATTCCAAATCTCAAAAAGAATTCTTCAAAAATGCTCAAATCAGAACAAAATCTCACTAATCCCACTCCTACCTTAGAGATTGTTAACAATCATATTCTTCAAAGACGATTCCAGTCGTCAAACATAACACCAAACCAATATATACAATAGAAAAAAACTGTTATTTCAGGGATTTTCAGCGATATAGTCAGGTACCTTGATTCAGCAGAGAAGCAGGAGGCAGCATAGATGGCTGACTCAAGCTCTACCCTGTCGTGGGAATCCAGACCATTGTGAATGCTATGGTGTACATTCTTCTTCTCGGCAATGATGCCTGCGATACTTCCCAAGACTCTGAAAATAAAATCAAGAAAAACTTTTACATTTCATTTATTTTTCCTATTCAGATAAACTTATAAAGATTTTCAAACCAATGGTTAGTCTATGACTATTACATTTGAGCAGATGATTAATTATGCAAGACAACCGCATCTTGACCTCTACTTTTTGACCAATCAGCGGGTGCTTTCCATATCGGGTCTTCGGTCATTCACCATTGTCGCGTCATAGCCATGGATAAAAAAAATAATACCCTAGACACAGCAATAAAGGCTGTGGTCACGCGCTCTGTATTATGTTACGCAATACGCGCCCGACTGTTGTTGTATTACAAAACACTGCATTCGAATTGACCAATCACACATTTAGTCCAGATTTGGGAATGAAATGACGTCATGATTTAGTAAAGTCGATTCGATGTGGCTGAGGCGGAAGATCGCATAAATCTGCATGCTTTGACATATCAGACGTTATACACGAGACTTGCTCCGTCATACTCAGACTACCAATGGGTAGGTTTCAGCAGATATGAACATCCAAAAGTACACCCAAGCTTATTTTCCCCATAACAAATATACAGGCTTTCTGTAAACAGGCTTTCTAATAATGTGTCATGGAACCCAACATTCTTGAAACACAAATGTTTTCAACTTGGATGTTTAACCCTAACCCATCTCAATCCTCCAAAATCCTCCTGGTGGTTTAGGAGGATTTTGGAGGATTGAGGATGAATGGTGTTTGAAAATATGGTTCTGAACATCCAAAAGAACACCCAAGCTTATTTTCTCCATAACAAATATACAGGCTTTCTGTAAACAGGCTTTCTAATAATGTGTCATGGAACCCAACATTCTTGAAACACAAATGTTTTCAACTTGGATGTTTAACCCCAACTCATCTCAATCCTCCAAAGTCCTCCTGGTGGTTTTGAAGGATTTTGGAAGATTGAGGACGAATGGTGTTGAAGCACGTGAGGATTTTGGAGGAATGAGGCTGAATGGTGTTTGAAGAGGAGGATGATTTTGGAGGATTGAGGATGAATGCAATTTTTGAGGCAGGACTGTCTGACGATTTTTGAAGGATTGAGGCGCTGGGTATCCTTCATCTGAATATCAGTGCACAATTTTGGAGGATTGAGGACGGTTTCTGGCAAAAAAGGCCTAGGGGGTTAGGTTTAAAGAAGAATTCAAGGTTAAAAAAAAAACATGGAGATGAAGGAACGAAAAAAATCATCTGATCTCAAGAAAAATGCAAGCCTGCAAAAAGTTTTAAAAGTCAAACCTGAGGGTTATCGCCCTGGCAACAGGGTCGTTGCTATGGATGACAAAAAAGATTCGCCGGACGAACTCATCCACGTTGAGTATCTTGTCCAAATGGAGCCGGCTCTGTTGTGCAACCTTCACCACGCACAGACGCAGAAAGTTACTCCTACAAGAAGGTAACAAAGTAGAAATAGACACCGCCAAAAAAAAAAAAGTCCACACTCATTGGAGGGGTCGTAATTTTGAATCTGATTGTCTTATGATGACGTCATTTATACAGACCTTTGGGGAATTTTGTTAGCTACATGTACATTAGGATACCCCGTTTGCTACTGTGGCGGGAACCCCCCGGGCCAACCCAAGTCTGTTAGGATAAGTCTGACTCCTAGTGGGGTGTGGACAATCCTCCCAAACCAAGGCTCTTCCCTAGACGAGAGATCACTCAGAGCGACCTTCAAGGCTAAGAGTGCAGGTCCGTTTTGGTGGAAATCTACCGCCCGATTATGAATGAGTGTTGATTATTTATCTCTGTTAATTAATTGCACAATAAACCTGTAAACATAAACACCGGAAGCAGAATTGTCGCTAATCTCAAACAACAATGATCATAATTTATTCAACAATAATCAGGTACATTAATTAGCATGTGATTTGGTGGGTTGTTTTAATAACAGGGTCTTTCTTTAATTACTGGAGATAGCCCGCTGCTCGTCTATGCAACAACGCACAGAGCATTAAGCACTAGACAACAATAACAGCAATGAGCAACTATGCATAGCGCTAGTAATGAATCGCTAAGTCAGCAAAACACAGCGTCACAACAGCCGCTTAGCAATGTATACAGTCCGTTAGCAGGGTACCCGCTATGCCGTGTGTGTAAGCCAGAATTCAGCTACACACACCAGCGCAACCCCAAAATTTGCTAATTAAATATTCACAAGATTTTACAGCGAATTATCGTACAGCATCTGAATCACATTTTTGCTCATTAAATATTCACAAGAAATTTAAGGAAAAATTATACTCATCTGGGTCAAATTTTAGCTCATTAAATATTCACAAGAATTTAGGGGAAATTTGCATTTATTTTATACAGATTAAAGGCAGAAATTTAAGGATAATTTAAGACTGATGAAATGTACACTTAATTGGATGGCAAGATTTTCGCCAATCGGAATTTTACATGATTTAACTGGGATAAATTTTACAGAGTTTAAACAACGAATTTTTCAATTAAATTATATACATTTTTTTTTCTTTACCGACAATAAACTTTTATAAAAAACATTTATGAAACTTTCAATAAAACTTTTAAGAAAACATTTAAGAAAGAAATATAACTGTTTAAAACCTTAGAAGCTTTAGAAAATTGATTAAACACACAAAAACATTAACTGGAACCCGTCGTTCACTTGTCGACAGGACGCCCGTTCTCATCAACGGACACTTGCTTGTAGCTCATCCGGTGGTTCTCTTCGGAGATAATGAGGTTGCCATCCGGCCAAGTCTGAGATGATGACTGGACCTGTACAGTTGCCGTCCTCATCTTTTTCCGGGGGATGTCTCTCTGGAATGGGGTTACTTCGGGGCGTGCTGGGATGCTCTCGCCACCTCTTCCAGTGGGGGGATGCAGGAATGCGGGGGATGAACCAGGGGAGACTGGAGCCTCATCCCTCAACTACCTCAACAGCAAATCTTGACACTAACGATACCGCAGGGGCAATTTGTGGGCCCGTCTTGGGTACCGTCTTGGTGGTGACTCATCCGGCCGTTCTGACTGCCTGGCTGGACTACTTGGACTCAACTCCTATGTAATGGTATTTTTCATCACAGGATCCTCATTTTCGGCCACTTCGGCCAACTCCTCAGACGACTCTCTGTCATCTTGAACCTCGGGGATTGCATCCATGGGGAGGCTTTCTGTCACCTTATCCCTGGACTGACAACCTTACGGTTCAATTGCCTTCATTGACATATGGTTTTAGTCGGTCTACATCGACAACCTTTAGTTTACCACCACGCCTAAGCTGGATTCGAACTGTCACATCTGACAACTTCTTGACAACAAGCCATGGTCCTTCCCATCTAAGTTGGAGTTTGGGGGACAAGTGCTTTTTCTTCGCAGGGTTGTGTAGCCACACAAATTGGCCCTCCTTCAACCCATGTTGAGACGCTCTCCTTTCAAAATTCTTCTTTTGCCTCCAGGCACTTTTCCCGAGACAATTCCTCGCCCTATTATGGGCCTCCTGCTTATTACTTTGTAACGTTTCAGCCAAGTCCGCAGTGGCTTCCACCTCAACCTCAGGACACCCTGTCACCAGATCCACTGGGACATTCACCTCTCGCCCCAACATCATCATGTTGGGCGATTCCCCAATCGAGTCTTGCGGCGTGCACCTGTAAGCGAAGGTCGCAAAGGGGAGGAACTCATCCCAGTCCTTCTGCCTTCGCCTAGGGTCAATGAGCATCGCCACGATGTTGACTAAGGTTTTGTTAAACCTCTCAACCATGCTGTCCGATTTCGGATTATAGGCGGTTGTCCGGGTTTTCGAAATGCCGAGAATTTGGCACATTTCCCTGAACACTACTGACTCAAAGTTTGTGCCCTGATCAGAGTGAAGTTCTTGGGGCACCCCGAATCGACAGACAAACTCAGTCACCAAAGTGTGCGCAACTGTAACTGCAGTAGCGTCAAGAAGCGGAAATGCTTCCATCCACTTAGTGCAGTAGTCGCCAACCACCAACACCCAACGATTACCATTGTCCGTGACGGGCAATGGCCCGAGCAAGTCTATTGCTACTCGCTCCATTGGAACACCAACTCGATACTGCTGTAGGGGCGCAACCCTCTACTTGGCAGCCGACTTTCTCCTGGCACAGACATTCCAACCTCGGAGAAAAGACCGTACGTCCGCAGACATGCCTGGCCAGAAGTACCTGGCTTTGACTTTGGCCAGAGTTTTGCTGACCCCCAAATGACCACTAAGTTGCCCACCATGCAACTCTGACAGAATTTCCTTCCGGAACTTCAGTGGCAAAACCAACAGCCACCGGACGGACTTTCCGTCGTCGGAGTCCCACCTCCTATGTAGAACTCCATCTCGGACCTCTAACTGGTCCCACTGTGACCAATAGGTCTTACAGGCTGCTGACAAGTGCGAGACCGTCTCCCACTCAGGACGACTATCACCGTCCTCCTTCAACTTCATGAGCCAACTCATGGTGTCATCTTGTGACTGTGCTTCCTTTAAAGCACTTCGAGACAGGGTTGGTTGGGCAGCTACGCCCCTAACCAAAAACTCACTCCCTTGAGGCTGAACCTCGGGTACCACACCAGTTGCCTCATCCTCCTTGACCACTTCCTCACGGCCGCACTGTTTGCATTGCCGTCTCGACAACCCATCAGCATTACCATGCTTCTTGCCACTCCTGTGCTCAATGACCAAGTCATATTGAGACAGGACCTCAATCCACCTCGCCAGCTGACCCTCTTGGTTCTTAAAATTAAGCACCCACCGCAATGCGGCATGGTCAGTTCTGACCGTCACCCTGCGGCCGTACAAGTATTGTTTGAAATACTTCAAGTACACAACCACAGCCAACAACTCTTTACAAGTGACACAGTAATTTCACTCAGGTTTGCTGAGCTTCCGGCTCGCTTACGCAAGCACTTTTTCGTCACCACCCTGGACCTGCGACAACACCGCCCGATACCTTCACCACTGGCATCGGTGTCCAGGATGAAGTCACCCTCGGGCATAGGATATGACAAAACTGGGGCGGCTTCAAACGCCCGCCCTTCAGTTCGTCAAATGCCTCTTGACAACTCTCACTCCACACAAACTCTCTTGATTTTTCGGTCAACGCATGAAGTGGACTCGCCACTTCTGCAAACCCCTTTATGAACTTCCGGTAGTACGATGCGAGGCCTAAAAAGCTTCGCACATCTCGTACACACCTTGGAACCGGCCAATTTGCCACTGCCTCAATCTTCTGAGGATCCGTGGCTACCCCTTCTGAGGACACAATGTGCCCTAGGTAAGCCACTGACCTCTGAAACAAATGACACTTGCTGGGCTTGAGCTTACCCGGAGACGTTCTAGGGTCTCCATCACCGACTGACCAAACACGATGATGTCATCCAAATAAATCAGTAGGATTTCCCACTGCAAACCGGCCATGACCTTTTCAAATGTCGCCGGGGCATTGCACAGCCCAAAAGGCATGCATTTGTACCGGTACAACCCGCTCCTCACAACAAATGTTGACTTTTGGCTGGCGTCCTCATCCAGAGCGACTTGCCAGTACCCCAACGCCAAGTCAAGTGTATAAACCACTTCGCCCGCCCAACGCATCGAATGTTTCATCCATGCGCGGCACCGGATAGGCATCCTTGATGGTCACCGAATTCAACTTTCTGTAATCAATACAGAAGCGTTTCGTACCATCCTTTTTGTCAACCAAAACAACATTTGCCGCTAATGGACTGTCGGAAGGTTCAATCACCCCCCTCTTTTCCAAATCACCGACTTGCCTCTGGATTTCCTCCTGATGGCAATACGGATGACGCCTCATCCGCTCTTTCATCGGCTTAGCATCACCAGTATTTATGTGATGCTGCACCACGTCCGTGCGACCAATGTCATGGTCACCCTTGGACAACACGCTCTGAAAGTCTACAAGACATTTCCGGACATCCCCATGGTACATAGCCTCCACATTAGCTGTACCCTTCTCAAACAAATCTTGTAAGTGCTGGGGTAACTCTTCACCAGCATTTGTCACCCTATCCTACTCACCATGAATTGAACCAACTTCTACCTGGGAGATCGTTCCCTCTGTTGTCCCCTCACGGGCAACTCTTTTCTCCCTTCCGGGATTGAAGACCCGCAACGCAACAACATCGGCTTCAGTCTCAACCAGAGATCTGGCCAACACCAAGCCCTTCTTGGCTAGGTCACCGCCACTTTCCATCGGTTCCACCATGGTAGGCCCGACCAAGTCGGCACCCTTCCGAGCAATTATACCCGGGACCACGGCCTCATGACCTGACGGAATCACTGTAGTTTTAGAAACTACAACACGACCAACAAAATGCTCGCCAGCACCATTTGTGCATTTGATTCGCTCACCATTGAGCCTCCACTCTTTCGACTGGAAATCTAAATTTCCACCTGTGGGTACCAGGAAATCCATGCCCAGGATACCACAGTACTTCATGTCAACAAACACTGCCCTGACTTGGTGCGTGGTTCGACCCACCTCTACCCAAGCTATACCCAACACGGCTAGCCGACTACCGTCAACTTGCTTTACCTGAACGTCTTCCGTCTGTCAGATGGGCCTCTTCTCCTTAGGAATTTGGTAGTACACCGTACTATTTATCAAAGTATCGGTGGACCCCGTGTCGATCAAAAATCGACACTTTGTCGTCCTGACCATCCCATCAACAAACAAACCATAACGAGCTCCATGACTGGGATTAGGCAGAGTTATAACTTATAACTCGTTGCCCATCCCCAGGCTTTGACCTTTTCTCTCCACCACCACCCTCGCTGTCCCTGTGTTGTCTCTTGAACCCTTTTGACCACCCAGCCCTCCCGCGGGTTCTACAGGGGGCTGACTGACGTTTCCCTGCTTTGGAGTTTTCTTGCACTCCCGGGCGAAGTGCCCTTTGTCACCACATCTGAAACACCGCAAGGCCCCAGGTTCAGGCCTACCGGGCTTGTGAGTCTGGGGAGACAACACGCCCCTACCCTGACCTTGACCTGTAATCTGACCCGACAAAGACTTCACCAATTCAGCCACAGAGTCCAAAGTTTTGGCCTGCTTATTGAGATTTTCCTCGAGAGTGTCAAGCCTCTGTTCAGTTACTGAGCCCAAAGCTCTCGCCAATTTGGCGGGCTTCCAGTCCAGCAATCTGTGCTGTTCAACCTTCTCGAAGTTCTCAGTCTCCAGGGCAGCCTGGACTGCTTCATCCAAAGTTTTTGGATGAGCCCTATTGATGCCCTCCCTAACTGAATGACTGTCAACAGTATCTATGAAGTGGTTCTTAGCCAACCTCTCACGAGCATCTTCCTGCAACTCAGGGTATGCTCTCGCTGTCAATTCGTGAATCGCTTGCCCTAATTCAAGCAGAGTCTCCTTCGGCTTTTGGCGCCGATGTCTCAGTTCGACGAGATAATTTTCACTCTGTCGAGCTGACCCAAACCTGCGCTCCAGCAACTTTACAAGCGCACTATACGTGTACTTGTGGCCAGAGTCACCGAATAACCGTCTCCCTGCAAGCTTGCGGCTAACCATCCTGCCTACAGACATCCCTGCCTATAGACATCCCTGCCTATAGACATACAAAGTTTCAATCCAATTTGCCTTGTAGTTTTCTAGATATAAGCCTTTGAAAAATGCAGCTTTAAGATGACGTCACATGACACATGATGATGTCATCATGACGTCTGAACAATATGCATGAGTTCAGTAAAGGGTCTCAGTTTGTGCAAAGTTTCAAGATAGAAGCATGTTTAATGTCAAAAGTGACCCCGAAAATGAAACATATACAATTTCTATGGGATTTGGGAAGAAGAACAAGGAAGAAGAAGAAAAATAAACAAAAAAAAACTAACAAAACCAATGACTTTTCCGCACATTATGGAAAAGCCAAAACACAGAAACAACAGCAACAGCAGTTGGGCAAGAGGCCACTTACCCGTCCCTGAAGACGTCAGCAAGCTTCAAGAAGGCAGAATTGATGAGGATAGGGAACGGATACTTCTCAAACAGCCGAGGAAAACGCACTATGGCCTCACACTGTTCCCCCACTTTGAGAGATCGTAGACCTGAAAGAAAAAAAACCAAAAAATTCATTAACCAGTTCGGGTCGGAGGACATGATAACACACAATGGCTGTTTTTATACACAGGCTGAGGCCAAGTTCGGGCAAGGACCATTAGTCGACTAGTGGTTGATTTGTGACGTAACTTACGCCTGCACACTAATAGCAACATGCAAACGTCTCTAGTCAAACGCTGTCATTGCAAAACTTCTGGATTCTGGTTCTCTGCTAGCGTTATGAATGCGCGCGGCTATTGGTTACCAGCGATGCAACCAGCCTCAGTACGTTGGTTACAAATAATCAACTAGCGTAGTCAACCACCATCGACTAGATTTACCATCGGTCAACTATAGTCCTAGCGCGAACTTGGCCATGGCTGACGGGTTAAGACGTCAAGATTGCCTCGACTTGCCTCCAGGTGACGTCTAAACACCAGGCATGCAACTGGGAAATCACAAAAAAAGAGGAAATTCAAATTTTTCCCAGACTTTGTACAGTGTTTTTCTATTTTCAATGGCACACATGGGAAGTAAAAAAAGAGGAAATCAGCTGATCCGAGGAAAAGTTGCATGCCTGAAACACGCTAATCCCTCATGCTTTTTGTACACACACACAGAGTTTGTGAAGTCTGTGGATGCAGACCGTGTGTTGATCTTGAATTGGCTGTTGCGCACGGCTACCCCTAGAACTATGGTAGCGGAACCCCATAGACGAATCGCCAACGCCTTGTTGACTACTTCGAAACAACTACTAAGTACAAAAATGTACATCAACATACAGCCATTGCCAGAAATCTGCTGCACAGTTTGCCCCTCAACTCCATACTGTACTTCTTGACATACTCACGTATAATGCATCAAACAAACACTGGTGTATTCTGTCCCGATCTCGGCAAAAAATGATGAAAAAAGCTATGTTCCGTACTGAGCAACATGGAGATTTATACGGTCATGTGGAACCCTATAGTTCTACGGGTAGTGCACAGCCTATTGTTGTACAATTTACGCTCCAGTGTACACCCCAGAGTACTGTAACATATGAGGATTCGGCAAGAAATATCGCACAAATACTGTTGAAAATTAGTCTTGGAAAATCAGTATTTGTGGCATTTGGCTGTATATCAGAAGTTGGCTGGAAAATTTTGCCTGTTGCGAAAACCAAAATTTCCCATATGCGAAGTGGTTACAGCGAGTTTGTTGACTAGTCAACCATGTGATTTCCTTTTCACTAAAGACCGGAGAATCCAGACAAGCAATAAAGTCTTTGTTCTCACAGTAAGTATTTCTGCAACACTAAGCAACACTCGGTGCATTTCCAACTTGCCTTTATCAAGCTCCAACAGTGCCGTATTAGCATCTTGCTCCTGTTCTCCATAACCAGCGTCACTGGGCATTGCTGACAACCTCATGGTCAATGTGAACAACACAGTCTAAAGAAAACAGAATAAAAGCAGAAAAGCAAGGCTAGTAAAACATTTCCAAACTCAACTGTGGGTAGGACTAGACTGGGACGTTAAGTGCTCAAAACTTCACTCACTCTTTAGCCTGCAAATTTCTCCAAAACTTTCAATGGGCAAAGAAAAGTTCCTCAGTATTTCACCAACCAAGTTTGAAGACTTTATTCAATTTTTTAAAGGAGACTTTTCTTCAATATTTGGCAGTGGCTTGCACAAGAGAGAGAAGTCAAGTGATTTCAAAATGAGGCTAAAGGCTGGACTTCTACATGTCCATCCACGGTCCAACTGTTTGACAAGACTGACTTCTTTATTTATTGTCATTAGTCTGGTGCCTGTCTATGGAGAAATATCTAGAAAAGTGACCTAGTACCCAACATCCTAGATATTTATTTTGGCACAGTCAGTTGACAGTTGATTGATGCAGTACTGAAGCGGTGTTGGACTGGTTGTTTCAAGTGCCAGTCTATTTTCTTGTATTGCAGGTTTTTAATAATTTAAGTTTTGGGACTCTCATACATGTCATATACACAGTCACACATTTTTGGACTAGGGTAGAACACCATATGTCCAAGTGCAGGAAACATATATGTCACCATATGAGGCATCGATGTTCTTTAGGCAAATCCAGTTCATCAAGAAAATGTTTGCCTTTCAAGTTTCTTTCTGATACATTGGCATGAGCCGTGTCTTCCTCGATGATAATAATCCAGAGAGTGCTGACGAAAGGCAGCAAAATTAAGATCTGACATAGTCTTACACCCAATCATCAATGTTTTGTCCAGTTTAAAGTTTTACAGAAATGAGAGATTATTCTTTTTTACATTTGCATGGAATTGCATATTGAAATAGGAACTCGGAAAAAATGTTGTAACCTGACGCCACTTCCACGATTGTGTACAAAGTCTATGGATGGAGAGTCAAGAAAAATTTCTAAGTATTTCCTAACAAAATTGGAAATGTTTCTCAGTCCCAGATTCATGTCTAATCATCATTTGTACAATGAATGACCTTCATTGAGATGATATATGAAGAAAAAAGTGGTGTCAGGTTGCAACATTTTGTCCAGAAACTCCTTCGTTTCTTTGCCATGACTCAACGTTTGCCATGTGGGCAGCCAATATCAGTGGCACTTGTACCGTAGACATGCCATGCAATGCTGATATGGCAGCTCGAACATCAGCGACAGCAAACCGTTTTAAAGTTTTCTGTACTACTAGGCTACTACCTAACTACTAGCCTACACTACAGTGTATTGTTTAGGCATTACACTGAAAAGAGTTAGGCCTAGGCCTTGAAAAGCAAGTACTAGGTCTTATGTGAAGGGCCAGAGTAGTCTCCCCAGGCCTCCTCCCCCCCCCCCCCCCCCCAACGGCCTCGCATCCCCCCCAGCACAAATGCCCCCGCCCCCCCCCTTAACTTTTTAGTTTCTGCATGAACAAATTAAATTATAAAACCAACAATGACCAAACTCTAAAAACATTGTTATAATAATCATCATACTAGACACAGCAAACATGCCGAAATCAATGCATAAACTAAACTCTCATAAAAAAAATGTAATGTTAGTGTTTACTGTGTATTTCTTCAGCAAGTTTTTTTCTCCGCGCTCTCGCTTTCTCTGGTCGGCTGTTTGCTGCCCTCTACAGTTTTGTCGGTGTATATTTAGCGCCACCAAGGGCTCAAATTTAATCATTATTTTCAAAACATTACTAAAATTGTGCTCTATTTTTAAACAAAATAAGCAAGTTTCATGATTACTTTTTTAAAACGAAAATGTTTAAAGTACCAAACAACAATTAACCCGGTAATATCGCATAAATAATCGATTATTTATGAGGAGAAAATTAAATCAAGTTTTCTGATAATTTGAACGAGGCCAGCTTTCCCGCAAGTTCAGGAGAGAGGCGCGCCAAATTTTAATGTCGAGTCTACCGGTCATCGACGGTCACGGTACGGGTGCGGACCGGGCATCACGATATTACTGACATACTGTATGTAGCCCTGCATGTGGGATTCCGGGACGGGAGTACGCATTGCACTACGTACACATGACATATGTTTCACCACATCCGTCGTTAATTTCATCGAGCTGGCATTAGCTATAGCAAGCGATGATCGCGTGATATTGTGATTCATCAAAATTCAAATGAATGCGTGATATTGTGATTCAGCAGCGTTTACTTTTGTTCATCATGGTTCTGTCACTGACAACAGCAAGAGCCAAACACGGTTCAAAAATAGGCCTAGGCCTACTCAAACATGAAGGTGAGTGAGTGGTCAGTGCAAAGGCAGAGCCAGTGCAGTGGCAAGATGGAGTCAGCCGGGCGATCTTGTATCTACAGTACAGACCCGGTTCCCTATACAAACATGACAAAATGCTTAAGTTAAGACACCAAAATCCACTTTTATTTTATTTGACTTAACACAGGCTAGGCATGACGGAATGGGGGGGGGGGGGGGAAGAATGCTGCAACCTGATGCTACTTCAGCGGTTTTGTACAAAGTCTATCATGGAGAGTCAAGAAAATTTTCTAAGTATTTCTGAACAAAATTGGGAAATGTTTTTCAGTCCCAGATTCATGTCTTATCATCATTTTTGCAATGACTGCCCTTCATTGAGATGATATCCTTATGAAGAAAAAAGCAGCGTCAGGTTGTAACATTCTTTCCAAGGAAAGAGGGGCCCGTAGCTACATGAACACCGTGCAGAACACTGCAGATCGCATGCGCATCTAATCGTATGCGCCCATGCGTTCTGCAGCATTGTGCAGAGCCAACAGGTACTCGGCAGGCTCCTATCATTTTGCGTGTTCAGCTGGTCGGGGTACCAGCGACCCATGTGATCAGGAAAAGTTGCAAATGTTCGGATCGGCCTCCATAAATCTCTTTCGCAAATGTGGAATTTATTGGGCATGCCGATAACAAAATATACATGTATAAGTATAATAACAAATAGAAGCGGCCGTTTATGCACTGGTGTTGGTAGCTGAAGCATCAAAGTGCACCAGACTTTTCCATCTGATGCACTGTGTTGCATCTGGCAGGGTTAGGGTTAAGACCCAAACGTTAGACCAGCTAATTTTGTTGGTTTCACAATTTGTTGGAATTGTTGGCGATTTATGTTACAAGCCTTTTGTTTCACTATCACAGTATCAGGATATCGTGATGTATGGGACTTCGTGCACGAAACAATGTTGCGGCTTTGCTGCTCGCCAAGTGACCAGTACATCTTTGAATCGGAGAGTCAGCTGGAGCAAGTTCCCCCGTTTGCATGCAGCATCTCAAAGATGGCCAACAGTTCTCATCTGTTGGCTGTGGTTGATGAGGATGGATTCGTGACCCTCCTTAACACGAGGCATTCTGCCGAAGTTGTCAAAGGTATGAACTGTTTGTGTTATTTATTGTGCTTGTGTAATACAGCCAAGTCAGTTTGGAATAGTTCAGTACTGAAATATTCAAAATGTTATTCAATTGAATTTCAAATATATTAGGTCTTGATTCAAAGTAGTAAAATGAGGATTTTGCAGGATGGAGGCTATATGGCAAAAATGTCGGGCTGATTTTGGAGGATGCACTGTGTCAAGGTTATGGGCCGGACCTTGTGTTCAGTTTATGCTCAGCCGTGCATAAATTTAGGCCTGGATTATACTTGGAACCCTCTGCACTGCTCCAGGATGTCAATGGTTCTGCCTCAACATATTGACAGCGATTGCTGGAGGATTTTGCAGGATTGAGGCAGTGGTCATCCCTCCAAGGACCACATTTAAAAATTAATGGAGCATTTTGCAGGATTGAGGCTGTATGTTATTTTTACATGGAGGCAGTTGGAGGATTTTGCAGGATTAAGGTTGCATCCTAGCAAAAATGCCCAGGGAGTTCGTGTATAAGAATGCGTGATACTGCAGATTACACTAATTAATTAATATAGCTAATCAGTTTGATTAACAACTGCTTGCAACAATGACAATTCAAACAACTCAGCAAATTAAAAAAATAAGACCCAGAATGATTTCAGTAAAATCCAGAATATTGAAGTCCGTCTGTTTTCTTACTTTTTCAATTTTATCTTTCTACATTTCATTTTGAAATACTCCTTTCAAATAAAAAAAGTGTAAAATACTCAATAACCAATGAGACATTCATTTCTCTGAATGTTTGGCTCATGCACTTTCTTTACCAAGGTATATTGCATTCATGCCACATTTTGCAGTCTTTCGTGCACACAAAAATGCGGTGTTCGATGTAGCGTGGGCCAGCGGCAAGAACCAGCTGGTGACCGCGTCGGGGGACCAGATGGCGGGCCTGTGGGACGCAGTGACGGGCACCCCCCTGGGTGTCTTCAGGGGTCACAGCTGCAGCCTCAAGTCGGTGTGTTTCCGTCCCGGCGACAGCCATGTGTTTGCCACTGGGGCCCGGGACGGCAACATCTTGGTGTGGGACACTAGGTGTAACAACAGAGGTAACACCCAGCTTTAAAAAATGATAAAGACAAGAATGGTGTTCAAATAAGCCAATGAATAACCAACCTCTCAACAACAAGCAATATCAAAGTTACAGTATATGAACAGAAAGAACCATTAACCATAACCGCACCAAACTTCCCAACCCAACACTTGATAGATTCAGGTATGTTAGGCCTGAGGCTTTCACTTTACATTGGCTTGATGCAGTGCTCCACAAGTGAAAACTAAACAAATTGATTAATGAGTGGCCGAATTGCTTTGGGTTTCACTGAACTCATCCAACCAATCCAAACTCAAACCAGTTTGACAAAATCAAACCTAACTTTAATAACCCCACCCAACACAACCCAACCTAATGTGTCAAGGCCAAGGCAAGCCAAGCCAAGCTATTTGTACCACACAAATGCAACCCAATCCAATCAGATGAAACCCAACCCATGCAACCTAATCCAACCAGATGAAAACCAACCCACCTAAACCAACCTAGCCCAGCCCAGCCCAGCCCAGCCCAACCCAACCCAGCCCAACTGAAACCAACCCACCTAAACGAACCCAGCCTAGCCCAGCCCATCCCAACTCAACCCAATCCAACCAAACCCCAACGCAACCTATTCCAACCGAACCCAACCCAGCCAAACCAAACCCAACCCAACCCAACCAAGCTCAATCCAACCAAGCTCAACCCAACCCACCCAAACCAACACAGCCTTGCCCACACCAGCTCATCCCAGGTCAACACAGCTCAACCCAGCCCAAGCCAATCCATCCCAACCCAACCCAACTCAAACCAGCCCAACCAAAACCAACCCACCCAAACGAACCCAGCCTAGCCCAGCCCAGGCCATCCCAATTCAACCCAACCCAACTCAACCCATCTCAACCGAACCCAACCCAGCCAAACCAAACCCAACCGAACCCAACCCAGCTCAACCCAACCCACCCAAATCAACCCAGCCTAGCCCACCCCAGCTCTTCCCAGGTCAACACAGCCCAACCCAGCCCAAGCCAACCCATCCCAACCCAACCCAACCCAACCCAACCCAACCGCACCAAAACCAAACCAGCCCAGCCCAGCCCAGCCCAGCCTAGCCTTGCCCAGGCCAACCCAGTTCAACCCTACCCAATGCCACCCCACCAACCCTACTCAACCCAACCCATTCTTATAAGCATTAGCATTCCTCTCATCTAGGTGGAAGCCAGGCACCCTACCACACAGCAGTCAACGTCATCAGGGAGGCCCATGCTGAGGCATCCAAGCTGCGCAACACTCCCTCCAGGAAGAGAAGCAGACTGTCCCCCTCTCTGCCAATGAGGGGTGACAACCTGTCTAGTGTCACTGTCGTCAACTTCCAGGACGATATGTCATTGTTCTCAGCTGGTGCCACCGACAGGTGAGCAATAGTTGAAAGCAACTTTCATGGTGCTACTTTTAAACAGATAATCTGTGCTGCCCTTGGCAGAACAGCTGTGGTATTTTGCAACATTAATCAAGGTTTTCACCAGAAAATTACCTGCATGTTTGTGGCAATTTCAGTAGTTACGTTGTTACTTTTTAAGGGAATCATTAGTAAAGGGCTGTTCCACTCTTTGGTTCACTTGTAAATCCATGAAATCTTCACGAAAAATACAATGGACTATTTATTTGGAATTGGGTACTTGGCATCAACCATGAAAAATTTGGAACTGGTAGTACAAGTTTGGAACTAGTGCAATTTTGAAACTAAACCGGGTCCCCGATTTAGGACGTACACAGATGTCCGGCTTAAGTAGAAGGAGAAAGATTTTAGCTGGTGTTGGAAAAATTTCGGCATTTCTGAGAAATGAAGGCAATCGCTTTGTTTTGTAAAAAATTGTATAGTGTTTGAATACTTTTCCATCTGATGTCATCTATTTTATTGTCCAGCACAATCAAAGTTTGGGATCTGAGAAAATGCAACAAGGGAATGAAGAAGGCACCGACGCCCAAACTAGTGTACCCCTACGCTGGATCTAGCATCAAAAACGGCGGTAAGCATCTATTGGTAGAATAAACCTGTAAATCCGCAATGTTTATTTGAGTCCATTTTGTGTCTGTTGGCTAGTTTAGGCCTGTAGGCTGAAACACATTACGGAAATAAAACAGACTGTAAAACGCACATGTGGAATGAAAGCTTTTAATTCATCCTAATCTGGTATTACAGCTGAAACTTTAAATTAAAGACTATTTCATAGTAAAACCTGCACTATCAAATTGACCCAACCCAACAAAATAGTCGGAATGTGCCAGAGCATCTTTTGCATAATCTTGCAGAATGGATATTTTGTACGATCCGGGCAAAAAAAAATTGGAATTGTGGGTTTGATTGTGGTTCTTGCTCACATTTATTTATTTGTCTATTTTGGTAATGAAACAAAGGATTCCTTAAGAGCGCCCAAGGCTTTTCTGTAGTTCGTAGCCTGAGGAAACCTATAACATGTATAAAGAGAAGACGCTGAACACATTTTAGAGGTTGGAGGAAACCTCCAGAAGAAAATTCTGGGGGAAAACCCACAGAATCAGGTAGGGACTGAAAAACCAATCCACATGTGGACCAGGGCAGGAATTGAACTTGGGCTATGGAAGTGGAAGTCATCGAAGAAAGGCCATCTGAAACCTTCAGACCATCTTGCATTATAAATATCGCAAAGTTTGACAACATGTTTTTAAGTTTTTTTTAATCATTTCAGGCTTCTCCAGCCTTGTGTTCAACTCCACGCGCAGTGAGTTTTTTGCGAGTTGCACCGACGACATCATCTATCGCTACAGCACTCTCGGCTCCCCGACGCGACCCATAGCAACTTACTCCGGCCACCAGAACTCCTCGTTTTACGTCAAGAGCGCCCTCTCTCGTGACGACGGCCTTCTGCTCAGCGGGTCTAGAGATGGCAAGGCATATATTTGGAATGTAAGTATCGTGAGATTGCTTTTTATAAGTCTCTACTACTTTTTATATGGCAAGAGGGCAAGAATAGTCTGGCAATCATTATTTTTCTTAAGTAGTAAGTGATAATCTGAGTGTTCGGGCCGGAGGACAAAAGGTTATACAAAAACGAGTTTTGACTATGACTTCATGTACTTTCCTATGGGGGAGTATCACCTTCATAGAATCACCATCTATTGAAATTTTAAGTTAATAAAATACTGATTTTACACTCACAAAACTTTCCAGAAAAAATTTACAAATGCCCAAGATTTTTCTATAGAACCGACAGTATAAGCAAAAATAAATAGAACCGGGCTTGGCTACAACAAGAGAAAGATGACAACGGGGACTTTGTGTCAGAGAGGCTTTTTTCACATACAAAAAAGTTCTGTTTTTGTTTTTCAAGCAGCTGTTCCGTTTTTTTCAAACAGACCCAGTTCCGTTTTTTTTTCTCAAGCAGATCGGTTTTCTGCACAGGTAAAGAATGACATTACATAAATACGTGAAACATTCTCAAGTACCAATTCTGGTGGCTGCGTTTCCCTGCAGGTTGAACGGCCACAAGCTCCCCCTGTCACCCTCTGCGGACATGAAGATGAGGTTACTATGGTTACCTGGGCAGAGGATGACTTTCCTAAGGTAAATAAAATAACGTAGTTGCCATGTTATGCAGAGCAGTGTGTGTGGGCCTATGTGTCGTAAGGCACAAATCACTTACCGCCGGTCTTAAAAATGAAACTGACTGCTTGCCATTATTTTTTGAAAATCTCTTGTTTTACGAAATGCAGACATGAAGGCAAAATTTAACTCAGTACAAACAAATTGTAGTATTGAGTCTGATTTCAGACTTTTTGAAAATTTGTAAAACACATATTTTTATGATACATGTGTGTGTACTTTGCCTTTATACCTCAAATTTCAGACAAAAATGTCAGAGTCCATGTACGTCACTAATTTGACAGTGACACTTTTTTTTTACTGTTGAGTCCCATTTCTGCTGTTTTCCCGCCTGGGGCTATGATGCATGTGCCCTTGTGCAAGGCACTTTGTCACTCATTGCTTCTCTCCACCCAGGAGTAAATAGGTACCTGTGAGGGCAGAGATGGTTGTTGTGATTGGTTTTAGCTGCCTATCTGCATAATGGCCGCATCAAGCTGTATACTCCTCAGGGAGCTGAGATTGTCTTTGGAATGTTTCATTGGCCCAATGAGCAGGGTAATAATGCCTCAAGCACCAATAATGGTAGATACGGGCATTTTATCAATAATAATAATTATTATTATTTTATTATTATTAAGGGAATAAATGTGTGCTCCGGAGGTTTTTATCACTCTGTTTAATACCACTTAGAGTCTGGGTGCTGATAATTACCCGAGCCGGAGGCGAGGGTAATTATCAGCACCCAGACTCTAAGTGGTATTAAACAGAGTGATAAATACCGACGGAGTACATATTTATTCCCATTCATAAATACCTTTTCGGTAAAAAAAAATCATATAATTCGTTCAAAACATCCCGATTTTGTTCAACAAATTTACTTTATGGTTTTTGAATCATCCCTCCTGCAAAATAATGGAATGTTCAGCTGGCGAGTAAGATGAAAACCACCCTTTTATGGAGATTGACGCGCGCGTATCATGTTCTATGCGATGTCGCGCAGAACGCACCTGGCGCGTTGCGTTTTGAATTTAGAACTATAAAATTCTAACTCCATGGTAGTGTTGCGCATGCCTACGTGAGGATTGTGAACGTTCAACCAATGAAACGATAAGAGGCACTGGATTTTTAGGAGTCCACATTTTATTGTGACACTGGAAAAGTGTTTAAGACCAGCTAGCCATGTCTTTATCATCCGTTTAATACCGGCCACGTGACTGGCTCTCGACCAATAGGAATGGCTAAACTGTCTGAGGTATTTATGAATACAGGTTATAACTGGTGCAGATGATGCCTCCATTCGCATCTGGCGATTGCACAACTATGAAAACCCACCTACACGTCATCAAGCTCAAGACGGACTGATTGGACATGCTGAACAGTCGCAATTGAGTACTCAAAGTATGTAGCATTGTTTATAAAATTCTCAAAAAACCCCATATATTTTCAAACCCTTTTTTTTTTTGGAAAGAGGGGATAAGGGGTTAAGAGGCAAACTTTTTGACGACCTGGTATTTTGACAATCACTTTAGGATGGAATTTTTTTTTTTTTTAATTGCAAGACTCAAGAAATATGTGAAGTGTAACCAGACATCACAAGTTTTCCAAAGTTGTTTTTTCATGTTAATTAAAAAGAGCATAATTGTAGGCTTGGGCGATTCCAAGTCATAATCGAATAGAATCGATTCCAAAGTAGGAATCGGAATTGTGGCTCCACTTTTGTGAGGAATCAGTTCCCAATAGTTCTTCAAAGAATAGTTTTCCAAACAGATTTTTGTGTCATACAAAACACATTATAAGTGAAATTATAATTGGCGAGTATAAAAAAAGGCCTTTTTTTATCATTTTTTTTATTTTGGCCACCCTTATTCTATTTCTGATAAACTTAACTTTGATAAAGAAAATGTGTTTTTTTTTACTCACCCTGTAGATGTCTTTCCTCACGGCTTTTTTGGATGGATAGCAATGAATTTGATTCCGAATGGAATCGTGACACCAGTATGGAATCGGAATCGATCCCAAAATTTTAAAAAATTGGCCCATTCAGTTTCTTTGTCCACCCTGATATCAATTACAATTGATCAGCCTTTTTTTTTTTCTTGCAGTGAAGGAAAATCTTCCGCCCGTTACCGAAAATGCTTCCCTCCGAACTTGCCACTCAACACCCCCTCGTCTGAGTAGATCCACGTCTTATGAACAAGAAACGGGGAAAGTCTCCTCAGCTCCCCCAACAACCCCGACAACTCCCAAACCCCCAAGCAGGCGCAACTCTTCAATATCGGACTGGCTCAAGAACAGCCCCAAAACCAACGTCAAGTGTAAGGAGAACAGTCAAGACGTCGAGAACTCGTGCACAAAAACCGACTCCGAAAGGCAGGCATCATCTCCACAGAAAGCGCCCAAGGAAAAGTGTACTGTTCTCGGAACTGCAAATCTGAATGACATCAATATCACAAACACCAAAGTTAGTGGCTCGGAACAGATTGTAGTAGATGCACAATCAGGATTTAATTCTGGGCTCAAGGAGCTTAAAAGTTCCCCAAAGACCAAACATGTCGGTACCGTTTTGAAGCAGCACGACAGTGCGCAGAGAGAGGATTTGCCTTGTGATGTTCCAGCGAAGGCCAAGAGATTAGGAATTCTAGACGGAGCAGCGATATCTATTGATTCGACCAAGGATTTACAAGTGGAGTTGGATTTGATTGCAAACACAAGAAGCAAGGCACACGATCACCTGCAAGACTTTTCAAATGGGAACCGGCCAACTAAACCAAGTCCTGTTAAGACAGCAGATACTCCAATAGATGACCAAAGTTCAGCTGTTATGGCCATTGATTCTGCTTCTCATCGGAACATGCTTTTAGAAACTTCAGTTGAAAAAATCGACACAGGCTTGAAAGAATCTCCACGTCCAGGCCAGAAGCGCAAGAGGAATGAGTTTGCGGAAGAGTTATTAACCACAAATAAGAATTTCAAGAGTGAAAATCAGAACCAAGACGGTTCGGATTCGGCAGCTGAAGCGATTTTCCCAGGACTGGTGAAGCGCAGCAGAAGCCTGGACTCGCCAAGAGATGCTAAGGGCAGGGGGCGGGGCTCTTTGACAAGCCACGCCCAGCATCAAATGTGCACGTGCAGTTGCTCTGGAAACCACAGACACCCACCTGGTAATTCAACAGCGGGCAATGAAGCAGCCAATGGTAATGCGGCAACGCAAAGCACAGAACTGACTGATTCTCTCGATGGAACAAGTTCAGGCAGAGAGACACCAAAGGTATAGTGATAAAAACATTTTTAAAACCTGTCATTAGCCAGAGAGGTGTTAGGTTTGTTGTTTTAAATTAAGACGGCTTACACTGAAACTCAAAAATATCTCTAGAATAAAATCCCAGAATAAGTCTTGATTCTAACTGATTAAGTTTTGTGTCTGAACAAAGGACATTTTTAAGTTGTTTGAGTATGTTATTGAAGTGGTCATTTCATTGAGAATGAGTTTAAAGGTAATATTACAATATTTGCTTTTGCTGTAATTTTCAGGAATGAATGGATTTGGGAGTTAGTAATAGTATATTAAATATTGTTACACTGACTTGTTTGAAATTTTGTGTTCATATATGTTGGAAAAACCAAGGGAAAAGATGCTTTTCTTGTAGTCTGGTTCTCTCACCCTACTTCAGACAAAACAGAGCACTTAATAGATGTCGGAGAATTGTCAAGTCAAGGAACCAAACAAGCTGGCTTGCGCCCATTCATGGATGTGTAACCGATTTTGCAAACAAACTGTGGACTAATTAAATTTGGTGAATTGGGGGCAGTATTTGAAAAAAAGTCAGTTTTTGGATATAAGACATCCACTTTTCTTGAAAATGACAGCACACCAGGTGCCGTGATTTCACAGGATGCTTGAGAATACTATTTACTTACAGTCAAGTAAGATATTTCATAGTAGTTTGGTAGTTTTGTCTTTTGATGTCTGCCAACGTTGTATACAGGGTGAGTCAAAATAACTAAATTTAAATGTCGGGACCATTGTTTTAGTGAAGTTCTAAATGTAGCACTTTCAAAATCTAAGATATAAAAGCCAAATTCATAAACTTTCTTTTAGTACAAGAACCATTGAAATCACTCATGTACTTTTCAAGTTACGGACTTTTAAACACAACCACCGTTTTATAAGTTCTGTCCACGGATCACAAAACGGTAAGTGTTCTTTCAGCAAAACGAAAACAAATCGCATAGGGATATGTGTGAATTGTTTTCGTTTTGCTGAAAGAACGCACACCTTTTGTGTGATCCATGGACAGAACCTTAAAATGGTGATTGTGTTTAAAGTTTCATAACTTGAAAAGTACATGAGTGATTTGAAAGATTCTTGTATTTAAAGAAAGCTAGTGAATTGGGCTTTTATATCCTAGATTTTGAAGGTTACATGCAGAACTTCACTAAAACAATAGTCCCGACATTTGGGTTTTGTGTTTTTTGACTCGCCCTGTAGTACCTTTAACGTGGTTGTGAAATAATTTTGAATAAAACAAATAACAAAAAAAAGTCACACAATGTAAAATGGCATGAAAGATAACACTTTCCCATTCCCTATAAATTGGAAACTCCTCAGTGATACAATGTATGTAATACCTCTGAACGGTTTTGCTTACGAAAATTGGTTTATGATCAACCACTGTTATCGAATAGGTTTTACTTGCCCATTTGAATTTAGAGATGAGCTGTATAAAAATATCGGTTTTTATTTTTTACAGATCAGCAGCTGTAACGGTTCGACAAAGAACATCTGTTTCTACTTTCGGCCGCATACCCGAGAGGTCAAAAGGTCACACTCCGACGGCACCCTGGTGAACATGTTGAATGGCAAAGCCTTATCAACAGTGACTCCCAAGCATGTGAAGTGATGTACGAATACAACGTGGTTTAAAGGCCGGTGAATGTGAATACATTTGAAAATCAGGAAACGTTCACGGCAAATTCGCCAGAGTTAATCTGCTCAATTGTTTGCAAATTCATACTTGTGACGTCACAAATGCGTTTTGTGTTTGCTTTCGTGCCAAGAATGAACCGGCCTTCAGTAGAGTGTGGGCTTGCTCGTCCTACAGTTGATTTTGCAAAACTCTTATGTAATAGCCTACTCTACATTTTATTGTGAAGATGTACATAACATTTCACATTTTGCAACTTTACAGTTCCGACCACAGAGCTATATTAAATTACTAGAGCGCTATAACTCATGTACAAAGTTATGCCTGCTAGGCGCATCCATGTTTGTACACAAACCTATGGAGAACTAGATATTGTGTACGTATTTTGTACGTCTATTTGCATATCTGCGTTTGTATTCCATACCGGTGCGTCATCGAAGCCGATACGCCCAAAACCAAAATGCACGATCTGCAAATGAGCATTTCATTTTGCTCTACGCAAACAGCGCAACGTGTGCATGTCCCCTGCTGCAGATGCTTTTGCCGTGACGTTTTTTTAACCATTATGACGCGCTTAAGTTGTTTGCGTATTTTCTACTTGCGCGTTGTATTTAGAGTACACTTTTAAAATTCAATCCATCTGTTGTGATTGTGTTCTACAAACAAGCACATGAATTCAAAATGTCTGCGCCTGGAGCGGCTTCAAAGCTTCTCCGCACGCAAGAAAGAAGAGTTAGCGCTCTAGTAATCTAATATACATGTAGCTCTATGGTTCTGACACACTTTGCAGAAAGTGCAGAGTAAGTCAGTTTTTATTGCCTTTTCCATGTTTGAAGAGGCAGATTTGTATGAACTGTGATTTTTTTACAAAAATAGATGAACGTGTGTGATGCTAAACTGTCGTCCAGAAAATTAAGGGTAATCTGGCTCATTTTCTGATCCATTTCACACCAACTTTTTGAAGTAGGAATTGAAAGTTAACCCTAACTTTCCCAGATCATTCAAGGTGGTTTTAAAAAAGTGTGTCCGCAAACAATCTTTTATCTTTTACGTGCATTAGCAATGGATTCCAGTTACGAGACCCAAACAATTGTGCATATGTTTCCCTGTTTTCTAAAAATGTATAGCAACCACTAAGCTAAAACTTCAACAGATTTGTTCTTATGCACCTTACTTAAGATTTTCAGTACTTTTGTTACTTCAGACAAACAAAAAATGCACAAAAAGCGAGGGATCCCACATGTATGTACCTTTTAACCCTAACCTTCACAAATCCTCCAAAATCCTCTTTGCAAAATGAAGGATTTTGCAGGATTCAGGCTATATGGCAAAAATGTCAGGCTAATTTTGGAGGATGCACTGTGTCAAGGTCTTGGGCCGAACCTTGTGTTGTTTATGCTCAGCCGTGCATACATTTAGGCTTATATTATAAATATATTGAAATCCTCTGCACTGCTCCAGGATGTCACTGGCTCTGCCTCAACATATTGACAGCGATTGCTGGAGGATTTTGCAGGATTGAGGCAGTGTTCATCCCTCCAAGGACCACATTCAAGGATTTTGCAGGATTGAGGTTGCATCCTAGCAAAAATGCCTAGGGAGTTAGGGTTAACAAAAGAATGTAGGCACGCTCAGTGCATCTGTCCTATGTAATGCCATTATTTTGTTTTAATTAAATAACATTTGTATGAGCAAAGAACTTTGTAAAAATGATATACAATACATTCCAATTGCTACTTTGTGATCGTTTTTTATTCAGTCTATGCATTGTTAATAAAAGACAGCAGAATTGTTGAAAGAATAATTACACAGGTGTTTCATTGTGCATTTGACAAAAACTGTGGCATGTAGGATATGTTAAAAATAAAAATTACACCCATTTCAACAAAATGTTGGAGAAACATACCAAAAAAAGGTTCAAGCTAGGTACATACGACATACATGGCTAAAATGCCTTCAATCTAAAGTCAGTAATGTGGGCATATTGTTTGATTGTTTGTATCTCGGTTCTTTAGACGATCTTGAAAAGTCGTTGTCAAGACATTTTGTTGCAAAAGAAATTGCTCATTGTACATTTGTGACCCGCGCCACAAAAAAAAAGGTGAGATTGACTTATATACATGGTTGGAAAGCCCACAGCGTAAGCTTTCATTTGGTATATAACAGAGCTCCATAGCCCCTCTCATTCTGGAGATGCGATGTATTTGCATATTAATTACTTCCTTGGAGTTCAAATTACACAACTGAGAAAACAGGCTTTGAAATAACTGGCTCTGTTGTAGATTTGGGCACGATGCACTCAAAATTGTGGGTTTTTCCCCCCACTTTATTAATTGAAATCAACATTTCTGTGAATGAACCCCAAAAGTTGAGGTAGTAAAGATGACATTCACGACAAAAATGGAAATCACAATTTTCATCCTCTCAACGTTGAGCGGGCCATTACACGATAATGCACAGCGCGACTTTATACCCTTTTTTGTGGAGTGGGTCACATTTACTTTTTTCCACTGGAGTTTTCTCACAACTTAAAAACCTTCACTCCAGCACAAAACCAATTCGAAGTCACACGGACGTTATTTTGAAATACAGCCTATCATCCATACAACACTGATGAAAATTTGTGTAAATAACTAGAACAAATGATGAATGTATACTCCAAATTTCATTTCAATTGCTGTTATAGAAATGTGCATTGCTAAGGAGATAATTTGGGACACCTGAACGACAAGTTTTTTCAAATTTTTTTTTTAACTTTCCGAGGTCCTAAATTTCAGAATTTCATATACATGTATGTTACAAAGTCACAGTTTTCAAAAATTGGTCCAAGCATGGAGGTAGGAAACACCTCTTTTTTTCACTGGCCAGCTGGGCTACTGAAACAGACTCTTAACTAGCCTGCGGGCATTTGCACTAGCCCGCATGTTTTTCTTTTTTAGTTAGAGTGTCTCATAAACAAAAATGTGCATACATGTAAAAAAAAAAAACACATCCCGAGGCAATCTTTGCAATGTTTTGGATAAACAGATCTAATAATTTAACCCTAAACAGTTACATGTAATAAAATTAGACACAAATTGATACAGGTTTTCTTCCTGTCCTTTCATCTGTTTCATCAGTAATTTTTGACTCGCCAGCTGGGCTACTTGAGGAATAGCTTGACTAGCTTGGCGCTGTTTTGACTAGCATTTGGCTGGCGGGCTACCGCTAAAATCAAACCCTGCCTCTGTGGTCCAAGTGACTGGTTTTGTGTTGGGGGGGGGGGAGATTTCACATTTATGCCTTGCACTTCGAAACCCTTTTTTTTGGCGTGAGAACACTCCAATTATGCAGAAATCCTGCATTCAAATCATGTACACATAAGAATTCTTTTGGCAGGTCACCAGTACAATGAAGCTTCTCTTTAAAAAATTTCCAGATGTACACAGTGCAAATGCCTGAACTGCTCAAACAAGGGAAACCTTCCAACTTCAAACGCAGCATTTATGTCTGACCCGGGCTAACATGGGGGGTCAATCTCAAGAAGTACATGTAAGTCTTTGTGAACTGTGTAAATACAAATTTAAAAACAAAAATTGACAATCACATTTTGACACGTCACATTTCTGATATCAAATCACACGGTGCTAAACAACATCTCATAGTTGTCAGTAGTTGTTTGAACCCATCAGCACCTGAATTACATTGTATTACTTTGTGTTTATTCACGGATGAATCAACAACACCATAGAATGCTCAGGCGGTTTCGGGCGCTACAGGGAGTAACAGGCAGGGCGGTGTGGGACAATACAGTGACTAATGGGCTATTAAAACCGCATAGAAGTCTATAGTTGTGCCAAGGTGCACCATAGTTGTCAGTCAATAGATGCTTGGGCTTACAGTCAACACATTTTTCACTACTTGGCATCCAGTTTACAATGCAAATATAAAGTCAATTTTGGGAATGCACAGGAGTCTTAAACACATCTTTTCTTGTTTTTAGCTGCGGGATAGCAGCTGACCAAATCATCATGTCTGTCCATTAGTTAGTACAAAAGTTCTGACCATACCACCCTTGTGGGGTGATGTTCCTTTCAGGACACATCACCCCACTATTTTCACAATAGAAAAACATCACCCCAGAAGAGAATCTTTAGAAAAAGGGATAATGGGAACACAATGCTATCACCCCACAATTCCGTCTGGCTGGAACGTCCGTTGACAATGTCCTGCTCCTACATATTTTGACCGATTTCAACCAAACTTTGTCAAAAATATCAGTAGCCCAGCCCATGTCACATGACCAAAGGTCATCATGGAGTCACTGGGGTTAAAAACCTGAATTATTTTACCCAAAACACTACTCCTTCCAGAAATTACATGGCACAATCACGTGACTCATGCATGAACACGAATTCGTTGGCCGGCAGCTTCCGAGATCCGATCGAGCTTGTTCAAACAATCTCATGACGAGACCACAACCCTTTCTTGATTGATACTATGATGATTCTGTAGAAATCAGCTACTACATTTTTAAAGTTGCGTTCCCCCCACCCTTCAACGAATTCAATTTATTTTTTACATACATACGTCTTCAAAATGATGTCAAAGCCAATTATACTTTCCTCTCTAATTTGCGTGAGTACCGGTAGGTCCTATCCGGTTCGTTAGTGTGACGTCATCTTAACTTAGCCACGCGTACTTCACACAGTGAAGCATAGCAAGAATGGAACGGAAGTTTTAAAAACGCAACTTGAATGTTTATCCAATGGGCGCTTGTAATCAGTGGTGAGTGCGGGTGTATGACGAAATCACTGACGAACCGGATACTCGATGCGACAGACCAATCCATTAGGCCCGCCCACACCATACACATGGGTATCAACACATGCGACTAACCTAAGCCTAACGGCATGTTCCAGACACGCGTGTTATTTGCAAGTGCACGCATGTCAGATCTTTATGGGGCGGGGCGTAGCAGATCAGTCTTTTGAAATTTGTTTAACCACTTCGCGCCGGGATTATTTTGCCAAAAATTTTGATCTTCGAAAAAAGGCAAAATATAGCAGCCAACTTCTGATATAAAGCCAAATGTCACAAATACTGATTCGCAAGAGTCATTACAACAGTATTTGTACGATAGTTCTTGCCAAAACCTCAAATTTTTCAACACTCCGGGGTGTGCAACGGAGTATAAATTGTAGAATAGTCCATGCACAGCGGCCAATTCATGATCAACACTCGGTCCGCCTCCACAGACTTCACGGACTTTGTGTGTGTGCACAATAGACATGAGGGATGAGCGTGTTTAGACATCACCCAGAGCTTGGAGGCGAGTCGAGGCACGCTTGAGGTTTTAACCCATCAGACGTGCCTGTGTATAAAAACAGCCAGTGCGTGTTAACACGGCCTTCTGATGCGAACTGGTTAATCAACAGGAAAAAAAAATCCAGCGATTAATTTTTTGGCTCAATGAAGTTCGTAACTTGGTGAATGGTAATCCTGGATAACTTGGGTCTCAGTAGCCAAGAGTGGCCAAGACTGATTTCCCCATATTCTCGTCACAAGTGCAGCCCTGCATACTGCAGTTTCCCTATCTCCCGACACAACACAAGCTCTATAAATACTACCGACAATTAATGCTGTTATGCCATACAGATTCTGTACAAAATGTACATGCATAAACACTGGGGCTCCTACACACACACACACCTATACCTGACTCTATAACATTCCTAGACACAACCCCAAAGTTTAATTTGTTTAAATTAAAAAAAAAAACCACCATAGCATTTTTTCATCCTGACCAACTGTCGGCTATAGAGGGCAGCATTCCCTTTACAAGCAACATGTTATAATCAGGGCGAGACATGTAAAACGTAATGTGCGTACGCACAAGTTTCCACGTAGACTATTCACAGAATAACACAAACATGTCGCTGAAGGCGGTGCCAGCAGTCTGCTCCGAGTTTGACCGTCGGCCAATAGGACGGCGCACCACGAGTCACATGACCCGGCCAAACTTATCCCACCATGCCTTGGCACTGTTCACTTCCCATCTTCGATGCACTTTCCTCTTTCTGCTCAAAAGCGCAAAAACCAATTGGTGTAGAAAACTGAAAGAAGACAGTTGTTCCGGCTGGAGAATTGCTAAAAAGCTACACGCATCACAGTCTGAGCACAGACTCAAAATGGCGACCTATAACATAGAGGTCAACCTATAACATAGAGGTCAACCTAATTTAAATATCAAATCCAGATGTGTCGTGCGTCTCCGTTCTGTGCCATGCTTGCAAGCTCGACCGACAAGATCTACAGGTACGAAAATGTGTCAGAAGTATGAGGCCGTTGCCTGTCTTCATATACAATGTACACGTGCGTTATGAGGTCCGGTCTCCGGTAAGCCTAGTCGCTTCACATACCCATCAACATCACTCCTCAGTAGCAATAAATATTCACCTCTGCCGTTGACTTTTTTCCCCAGTAGAAGCCATGCCAAGCAGTTGAAGTGAAGTAAGGTTGCAGACACGAACCCAGCCAGCTGTGAAGTTGTCCTATTCCGTCAATGGACTCCGTGCGTGAACAATTAAGAGAGGGTGTTTTTTTACCACTTTTTTTGGAGCTCCAGTTGGGGGACACACACCGCATGCGCGTACTGGTTCTCGCGCATACAGCGCAAAGTACGCGCGACTCATTCTATTCTGAACGTGCACACAGCCAAAGCGTCTTCGCATGAGCCCCAGGCGTTACCGGCAGCGCGTTTGAATGTCTATCCCAGTGGTAGTCCCCCCGTGGTCTCCCCAAACTCTCCCTACTACCGTTGACGGGTACTTGTGCACGGAGCCCTTAACACAGCACCCATGGCCAGTTAACGCAAACAGTTGAAACAGTAGCGGAAATATGTTACACACAATATCCAGATCCTGAACTAACAACCCCATCTACACTTTTTTTTTTCTCTCTTCAAACAAGCAACGTAGCTCTCGAAGGTCTAGTCTCCACGTTAAAGTTGATCCCTCCTTAGCACTTCCTCTGACCGACTAAAAACATTTTGCGTATTAATATATATAAAAAAAAAAAACACGACAGGACACAAGTTGTCAAGTTCAGATGATAATGTCTTCATTGTGTGGTTGTCAGTTTTTTGACAGTTAGGGTGTGGGTTAATCCAAGCCACTCCCTGTAGGTTGACATCATACTTCCGTGCTACCGTCACCCTCTGAAACAGAACCAAAAATGTAAATACATGTAAAAAGTTTGCTTTTAAAAAAACACAGACAAACTTCAACAAAAATGTGAAACATACATTTGTATGAAAAATAGTTTGTGTATTGAGTAAAACTGTTAAAATAAACTCGTATATGTGACAAAACCAGTCACTTTCAGACCAATTTGTGAAAACTGGGATATTGGGCTCATTTGGTAAGGACATTGAATCAGCTTTCCGATAATGCACAGAATATGGCAATCAGACAAAATCTGACGGATTGAAAGGTATTTTCATTTCCCAATTTTCCGGCATTTAAGTAAGCGAGAAATTTGTCGTTAAAATTTCCCAAATGAACTCCTCAGTAAATTTACAAATTGTGAAGTGAAATGTATTTATTTATTCTAGCTCCTTACTAACAACATCCTTAATAACGACTGAGCAATGGAGTACCGTAGTGTGACGTCATTAAGTGTAGGAGTACGCGCACGTGTTGGTTCACGGGCTGAATCACGTGCTAATGTCTTTTACACACATTTTGTGCGCGTGACGTATTCACTTCGGTACTCCATGTCACTTGAATGCTGAGTGCACATAACATTTTCCTACTCTCTAGAGTATCTAGAAGTGACCCACACGAACACAGCTTTAAGTATTATAAGATGGAATATAATAGTTTATGCGGTACCCGCTGCTATGTACATCAGATTCGAACCGGCCACCCGATCCCGTTAGCTCGGTGGTCGAGTGGTAAGACATCTGCACTAGAAAGCAGGAGGTCGTGGGTTCGAGTCCCACCCGAGTGATTTTGTCCAACTTTCACTTGGGAGGTAACACACTGAGTATACAGTGTTTAAAAACGTCGGTGAAGGGCAAAAAACCTAATTTGACAGCTTTAAGTGCTACCACAGACACTCTGCATGCACAAAATCCTTGGTTATGGGTTGTACGTTTTCCATGTTAAACTGAGAAAATACTGTTGCAGTAAGCACAGACATAGAACTGAACCCTAAACTTCAATTTGTTCTTCAGTCCCCACCCTAGCCTGGGTTTCCTTACCCGACTCGTCCGGTCCCCAGACTCGAATGGTGCAGTCATCCGAGACACTGACCAGCATGTTAGGAAGCACTGGATTCCAGGCTACACAGTTGACTGTCCGCGTGTGGCCCTGCAGTACTGCGATGGGCATCTCATCTTTGATGTGCCATATGTACACGTTATTGTCTGCGCAGGGATAAAATAGACAGGTTGCACAATATGATACACCACCAAGCAATTGACCTATCGCTGTTTGCGAGTTAGCCACGCCACTTAGACAACCTTATGGAGTTTTTGTACACTAAGTTTTGTTCGTCTCAGATTTTGCGTATTTTGCGTCCATTTGTATATCATGTAATTGGACAATATTTCACAATCTGTGTTGACGCGATTCTAACGCAATTCTACCACGATAGGTCAATCGCCGCAAAGTGTCAACTTTTCAACTTCATGGAATTTCATTAGCTCAATTTTCCCTCTTGGCCAGATGTGTGCGAAAACCCTTTTAAAAAGGTATTAACAGAAACAACTTGGCAACATCTGCACTAAAGTGTTCAAATTTCTTGTGTTCATGGTATCTAGGTGACAATTGTGGTTACTAGTCGCTAGGTGCTTTGTGACCAACTCAAGTAGGGCCTTTAAAGTTTTGCCCATACTGCTTGTTTCCCTAATTCCACGTGTCTTAATGTATTTTGACAATATAATAGTCCGCCCAGAAATGTACCCTATAATACCGAATACTGCCATATTTATCTCCGGTTTCAGTAGCAGGAAACGACTGAGAATATTTCTACTCCCCCTGGATGGGATGCTAGTCCATCGCAAGTTGCTCCCCGGCTAATGCCGATACCCATTTATACTCCTGGGTGGAGAGAGGCAAGTGGGGGTGAAGTGGCTTGCCCAAGGACACAACATATGGCCAGCAGCTGGATTTGAGCCCCTGACCCTCTGATCATGAGTCGCGAACCCTAACCACTAGGCCACACTCCCCAATCACGGTATGCCGTAGACTCTCAAAATCCCCTCTCCCCTACTCTCATCTTGTAACTGTTGGGGGGGGGTACTTGTGTCCAAGCTAAGTCCATAGATAAAGCTATAGTCCATCATTTGCAGCTATCCGAAAAGTAACTGGCGTAATTATTGTTGAAACACATACTTGGTTGAAAGATAGTAAGGGAACTAAACTCCCTGTGAAATTATTCTTTCTGGCAAGCTGTCATTTTGAAGTAATCAACGAAAGAAGGCCTTTCCAACGGTGCTTCTTAAGACGCACCGTAGGAAATTTAAATTAGAAGTTTTTGTTATTCGGCGAAGCGCGCGCAAGCATTGGCACGACGCACACGCACTTGCTATAATTCGTCGGATCAGTGCGCGACATCGCGTAGCTGCAATCGGCTCAGTGAGAACGTGTCTCGGACGCTGAATTCAGGCCCAATTCAAAACATGATTCAGCAACTTTTGGATTGAAATTGAGATCCTAGAATGCTGTTTTTCTCGGAATATACAGCTGAAGCTGAGCTGAAACTTCATCAGGTTAGCTGTTCAGTACCCTTCTTTAGATTTTGAGCACTTGTGTTGCTTCAAACGAACAAAATACACAAATTACAAATGATGGACTATATCTTTAAAGAGGTTGTGGAATGCTTGAAGACATTTCCGTCATTTTTCGGGTATATGTAGCCTAAGGTGTGATGAAATAAAAACGACTATTGTTTCTGTCATAAAATGAGTACAAAAGGTACTTTTGACAGCTGTTTTTCAAGTCCTGTCATGCCTGTTTCGACCCGAACGTGCAATTTGTGTAAAAGTCGCCGTTGCGGGCAGCAAACAAAACACAGTAAATCGTGACGTAATAAACAGGACTCCCGATGCAGAGTAGCATAAACGAGTCCTGTTTATTACGTCATGATTTACTGTGTTTTGTTTGCTGCCCGCAACGACGACTTTTACACAAATTGCACGTTCGGGTCGAAACAGGACCTGAAAAATAGCTCTCAAAAGTAACCTTTGTACTCATTTCATGACAGAAACAATAGTCGTTTTTATTTCATCACACCTTAGGCTACATATACCCAAAAAATGACGGAAATGTCTTCGAGCATTCCACAACCTCTTTAATTTTCTGCCTGATTTTTGTCCCAGACTGACCTTCACTCCCGCTGGCGATGAACTTCTCATTGACCCCGCCGAAGCAGGAGTGGATGGTGTAGAACCCGTGGGTGACGCCCTGGAACTTCCGGACCAGGACTTTATCCTTGATGTCCCAGAGGTGGACGCCCTGGTAGGCCACGCTCAGAAGGGCCTGCCGCTGGTTGGAGCTGATGGTGAACGACATGATGGAATGGTCCTCTTGGATTCTAGAAATGTGAAGAAACAAAATGTGATCTTACTTATTGTATTTTAATACAATAATAGTCCTCCCAGAAAATTACCCTGTTATACCGCATACTGCTATATTTCTGTGTCGGTATGGGCTCCTTGCACAAGTAGTCCTTCAACGCCAGAAAAGGAGAGTTAGGGGAGGCCTAGACTGGTTCCTGGTCCATCCACTGCGTATTTTGCATGATCCAAAGTTATTGGGGGCAGGGATAAGTCTGGGAGTCCAACACGATGTCTGACACTCACGCGAAGACGCTGTGGCAAATAGCTTTGGCACATTCAGCAAGTCGTGCGTACTCAGGCGCGCTCGAACCAGTACAGTACAGTACGCACACGCTGTGTGTCCCGTCCACGGTGCTCTCAAACGTGGTAAAAATGCGCCCTCTTTTGTTGGCGCACAGTGCTCATACCATGGACTCTCCAAGTCCAATACCGCACAAGCCTGGAGGATTTATCACTGGCAAATTAGGGTAACGGGTCTCGCATGCAACAACAAAAACATGTTCAATTGTACGTAAAACGGTCTCGAGCTTTGAACGAAATAAAGTTGCTGCCTGATCTAAAACACACTTACACATGTTGATCTGTGAGGTCCTCAAAGTTGTATGCTCTGATGCGGTTGTGCGTATCGGCGGCCAGTACGATGTTAGTGTCTCCCTTGATGCAGAGGCTCTGCACTCGAACACCCTCCCAGGATTCCAAGACGTTACCATCTAAATCCTGTACCAAAAAAAAAAGAAAAAAAAGAATGAAAACTAGAGACCAATAGTCTGTTCTGCAACATATTCAACAGAACACTGGGCTGTTTCGGCTAGTGAGGAGCTGTAGGCAATAAAGAAGCGCTGTGTGCCAAGAATTAAGTTGATCAGATTTTTTTTAAATGCCAAAGTGGGTGTCTGAAAAGAAAATGTGTACAAATCGTATGGAGGAAATCTGAAAAAGTTTTTTAAAGAAGGACAAAAAATTCTTAACAATTACAAAGGCTATTTCGGCAAATTGCCGAAACAGCGGAAAAGATAATTGTTTTGATAGGGGAGAGGATACTTTTCAGTTTAATTTTTAATTTAGCTGAAATGGCAGCAAAAATGATAATCATAATCATAAGGCGGTTCTTATACAGCCCTGTATGCCAATATCTCAAAGCACTTCACAATATAGTCGGAAAAGTGGCATCGAAACAAACATGACAGTAATGTTAAAGGTATAGTCCATCATTTGTAATTTGTGCATTTTGTTCGTTTGAAGCAACAAAAGTGCTCAAGACATACAAGATCTAAAGAAGGATGCTGAACAACTAACCTGATGAAGTTTCAGCTTTAGCTGAATATTTCGAGAAAAACAGCATTCTAGGATCTTGATTTCAAATCAAAAGTTGCTGAATCATGTTTTGAATTGGGCCTGAATTCCAAGACATGTTCTCACTTAGCCGATTGCAGCTACGCGATGTCGTGCACTGATCCGACGAATTATAGCAACCGTGCGTGTGTGCCTCGTGCAAATGCTTGTGCGCGCTTTGCCAAATAACAAAACGAACTGCTAATTTGAATTTACCGTTGGAAAGGCCTTCTTTTGTTGATTTCTTCAAAATGACAGCTTGCCAGAAAGAATTATTTCACAGGGAGTTTAGTCCCTTACTATCTTTCAACCAAGTATGTTTTTCAACAATAATTGCGCCAGTTACTTTTTGGATAGCTGCAAATGATGGACTGTGGCTTCAAGCCACCATTACCATATTTTGCGTGTGGTTTCTATCCACATTTTGTGCAATAATTCCCTATTCCCTCATTCAGCCAGCAGCGTTTATAAAGCATCCATGTGCTATCACATCATGTCACCGTCTGGCACCTGTACTCACACACTGATAAAACTGTCCCCGGTTGCCTCCTGTGACAAAGCGTTTGCAGTCCAAATTCCAGGATGCGCTCGTTAAACTGTCCTCCGGTGATTGGCTGATCTTAGTTTTACTTTCCCCAGTCTGATAATGACAAAAATAAACAGTAAAAAAGCTACTTAAAAACTGTCAGTATAAACAATGGTTTAATGAAAATGGGGACTGAGTTAAAGGGCCCATGTAATGTGGTTTTTGAATGTAATCATTGGAAATGCACCTTCATGTCCCATTTAACCTTAATTTCAATTTTCGTTTTCCCATTTAAAAAGGGTATTTTGTTGCCATTTTTATGGTTTTATGCTAATGCAAATTTCCATATTCCTCATGTTCATGAGGAAAAATGTGATGTCATTTCAGTCAGAAACCTCAAGGTTACAGCTATTTCAGCACCAAAAGTTGCCAGAGCTTTGGATATTTCTCTGTCGTAAATGTTCTTTTCCTTTGGTGATTCGTGGTTGTGTCAGTACATGGCAGTACATGGCAGTAAGCAAACTTTTCTGACAAATATTTTCAATAAGCACATTCTGGGTTCACAGTTTGAACAGAAAACCCCTAAACTGAAACACCACTATAACGAACATGATGGGGTCCATAAAAAAAACATTCCCTATAGTGGTCGTTTTTTATAGTATTGTGCATTATGATTGACTTTACTTTTTCGGGAGCCAAATGTTTGTTACAGCGGTGTCTGTTTTAGTGGCGTTTCACTGTATCACCATTCAGATGACGAGGATTTATTCCGGTCGTGTATAAAGCAAATCACCCCCAAACTACGGTGTTTAGTTGTCCACGAGGGCACTACTTACCAGTTGGACCTATGATTGCACATTTCCTTAGCTATGCAAATAACAGCTAAAGTAAAAACGGGAATGCTACTATGAGCACTGAAAACACGTCCTACCGTCACGAGCGATAAAGAAAAAGAGGAATTACTAGCGCGGGCTCCGACTATTGTGGGCGCTGACGCAGGAGGGCGCTGTGGCATGCTACAGCAAATCTTTACTTCAGCGGTTATTTACGAAGCAAAGGAAATATGCAATTATAGGTCCAACAGGTAAGAAGCCAAAGAAGTGGACAAATATTTCACACTCATACAACTGAAAGAATCAGTTCATTCGGTAACAGATGGACTACTCCATTCCACTTGGCTTCACCTCATGGAATGGAACATTCCATCTGTCACCTCATGAAATTATTCTTACCATTGCACTCATAAACATTCCTTCATCAAATCAAACTGCAGAAGAATTGCCAAGCTGTTTTTAGAACTTCATACCTCTACATTCCAGACCCACAATTCGGAGCACTCCTCTGGACCACAGGCTATTAGATACTTGCAGTCTGGGCTCCAGGCTAGGAAGGAAACGCCGTAGGAATGGCCTTCCAGGGTTTTAATGGCTTTCAACTCTAATGTTTCCTGCATAGTAAAAACAAAAAATTGCACAATTTAAACACCTAAATTGCCTGACAAGGGAGAAAAAGGTCCCTGCTGTAGTACACAAATAAGGGAATAAATGTGTGCTCCGGAGGTTTTTATCACTCTGTTTAAGACCACTTAGAGTCTGGGTGCTGATAATTACCCGAGCCGGAGGCGAGGGTAATTATCAGCACCCAGACTCTAAGTGGTCTTAAACAGAGTGATGAATACCGACGGAGCACATATTTATTCCCATTCATAAATACCTTTTCGGTAAAAAAAAAATCAAATAATTTGTTCAAAAAATCCCGATTTTGTTCAACAAGTTCACTTCATGCTTTTTGAAACATCCCTTTAGCAAAATAATGGAGTGTTCAGCTGGCGAGTAAGATGTAAACAACCCTTTTATGGAGATTGACGCGCGCGTAACATGTTCTGCGCGATGTCACGCAGAACGCACCTGGGGCGTTGCGTTTTGAATTTAGAACTATAAAATTCTGACTCGCTTGTAGTGTTGCGCATGCCTACGTGAGGATTGTGAACGTTCAACCAATGAAACGGTAAGAGGCACTGGATTTTTAGGAGTCCACATTTTATTGTGACACTGGAAAAGTGTTTAAGACCAGCTGGCCATGTCTTTATCATCCGTTTAAGACCGGCCACGTGACGGGCTCTCGACCAATAGGAATAGCTAAACTGTCCGAGGTATTTATGAATATAACATAGTTTGAGGGTGGATAGTCAATATTAGTTCCCTATCTCTGGACAATAGCTAGCACTATGCTTTCGCCATTGAAGGGGCCTTCATGCTAGAACTGATAGCATGGATTGGTTTATAGCTTTCTCCAAGCTTGTGCACTATAGTGCCATTGGAGCTTTTGAGGAAAGCTTGTTTTCATTACCAGAAACAAACGAATAATATTAATAATTACCTTATTAACATCCCAAATGATGACGGTTGTGTCTTTGGATCCCGTGGCCAGCTTAGTACCATCAGGTGAGAATTTACAGAACCACACCTCGTCGCAGTGGTCGGGCAGGACTTGCCGGGACTTGGAGGGAAACTGGTTCCTGGAGGATGGGAACAAAATTAAAGATCAACCAACTTGGTGAAAAAAATTTCAAGACCAATCCAATCACTCACTACGGACTCGATCACTGTAAGAAGTAGAGTCATGTCTGGGTTCGCAATGCTTTAAAGCCAGAGTCCATCATTTGCAGCTATCCAAAAAGTAACTGGCGTAATTATTGTTGAAAAACATACTTGGTTGAAAGATAGTAAGGGGACTAAACTCCCTGTGAAATTATTCTTTCTGGCAAGCTGTCATTCTTAAGAAATCAATGAAAGAAGGCGTTTCCAACGGTGCGTCTTAAGAAGCACCGTTGGAAATTTCCGTTAATAGCTCGTTATTTTATTCGGCGAGGTGCACGCAAGCGTTGACACGACGCACACGCGCACACACAGTTGCTATAATTCGTCAGATCAGTACGCAACATCGCGTAGCTGCAATGGGCTCAGTGCGAACGTGTCTCGGACACTGAATTCAGGCCCAATTTAAAACATGATTCAGCAACTTTTGATTTGAAATTGAAATCCTAAAATGCTGTTTTTCTCGAAATATACAGCTGAAGCTGAGCTGAAACTTCATCAGGTTAGTTGTTCAGCACCCTTCTTTAGATCTTGAGCACTTTTGTTGCTTCAAACGAACAAAATGCAGAAATTACCAATGATGGACTATACCTTTAAAGGTTTTACTAACAAACCGGATATGCCTTTGAAAAAGAAGTGTATCCTCCTATTAGACCCGTTCCACCTGTCAATCAAACAGCGCGCATGGACCAATTACATCGCAACTTTTAGTCAGGTGACCCCGGTCAAACTCAGCCACAAGTTCTGAGAAATGTACACAATTCAAAGGTGGGCGGGGCTCATGGCCAAATCTGGGACCGTCCATTTCTCATCCTCCTCGTAATCTTACCGACTACATATATGATCGTGCAGGAGTGAAATAGACTGAAGGGAATCGTCGTTCTTGATGGCGGTGTTGTGGTAGGGACAGCGGTGTTTCTGTAGCTCCACGGCCTGACTGAGGAGGGTGTATAACCGGCGCGGGGGTAGCATCACAGATGGAGGCAGGAAGGCTTAGGATAGCAAAAATATAACAAAGGATTTAAGGAAGGATATTTAAACAGGTAGAGAGCTTGATGGTCTCAAATGCTTGCTTTTTCTTGAAGTGTTATCAGCAACAGCAGTTATAATGTAATTTTTTTCAACACAAATGTGATGCGATCAAGCTACACAAGTCGTTTGTCGACCCTAGTCAAAAAAATTTCTATTACCGATTTGAAAAGAGCACCATCTCAGCATTACTGCTGTGAAAACCGCATGCTGATACCATCTTTAGTTCAAAAATTATGGAAGTTAGAACATCAAGAGATGTGATAAAGTGATGTGATGAAGTTTCCAAATAAAAATTCCAGACAAACAACTCATTTAGCTTCATCACATCACAAATATTATTAGTTATCCCATGAGCGGGAGTGCATTTTCCGTGTTCCACGAGCGCAAGTGGGACAACAAATTTATTTTCAAGCAAACACGCCACTTTTGAATTCACGATGAATACTGTGCAGCAATGGTACCAAATCGCTTCGCGTAAGCTTAGAATAGCGCAATATGCGGATTGCTGTATGGGCCCGTGGCCATGCTACAGGGTTTTATATGCAGCATGGCTTGTTGCCATGGATCGACTTATCAGGATGGAGGATTCAAGTTGACTTGAAAATAATGGTATTTGCATCAAAATAACAAAATTAATCTAAACACTGGACTTACTGGATAGAACTACAGCTATGTTGCATTCGACTGGTCAAATGACAGATAGTGGAGCGAGTTATTTTATTCAGTAAGTCAACCATTTTTTCTGATTTGCTTTGTTTTTCTAGCTACTCCAACTTAATGATTGAGAATATACATTGTCATTGGCATTTGAATTATTGGCATATACAGGGTGAGTAAACGAAACCTACATGTCGGGACTATTGTTTTATTGAAGTTCTGCATGTAGCACTTTCAAAATCTAGGACATGAAAGCCCAATTCATAAACTTTCTTTCCGTACAAGAATCTTTCAATCACTTATGTACTTTTCAAGTTACAGAATTTTAAACACAACAATTGTTTTAAAGTTCTGTGCACGGATCACAAAAAAAGGTGTGCGTTCTTTTAGCAAAACGAAAACAATTCACACACATCCCTATGTGATTTGTTTTGCTGAAAGAATACTGAACTTTTTGGTGATCCGTGGACAGAACCTTAAAACGGTGGTTGTGTTTAAAATTCTGTAACATGAAAAGTACGTAAGTGATTTGAACGATTCTTGTACTAAAAGAAAGCTTATGAATTGGGCTTTTATATCCTATATTTTGAAAGTGCTACATGCAGAACTTCACGAAAACAATGGTCCCGACGTTTGGGTTTCGTTTTTTTTTTACTCACCCTGTATACTTGTATTATTTATTCATTCTTTCTTATTATCATCACCATTGCTATCTTCATCCATGTCCCTTTATTATAACAATGACTGCCAGCGTCGTTTGTCATCAACAACACTCCGTTACATGTATCATCAACCCAATTTGCTGCTGGACACATTGGGTCTTTCCTTTACAGAGTTTGTTATGGGGTCCTTCCTTTTAAATACCTTGGAGTTGCTCCATTAGTTTTGTCCTGGAAGCGTTGCCCTTCCCGGCCCAATCTGCTCTCCTATGGAGCTCATCTTTGCTTGTGCACATCAGAAACCTGCAAAGATATTCATTAGGAACATTGTAAGGAAGGTACTACATGTAAATTGAAAAGGCTTGGGTGATCCAAATGGAGCTCTACGCACAAAATGGCTCAAAATCAAAAGAAATAAACAATAGGAGAAATGAGCACTAGGTTGGAAATCGCCATATTCCAGTACACTTGGGCAAAGCCAAATTTTGAAGGGGTGTTCAACGTTTTGTTTTTCACGTGAACCAAAATCCGTAAGACCTGTTCTACACCTTTCCCCAAGTGTTTTTGTTCTACCAAACATCTCTAAAACCTAGTTTCATCCTATTTTATTATTTGAAGGTTTATTCACTGTAATACAACAGCCAGATTTTTTTAAACGCTATTTTCTCAAAAATTGGTTGAACAGCTTCAATCTAGTTGGCAGCCTATATTTCTGTTGCTCAGAAATCAGTACTCTACAATATATGATTAGAAATGGCTTGTACTGCAGAATCCATACATAAAAATATGTCAATTCTTCAAAAGTCTGACTTTAAGCTCATTTTGTTGTAACGGATCACAAATCAATTTAAAACGGCGCCCGGCTTAAATAAGACAAGCCGACATATGATGTCATAAAGCATCCAACAGGCAATTTAATCATAAGGCTGCAGTGAAGGCGATTGCAAGCTTCTTCCGACCGCCTCCTGTTCCTTGCAAAGCCGACAATCTGGCTTGGATTTTACACTTCCCATATTCATTTCCCAACAGGTGCTGAACAGACTGTCGGCAGGTACATGTACGTGTAGGAAGGCAAATTAATTCCACAGCCAATTACCCCAGTAGAGCTGTGCAGTGCTCAATAATTTATTATTCGAATATTCTCAACTTCACTTGATCGAATATTCGAAATGCATTGGTCAAGTGTAACAGTCCAGCACCCGATTTTAGAGAGTTATGACATGTAACACGTCGCAACTCGCGACGTGTCGTATGATCCATTTCACGAAACTTGCGATGTGTTATACGCGTCGTGAGTTCCTTGACATGCTTGACAACGGCTAAAAACAAGTCCCAAATTTAAAGCTATAGTCCATCATTTGCAGTTATCTGAAAAGTAACTGGCATAATTATTGTTGAAAAACATACTTGGTTGAAAGATAGTAAGGGGGCTAAACTCCCTGTGAAATTATTCTTTCTGGCAAGCTGTTATTTTGAAGTAATCATTAAAGATCTTAAGACGCACCGTTGGAAATTTCCGTTAGTAGTTGGTTTTTTTATTCAGCGAAGCGGGCGCAAGTGCTGACACGACCCACACGCGTGCGCAGTTGCTTTAATTCATCGGATCAGTGCGCGACATCGCGTAGCTGCAATCGGCTCAGTGAGAACGTGTCTCAGACGCTGAATTCAGGACCAATTCAAAACATGATTCAGGAACTTTTGATTTGAAATTGAGATCCTAGAATGCTGTTTTTCTCGGAATATACAGCTGAGCTGAAACTTCATCAGGTTAGTTGTTCAGTACCCTTCTTTAGATTTTGAGCACTTTTAGTTGCTTCAAACGAACAAAATGCACAAATTACAAATGATGGACTACATCATATATATCTTTAATGACGTGTCTAGTGGTCATCGCAAAATAAGACGCATTCTTTTCTTGGCCAGTTTTATGCCATAACAAAATACATAAACAAGACTATAATACCGAGACAATGTGTGTGAAGTTGTTAATAGAAAATGCATTGAATAATTATGAATTAGCCTTGAATATTGCAGTTGAAATTTCAAATGAAGTACGTGTACTGACGAAAAAAAAGCAAAGAGCTTATCAAAATAATATAAAGAACAGGTTAACAGAATGGCTGATATTTGACCGATTTTAATCCCTCCTATTGTTTGATCAGTCACAGACAGTCAACAATTTAATCCTGTTCCCCTACCATGCCTTTTACACAGGCTAGTCACCAACAGTCATGTATATCATACTTCATGTAGGCACTGTGACAGTCAAATTCCATCAACAGACAAAAGCAGGTGACCGGTAGGCACAGCTGGCTTATCAATCTCCTACAGTCAAAGCACAGCTATATCAGGTTTCATAACAATCACAGCCAGTCAATCCTGCTTGATGAAGGGAGGGAGCACTGAAACTGTTAAAGACAGTCACTTGATTTATTCTGAGTGCTGGGCAGGCCTTGATGCTGACATTGCCAGCCAGAGAGTTGAGCTAATAGTCCTCTTGGAACCTCTCAAATAATGGCTTTCGACAAAAGTGTAACGTCGGTGCCGGGCCGCCGGCAGAGGGCGCCAGCATGGACCCACGGTGCAACCGTAGCGTTGGGACCCTGCTGCTTGGCCAGGGAGACCCGTTGCCGGACTGCGCTGACTCAGTAATGGACATTTTGGTATGAAGTTTTGTTTCTTGTTGTGAGTTGTAAAAGGAGAGAGCCTCGTGTAAGAAAGTGGCAAGAATAAACGGCCTAGAGCCCCAAAATCCTGAAGAATAGTGTCTGTGTAAGTTTCCTCTGAGGTGTGAAAACCCAAGATCTGGTCGACGTTACAAAAGTGTGGCATTTGACAAGCATTAAAACCACGCAACTTATTATACGACTGAAATAACATTACAGACATTTTTCACCATCTCCTCGAGATTGCTCACATTTATCGAATATTTGTATTGAAAAAGTGCTTTTCGGATATTCTGTTGATGATATTTGAATATTTGGTATATTCATCACAGCCCTACAGTCAAGGGGTTTAAAAAAAAAAATTGCAAAAAAAAAAAAAAAACCCTTCATGAGAGATCTCACCCGCTCAGCACATGGACTCTGTCTGTGTTGAATTTGAGAGGTGTCAGCTCTTGGCGTAAACACTGCAGCGCTTCCAAGATCCGACTCTCCTCCAGATACTCCAGGTATTTCTGCTCAAGAAGCAGGAACTTCATCTTCTGTTCAGGAAATTGTGGCAAGGATAAAAAAAAAATTAAAAATTTGAAATAAAGTAAAATTTGGACTGTATGAAAATAACTGATGAGCACTTGTGTAACATTGTTTTAATAACATAATGGGGAGCTGCCAACATAGCAATGGATAGCTCAGTTGGTACGAAAATGTAGAGCACTGGAAGGGTAATCCAAAGGTCGCTGGTTCAAACCCCACTGCGGTCAAGTTCTTAGATCAACTTTATATTTTTTGTTTATTCCCGATAAATCCTTAAAGCCATTCCTGGAGTGGTTGTGATCGATACAGAGATTAACAGGCAGGTTGATTTCCAAAATTTCACATGACAGAGGATTTTTTATGCAAATGCGAGGCGAATAAGACGTCAGGAAGCATTCACTGGGAACTTCGCCAGATTTGAAATGCGTTTAACTTTTGTGAATTCATAGCAAGATTTGATATGACGTCACAAATTAGTGGTCGCATTTGCGTTCCCACTGAGTAGGAACCAGCTTTTAAATTGAATATGCACAAATATAGTGTCCTTAGATATGCATAAATGTGTAGTGTTTACGTATGTGTATAGGGAATATATACAGTAGCTTCAAAGTCAGTAAAACTTGGCATACTTATTACTGTTAAGTGTTATGATAATAGCGCCCTCTTGTGTTACACTTAGTTAGTCATACACGAGGTCACTAGAGCTAGACTGAGACGGGAACATGACCCTAACTTCTTAGACGAATGTATCTAAAGAACTGTCTCTGTGTCATTCAATTATATCATTAATTGATCTCAGACTTAGTACCGCACTCTCCAAGACAATACTTATAATGAAACATTGGGAACAGTCCATGCGCTATTGAAAGCATTGAGGCAAATTTCTGACGTCTGCCGGATGGAAAGCATTTATGAATTATTCCAAACTTTCGGACTTGTACGAATCACAATACTGGTGATGGGCATACAATTCAAAGAATGGAAAAGTTGTCGCGACAAGAGTTTGAGATCGGAATGTGTAGTTATACTCACTGTTCTTTGTTAGGTCTGCTTAGTATGATTTTCTTTCCACTATACTTTTCAATATCCACCCTTGAAAAGGCAAAGCTGCATATGTACATTGTACATGTTGATGTGCCATGGATAAATCACAGGGACATGTATTGTTGCGAGTGATACGTATACCTGTTGATGCACTAACATTGACAGGGGTACGTGTACTTTGAAAATACCTCCAAGCTCATATGGGCTACATTTTTCAAGAAAAACATTTTTGTCAACAATTGTCTGTCATGGTTGGAAAGCCTGGCATAGTAGGCCTATTGCCCGGAGGAATTAATTCCTAAAAAATGTGTCCCAACTCCAACTAGAAATTACATGCATGATGCACGTCAAGGGAGGTCAGGGAAACTATATTAAAACCACGCGAACTATGAAAACGTTCAGAAATTCCTCACCACGATCAACAACCAGGTATATAATGTGCAACAACCTTAAAGGTTCATGTAGATGTACATGTACATTTGTAGATGTACATGTCCATAGGATTAATTTGCTTTTTGTGCATTTGTTTTCGTTTGAAGTAATAAAATTGCTCAAAATCTTAAAGGGAATGTACAACATTTGCTTTTGATGCAATTTTCAGAAATAAATGTATTTGGAGGATTAGTATGTTGTAGCAAATATTGTTAAACTGACTTGTTTCACGTTTTGGGCTTGTAGATGCTGGAAAAACCAAGAAAACCTATCATGCTTTTGTAGTCTGGTTCGACATTATTGGTTGGCGATATTTTATCCGTTGCTTACTACATTATTTCGTCAGAATATCGAACCAGGAAATTGAAAGGGAAACTTTGACGTGTTTGCAGACATGTATCGCACAACTTTCATGCACATTTTTTTGCTTGTCACAGTGATTTTTGTGTGGTAGGAAGAATAAAAACATAAACCCAGATTTTTTTTCAAGCTCTGGAGAAATTGTACATTGTGGTGGGATGTTTGTGGCAAAAAAAAAAAAAAAAAAAAAAAAAAGGAGAACTGCCTTCAAATGTGTATTTACCGGTACAGGGTGAGTCAAAAAAGCAGAACCCAAACCCCCAAACTATATTTCATATTTAAAAAAATATGTAGCACAAAACATAATAATGACTGGAAAGCCAATTTCATAAGCTACTTTTAGATGAAAACATTACTGAAATCGCTCGATCCGTTCAAACAATATCTCCATTTAAACATAATGACCCTAAAACCTCTTTCATCGAAAAATGTGATTTCAGGAATCGTCGTCACAAATTGCCTTTAAACATCACCGGCGATAAATTCTCAGTTTAAAAGTTAAAAATATTCAACAAAGTCTTTTTGAAGGCCCATCTTTTTAAAAAAAGTGGATATGATAAATCATATTGTTTGCCTAACCAGGGTTATTCATAAAGATATTGTGCACTGCAGTTGTTGGCAGTTGTTGAAACAAGTATTCTGTGTCATTTGCTTTGTTGTTCCAAACAGGCAGAATACACAATAAACTGCTCTTGTTGGAAGAAACAGGTTTTAGGGTCATTGCGTTTAAATGGTGATATTCTTTGAACGGATTGAGCAATTTCAGTATTTGTTTCATCTAAATGTAGCTTATGAAATTGGCTTTCCAGTCATTATTATGTTTGGTGCTACATATTTGTTTAAATATGAAATATATATGTGTTGGGGTTTGGGTTCCGCCTTTTTTGACTCAGCCTGTACAAATGTATTGAATAATGTTTACATGTGAATAGGTAAACTACACATAAAGTGTCTCAACTTCATTAAACCATTGCTATGACGTCACACTATTGTTAAAAGAGTGGATTCGGATCTACGAATCTCTTACACTGGTCACAAAGTGTGGATTCGGAACGACGAATCTTTAGTAAAGTGTGGATTCGGAATTACGAATCCACACTTTGAACACGTCGGACAATTGTTCTCCACAATGAGCATGAATAGGACCATCTGCGTGAACATTTGCTTTCCGAAAATTACCAATGAATCTTCAATGGAAGATTCTCCGCCGTCACTGCAAAAAAAACTACTTTTAGTCAGAAAGAAATTTGCGCCTCGTGAATTCTTAAATTACGAATCCACACTTTCTCGTGTATTCTCCTTAACAGAAACCAGTGTCAATTCCCTTTTTTTATGCACGATCATTACAATGCAGGATACGTTACAGCTCACATGCAATATATGCCAGCAATAAACACATACCGATATACATACATGTACCGTACACAGAACATGCTGGTACCGATACATGTACTGGTACAGAAGGTGGCAATTTCGCATATTTACATGTAATTTAATAAGGATGTAACCATTTGTCCAGGTTGGGTGTGTGTTGTTTTTCTTTTTTTAGATAAACCCTGTTATATCGCAGGATGACATGCATGAACAAAAAATTCTTGGTTATAGCAATCTGTCGTAAACTGTTAACCCTAACCGCCCTGAATCCTCCAAAATCCTTTTTGCAAATTGGAGGAATTTGCAGGATTGAGGTTACATGGCAAAAGTGCGTTGCTGATTTCGGAGTACGCACTGTGTCAAGGTCTTAGGCCGGACCTTGTGTTGTTTATGCTCAGCCGTGCATAAATTTAGTCCTTGATTATACTTGACATCCTCCGCACTGCTCCAGGATGTCACTGCCTCTGCCTCAGCCTATTGACAGACATAGCCGGAGGATTTTGCAGGATTCAGGCAGTGGTCATCCCTCCATGGACCATATTCAAGAAATAACGGAGGAATTTGCAGGATTGAGGCTACATATGCTATTTTTCCAATTGGCCAATTGGAGGATTTTGCAGGATTGAGGCTACATCCTAGCAAAAAGGCCTAGGGAGTTAGGGTTAATGAATGAGAAGTATCTTTATAGTGTAATGTAGCTCATGGAATTGCATGAACCATTAATTTTGTAGGATCTCATGTTTGTGGCATTTTCACCCAATTTCTAGAGCAACAAAAATGGCTCACTGTTTAATATACAAATACAACATGGTTTGTCGGGGAAGTAGTGAAAACTAATGACCCCGAGGTGTTGGATGATTGGGACTATCTCCCAATCATCCAACACCGAGGGATCATTTGTTTTCACTATTTCCCCGCAAAAACATGTTGTATTTGTTTTACTATACCTCATAAATATTCATCAGGCAGCTGCCATATTTCATTCGTCCACTCCACCATGTTTTTGATCGTGCAGAAATAATGGGGTCCGACAATTTCTGTGTAATCTGCAGCTAAAATGTATAGCCTCTAAAAGATTTCAGAAGTACTTGTATATGTACAATTGACCTTTCGCAGTTTGCGAGTTGGCCACGCCCCTTAGACAACCCTATGGAACGTTTGTACGCTAAATTTTGTTTGTCTCAGATGTTGCGCGTTCCGCGTCCATTTGTATATCATGTAATTGGACAATATTTTACAAGCTGCGTTGGCGCGATTCTAATGTGATTCTACCGCGATAGCTCAATTTTGTTAATGTTAATAACATGTAGATCGAGTTGCAGATAAGTCCTCACAAATCCATCACAAGGCATCCAGTTTCAAGTCAAATGACAAGCTCTTCAAGTGAACTGCGACAAAGGCATGTGTTTTAAATCCTGTTTTACAAACAGGATTTAAATATTGAGTGGCCATTGTCTGGTACCTGTACTTCAACTCATACCCAGGTCCCTGCTATCCAGCGCTTACCATAAGACTCTGTGGACAGGTCATCTGGGGTTTCAGTTCCTCCAAGTCCTCCTCTGCCTGTTTGGCAAAAAGGACAGAAAATTTAAAAAAATGTTTGTCACCTTAATTTTTAAAATTTCTGTGCCAACACCGAACACTTTTAGGACTTTTTAAAAAAAAAATTTTCAATGCAGTTACAGGATGATATCAGAAGTAATTTTCTTGTTCTTTGAGTTTCATTTTATTGGAAAGGTCTTGTTTCTAATCAATAACACCAAAATCTCATTTTTTTGTTTAAAAACTCTAGGCTCTTCACTTATTTGGCGGAGCCGGATCACACGATATCAGGTCACACATTGCTAAAAAAGATTTTCTTACATTTAAGTTTAAGAAATTAGTTCTTGGTTTGAAGAACTGTTTTCTTGCATCACTCCCTAGCAAAAGTTTTTAGGAGTGAGACTTATTCTTGAACTAAAGATTTTTTCCACTTTGAAGAATATCCTTTTTAGCAGTGCATGACTGAGCCTACCTTGCCAAACTCCCCAGCCATGACATGGGCGCGGAACTTGGATGCTGAGGGGTCTTCAAGCCGACAATCTGATTCGATCATCAGCTGATCGACAGTCTGACTGCATGGGAGATGAGAAGAAAAGAAAAAAGGCGACTTTAATCAAATACAGGAATTTTGAAAGTTTGAAAAAGGTGTTATACATTGTAGGTGTTAATTGGTTAAAGGGAATATACATCATTTGCTTTTGCTGTAATTTTCAGAAATGGATGGAATTGGGGGGTTGGAAATATATAGCAAATATAGTTACACTGACTTTTTTGAGGTTTTGGGTTCGAAAATGCTATAAAAACCAAGAAAAACAATCATTTTCCTGTAGTCTGGTTCCCTGACTCCATTTAAGAAGAAACAGAGCAGTTTACATATATTGGGGAATTGTAAGGTCAGGGAACCAGTCTAGCTGGCTTGTACCCATTCATAGGTGTGTAATCGATTGCAAACAAGTGCGATGGTCAACTAGGGCCAGTAGGACTATTTGAAAAAAAGCCAGTTTTTTCCAACGCTGATCAGCCGATCAGCGTTGGAAATTGATACAAAAATACCACTTTTCTTGAAAATGACAGTATACCAGGTGCCATGATTTTACAGGATGCTTTACACTGTCATTCACTAACAGTCCAGCAAGGTATTTCAAAATGATTTGGTAGTTTTATTTTTTGATGTTTGCAAATGTTGTATTTTCCCTTTAAGCACTACAATACATTTACCAGGGAAGGTACCGTACTGAACGTAGAACTTAATTTTTTAGATCAAGAGAGTAGGCCCTACTAAGTTCATTAAAAAAATAAAGGGCATATTTCCAAACTATGTTGGTTTTTATTGAAAAATGAGCGGGTTTTTTTGGTATTGATTAAACACATGAGATGTGAATATAAGTGAAAAAAAACTTGCAGAACTAAACCTGATGAAAAAAATCACAAGAACCTGTACAATGCATGATCCCAGGAAATCATGATTATTGCTATGGGAAGGAAGTTTGGATAAGTGATTTCCCTGGTGGGCAAAGGTGGGGGAGGGTGGTAGTGATCTGATTCCAACAATTGTAATGGGAGGAAAGATTTATGGTGGTTGGAGATGTTAGGGGAATTTGGGTACATGGGGGCCTTGGAAAGCATCTAGAATTCTAGATCATTTGCTTTTCACGCATTTTGTGAATTTCCAATATAACACCACTCAAACTCTGCGTGCAAAACCTAACCTGTTGAATTTCAGATTGGCAGGATTACACTTTTCAATAAAATGGTAACACGTTAAATTTTGACCACGAAACACGATTTCATCCATAGCACTCTGTATTTCCAAAAATCAGTCAATTGACTGATTGTTGAAAATCAACTACATGTAGACATACATGTACATACATTTCTTGATATATTCTCAACCCCCTACTGTTTGAACAGTCACAGACAGTCAAACAATCCATCCACTTCCCCTGCTGGTAAACTCAGGCCAGTCACCAACACTCAGATCATATTTCTACAGCAAGCACTCTGACTAGTCAACTTCAGGCAACAGTCAGCTGTGGTGGCACAGCTGTCTTATCAATCACAGTTTAAGCATAGCTGTATCAAGCTATAAACAGTCACAGCCAGTCAACCCTGCTTTATGTGGGCTGGGAGCTCTTAAGCGTTGAAAACAGTCACTTGATTGATTTTGACTGAAAGGACAACTTTGCACAGAATGTATGTTTGCGCAGGAGAGTTAATGACAGCAAGCCAGACGGAATAATTTCACCAGGTGTTTAGTATTAGTATGACCTTTAGACTTCAGATTTTTGATAATTTGGTAGGTTACTTTTGGGATAAATAAATTAATGCAAATGATCCCACGTACAAGTAAATGTATGTATGCCTTTGACATCTTGTTTTGCCAAATGGAACCAGTTCCCACAGGTCAACTCAAGTCTTTGTTTCAAAATGCATTAACTTGGTTCAAAGGTGAATCAAGTTAATTATTCATTACACACAGTACACAAATTGAGAGTCGTACATGCATGTACATGTATATGACTTGCATAAATTTACACAGGTCTACATGTACATGTACAACTAGATGTACGCCACATGTACAAGGGTCATTCAGAGTCTATAGCAATTACACACGTTGCAATCACTGTGAATGGGGTTTGTGTGACAAACTGTGACAAACAAAACAAAGACAGGCATTTACACATACAATGGGTTGGCCATAATTGTGGTGGATTCTGTTGTCATACAAATAAAACACTAATAATCAGGATTCTGGTCGCCATTTTCAATCATCCTGGTTGAGTAATTTCACTCTCCAATTATACTTTTCTACTAGAAAGTATAATGCAATATTTATTAGTGGCATTTTTTTTCCTCTGTTTTCTTTTTTTTTTTTGCTTTAAAAATGCTGAATAAACAACAGGAAACTGGAGTTGAACAAGTTTCATTGTTCGACAACTCTCAGACCGCAATAAATCCAAGAAGTATTCTTTCCGCCCAAGCATTGTTCTCTACATCATACATGGTGTATTGTTGAATTTTTTTCTGAATGAAAAAACTGAAACAACCCCTCTATTAATATTGAACAACATAGTTGCATGTATACATGCACATCACGGCATGTATGTATGATGTACAAATATATGCACACCGAGAATGTACATTTGTAGTTAAATGTGAAAGCACAATCCAGTACTGTAGCACATGTAAGTTGGGTCCAAGTTACTCGGACTAGCCTCAACCTAGTAGTTTGGCTCCAACTTCCTCGATTCCAGCAGAATCCTAACGTTACAAACCCTCATTTTTGAAGAATAAATCTGAAAGGGTCAAGGTTAATAATTATTAACCCTAACCCCTTGGGCTCTTTTACTAGAAAGTATCCTGAATCCGCCAAAATCCATCAATTTTGCCAAGCAAAAAAATGTTGGTGGCCAGTGAGTCCATCAGAATCCACCATTTAGGCGGGAGTAAATATGTTGAGATCCTGAATCCGCCAAAGTCCCCAAACAGCTAAATATTGAGGTATCCTGAGACCATCTAAATCCTGCAGTTTCTCTAGGCTTACAATCCTAAATCCATCAAAATCCCCCAGTTTGTGCAATATGGGGGTATCCTGAATCCGCCGAAATCCCCCAAAACAGGGGTGTGGATTTTGATGGATTCAGGGACGTTAGGGTTAATATAGTCAAAAAAGGGTAGGGTTAGTGGGTTTACAAATCTACATGTAGTGTATACATGTAACTAAATGTACAAGCAGTATAAGTCATTGGTTTATTACTGACAATCATTTTGCTTTTTGATTTAATTATTTAGCACTCATGGTTTATCTTTCTATGTGTTGCATGTGTAATGAAGACAAATCTCATTTTAACTTAAAGGTCCAATTGGCCTAAATGAAATTGCAATTGAAACAAATTGAAATACTGGCTTCTCCTTTTTTCAAAACACTCCAGAAAAAAATGAGGAAATAGTGTGAATCAATTATGTTGTGACTGCTTTGTTAACCATGATATTGTTAACGCCTTATTTGAACATATAAACGTGTTAAATCTCTTCTTCTTTTACATGTTCTACGATTCAATGAATCAAAACAGCACAATTTTTTGATCATTAAATTTGATGGCAGCATAGTTTATGGGGTAAGCGTTTATGGCATGTTGTTATTGTTATTGTTTGGACCAGGCAACTTACGTCAGGCCTAATCCCTTCAAATGCTGCCCTATGAGTCTCACAATGTCTCTGTCGCATTGGGACAACTGCTTGGCACGGGGATTGCGAGAGATTCCTTCGGCCGAAGAGGACGGCCCGGCGCCACTGCTGGCCGCCTCAACACCGTTGCTGATGACCGGTTCGGGGGCCATATTGGCCCCGTTGCTGTTGAGTACGCTCGCGTCTCCATTGTGCACCGCTGCGGTCGAGTTGGCTTGCATTGCGGCGGCAGAAAGGCGTTGTTTTTTCACCGGTGGAGGAGACAACCCACCGTTGTCTGAGTCCGATGACGATGCCAGTATTGCGACCCACTCAAAGACAAAGGAATTTTAGCACATGGCGGAAGTACAAAAGGGTATAATTCTCGGATTTGTTTACAGTTTCTGTGTCCGGGAGCAAACCAAAATCTATATCATTAGTCGTACATTAGTCGTATACGTGCACAGTTCCGTAGCCTGCACGTACGTACGTACAATAAACGCGTATTACGCATGCACATGTAATGCGGGTCGTATCAGCACATAAACAGCTGCTATACACTGGTGTGACGTCATCCCAGACATCAATACATTCACTTGGGTATTTAAATGTGCCTGTTTGACCCATTTATGCAAAAGTAGTTTATAAGTAGTTACTAAAAAAAAGTTATCCTGCATCATATCAATTTTCATTTGTACAACCAATATCACAAATCATTAACACTGCCTAATGACCATCATAATTCACTACAAAAAAGTACAAGTACTATCTGCAGCCGTGTGAACATCATACATCTTTAATTTCACACAAAATTAAATGACACGAACCAATTTTTCTCAGTAATAAACTTCTTTTATTTTGATCAGGGAAAACTTATTTCTTCATTTTTTTTTACGGAGAGCAAAGTTTTACAAATCCCCACTTCTTTTCTTTTAATGCAACTCCATTTACTCTGAGTTAAGTTTAGCTTCAGAAGAGGATTCCATTTTCAAAGTGAGGTGGAAAATAATTAAGACGTATTTTTCAATTTTTGGTTTTTCAATTGATTTTGTTTTCTTCAAAAATGTACATGAACACCTCATGGAGAAATGACACCAAAAAAATATAAAATAAAGGTGAGCAAATTTAGTCAGGAAAATTGAAGATAAAAAAGCAAAACCTAATTTCAAGGGAAAAAAAGGTAAGATAAACATGTACATACAGCAATTTACAAGTAACATTTGCCAAGGCTGATCTGGAAAATGAGGTTTCCATGTTATGTCAAATAAAAAGGCAACTAACGATTCAAGCAAAATAACTATTTTTACTTAAAATATGAAAAACAATTTGCAATCTTGTGACAATTGTATAAATTCAAGGAAGCAACATTATTACATTTAGGCTTGCCATAGACTGCATTTAAACAAGGGTGTCTATGTAAAATGTATTTACATCATATCATCCCAATGAAAAGTATCTAATAAAAATATGGTGGGATTGAACCTTTTGGTGTTTGATTTGGCAGTACATGTATTTAATTTTACAGAATTTATAACACCCATCCCTACACCAAGAAAAACTATTGAGAAGAGGTAAAGTAGACACTGAAATCAACACAAATCAAGGGTGAATTAGGATTGTTCTTTAAAAGGGAATGTACATCATTGGCTTTTGCTGTATTTTTCAGAAATTAACTAGTTGAGGGGTTAGTATAATAGATCAAAATATTGTTACACTGACATGTTTGAAGTTTTGTGTCCGAAAATGCTGGAAAAACCAAGAAAAACACAAATGTGCAAGTAGTCCGGTTCCCTGACTCCACTAAAAATGAAATGGATCAATTTATAGGTGCCGGAAAATTGTAAGGTAAGGGAACCAGTCTAGCTGACCTGCACCCGTTCATGAACATGTTACCAAAAGCAAACACAATTTGGACTGAAACAAATGGTAAAAATTGAGCAGTTGTTGAAAAATAGTTAGGTTTTTCCAACGGTGGTCGGCCGACCACTGTTGGAAATGTATACAAAAATACCATTTTCTTGAAAATGACTTCACACCAGGTGCCATAATTTTACAGGATGCTTTAGACAGTCATTTACCAACATCTTAGCAAGGTATTTCGTAAAACCTTGGTAGTTTTATTTTTCGATGTTTGCAAATGTTGTATTTTCCCTTTAAGACTTTGCAGATTTAAGTCGAAGCATCTGACAAAAATATTTTAAAAAAACAGATGTATTTTATTTCTTTGATGGTAGTTGAAAGTTGGGGATAATCCTATTAAGTAATATAGGCAATGCTGTCCTATCTTTCAGTTCCATACTGAGATAACACAAGAAGTCGGAAATATCCAAATAATGGACTACCAGTTTGTATAGCCCTGTTGAGCTCTCATGTTGAGGCACCATTAGAGAACAAGACGCAAGAAACTGACTAGACCACTCTGTTATATCGTGTGTTCGGATGCTGTAACTTCATTGGTCTAGGACGGCCACATGTCTGGACAATAAAAATGCATGTCACACACTGAGGGTGATATCACACTTTCAGCGTTGCCCGTTGCGCGCGCATGTGGAACCTGCCGGCGCGCTAGCTTTGCGCAATGAAAACTGCAACGTCAAACGCTTAGTCTCATGTCTAGTTGTAGTTGGACATTCAGTTATCAAATGTAACATCGCAGTGGTTTAATTTATTTCTCACACGGTAAGTTACAACCATTAATCTTTTTGAGTTATTGACACGATATAACAAAACAATTATTGACTGCTGTGATGTGGGATATGCCGTTTTCAACCCCCTCGAACGCATAGTTCTCCTCGGGTGCTATGCGCCCCTCGGGTGTTGAAAACGGCATATCCCACATCACAGCAGTCAATAATTGTTGAATGGTTTCTACAGTAACTGCAGTGTATAATCGCTCATTGTAATGGACATGCATTTTGCTATTTTCAATTTAATATGACCATGTCGGATGGTACTAATGTGAACTGAATTGACAATTTACAACTTGTCATAAGAATCGTTTTGAAATTGTATTTCCGGTTAATAATATTACATTTTCAATGTTTTTTCTTAAAGAGGTTGTGGAATGCTCGAAGACATTTCCGTCATTTTTCGGGTATATGTAGCCTAAGGTGTGATGAAATAAAAACGACTATTGTGTCTGTCATGAAATGAGTACAAAAGGTACTTTTGAGAGCTGTTTTTTTAGGTCCTGTTTTGACCCGAACGTGCAATTTGTGTAAAAGTCGTCGTTGGGGGAAGCAAACAAAACATAGTAAATCGTGACGTAATAAACAGGACTCGTTTATACTACGCTGCATCGGGAGTCCTGTTTATTACGTCACGATTTACTATGTTTTGTTTGCTGCCCCCAACGACGACTTTTACACAAATTGTTCAGGTCGAAACAGGACCTGAAAAACAGCTCTCAAAAGCACCTTTTGTATTCATTTCATGACAGAAACAACAGTCTTTTTTATTTCATCACACCTTAGGCTACATATACCCGAAAAATGACAGAAATGTCTTCGAGCATTCCACAACCTCTTTAACAGACATCCAAACCAACACTCTCCCTCTAGTGCTGTTGATGCAAGGACTTTTCTATGCAGGTATTGCAAGCCACAACCAACACATTACTGCCTGCTAGACAGGATCAACAATAAATTGGTAGAACTATAGAGGGAAGCACAACTATAATGCCTGTAAAATTATATATATATTGCTGATAAGCCAGGGTTGCAGGAAAACAAAGGTTTTTTTGGCATAATTAAGATCAAGGCACTTTCGAAATTAAAACAAACACTACAGAATTTGTACAATAAAATCTTACAAGTATCACATGATTTAGGCATGTCCAAAACATGTATGAATCATGTTCAAAAAACATAAAACTTAAATCTGTCGGGAAAACATTATCTTAATACCTCACTTTAAGGATGGCCAAAAATAATAATGGATGTTTAGTGTACTCATTTTCCTGATATTAAACGATACACAAACTCATGAGTAGTATTTGACAGCATACTGACCAGAACGTCGAGTTTATACCTCTGGTTCTTTTCAGAACCATTCCAGTGTGAGAAATTATTCCCGCATGGTGTTTCTGTAAACCTGTCATTCATTAGTAAAGCCTCAAATCTCACTTAGCACAGTCCAACACAGTAGGGCCTGTCTCAATTCATATCCAGAACCAGTTTCGGACAAGTTGCAGACATTGTATCAGTTATCCTCATCATCTCATCTTCCTATACTGTGCAGAAACCTCCGCTGGAGTATACTCGCACATGATGTATACACATCCTTCCTGCCAGAAACACCGGGGCAAACCCCTTCTCTTAGCGATAAGCGTTTCTGGGTTCTTTTACGTGCGTTAGGCCTTATACAACACACGGGACCTACAGCTTTACGTCCCATCTGAAGGACGAAGCAAGAATGGTTAAGTACCTTGCTTAAGGGCACAAGTGTCCGGGCCCGGGCTCGAACCCACGCCACTGTTGCCTCTGAAACACCAGAGCATGAGTCCGGTGCTCTTAACCGCTAGGCCATGACACTCCATTCGTTGCAGGATTCTTGACAACTTCCCCGCAATATTCCCGCACCGAAGTATTGGTGAGTCAAGCTGTTGCTAATGTAAATTTCCCCGGAACATGTCCGGGACAAATGCAGAGCTTCTTCTGGACAAAGTGAATGATTCTACCCGCAACTTGTCCGGAACTCGTCCCAGATATGAATGGAGACGGGCCCATACTAGCAAAGGAACACGGTGGTTCCTTTTGTTGACAAAGTTTGCAGGAAAGAGAACTGCACATGTAATGGGCTGGATTTGAATACAAAGCCGCATCCAAATCTCATGTCTAGATGCTGTTGATCTCATGTCTAGGTCCTCGTCAATTGCAACTATGTAGAGAAATGCTGAAAACAGACATAGCCATAACTTTTGGGCGTTTTGGGCATGGCAAAGTGTTTCACCAATACAGAAGCAGTTAGCAAAAGGCCAGCACGGAGCAAGACTCGTGATAAAAATACACACAATTTTTGCGAAGGGAATACAACTGCATTTTAAAACATGATTTTAACAGGTAACAAACGTGAACTGGACAAACCATTGCATCTTTGAAACATGATTTTAACACACAGTGAACCAGAACTGGAGTCCAAAAAGATTGGGGGAGGGGGTTGAATATGATAAAAGTATGACAGCTTAAGAAATAAAAAAGCAGTAGCAGTGGAGATCAATTTCGTTATCCTGTAATTCACAGAGTGTTTCTGCAAATAGAAAAGTCCATTTTATGGAAATTGTATTAAAGCACTGTAGAATAGTGAAGAGCACGACTGGTAACTTGGCCAATGAATGAATTTGCTATTCGAGAAACAGTGACGTCATAAATGGACGTCTCCATGTATCAGAAGTATTAATACGATTGTGTGTAGATCACAATATAGGTCAGCAAAATTCCTGTGGAAAAAATTGTGGAAGGTACAGCCCAGCCACCATTGCTCTGCATAACGGTCGACGTCCCTTGAAACTTTCAAGTACATGTACCGAGAACATGCAACTGATTTGCTGCACAGTGGAGGATTTTGGAGGATTCAGGAATGTCCCTGGCAAGAATGCCAGACAGCTGGGTCAATAAAAATGCCTATTATCAAACCCCTAAAAAAAATGCTTGCCATCAAACAACGAAGTTCCAGACCTGCGTCTGTGCATGAGAAATTCAACAGCTACAGTTGACAAAAAAGGGGAGAAAATAGAAAATGCAGCATAGTTTCAATGCATTAAGCATGGACAGTTAAACACTATTCACCCTAAATAATTGATGAATGGCTCTTTAAACTCTGGCTCGGCATAACATTCAAGTCTTCCTAGCCTCTTGCTAGTTATCAGCAAGCAATCTAAGTCTGGTTATCATGTACCGGTATCTCATATACAAAGACTTGGGGCTAAAAAATACTTAAATTATTTGTCGAGGATGAATAAATTACTAGTTTTAATCCACACTGGCATATCCAAGGGAGGTGTACCAGTTCGTGGAAAGTACTTGTGCTTCTAGCCAGACTACCTCTGTCATTAATAGTCCCCTCTTGACTGACTCGGTCTTGTACTGTCGCTATCGACGCCAGACACGGACACGGTCCTCAAATACTCAATATCATGTTTACGAATTCGGCTAACTGGAAAATGTCTGTTTTCTCACTTACTTTCAAAAAGTATGATTCCCTTTAAATTTGCTCTCAGATTCTAGGCCCCTTCTATAAAGCTTCAAACCCTCTCCTTTTGCTACTGTTCCATTTTAAAATCTACTGCGGTGCATGCGCAAACCGATTAAGGGGATAAACCTGTGTTCACAGGAACGGAGTGCCCATCTCTCTTTCATAAGCGATTGGGCCAGACTCATATCTGCTGTGGGGGATTGCCACATCGTCTCCACAGTGAGTCCGTTACCTTCCCAGCATTGAATAATGCCGGTACCCATTTAACAACTGGGTTGAGAGGAGTAATTGAGGTAAAGCGCCTTACTCAAGGGCACAACACGCATTGCCACGGCGGGGCTCGAACCCACAACCTCACGATCATGAATCCTGTGCTCTACCGCTAGACCACACGTGCCCACTAAACCGATTAAGATGGCATAATGTATGCATGTATTCAGGGCGTTTAATGAATATGCAATCTGCATGAGCCTCACATGGTTTCGCTGGCATGCCATGGCACAATCAATACGCACAGGACCGCAAGCAAACAGTTGTACTAATGGCCAAGACTTGTACATCACATGAATGCAGTTCTGAAATCAGTACGATTTTCAAGAAGTGAAAAAAATATGATATTTAGCGGTTCAGGACGGTGTCCTTTCTTGCGTTTATAGTGACAGACTGAGTCATTAAAGAGAAGACTAATAATGACAGTGGCAGTCAGGTTAATGTGACTCAGTCCATTGGTGGTAATCATCCTAGATTATGGAAAAAATCTCCTCAATCCTCATCGTCGCTACTTGATGGTTCCCCAACATCGTCATCGTCATCTTCATCTTCTTCATCATTCTCAACCTCATCTTCCTCCATGTCGGACATGTCACTCTCGTTCCCCCCTGGCTCCTCATCTTGGACGGCCTGGGATTCCTGGGCATCCATTTCTGATAGCTCCTCCCACTCACCCTGTAATGTTGAAGAAGAAAAGAAAAATTCAAGGAGAAATTATTTATTTCATCCGCTCTGTGCGAGTACCGTTGAGGACACTGATGTCAATTGACCTATCTACTAAGTCTCGCCAATCACAGTGGTGATTGATGTCTGACATTTGTGCTCAAAATGTCTGACATGTGAGCACAATAGAGAGGGTTTGCATTGACCGTTCCGTTGTTTTGCATCGTGCACCAAAGCAGAAATCCAAAATGGCAGCCTTCGATGAAAGCCTCATATATGCGGCTAATCTTGCTTTGAAACACAGACAATTGGCACATGTATGTTCAGCAATTCATCCCCTTTCAATCAAACAATACATGATTAAATAATCATGTATTGAAAAGGGGTGATAATCGACAATGTACTATGCGTTTCGCATTGACGCATAGCGCACAGTACATCCATGCTGTGTACACGCATAGCGGATAGCGAGTTGCACATGATGTCACCTCTGATACCTCTGATACCTGGTTGGTCGAAGGTCACATTAAGACCAATTAGCATAAGCCGCTTCAAAAAAAGCCGTTCTGTGGCTAGGGTTCAGGTATAATTCACTGGCACACTGAAGTGAATATCTATAGCCATACACAAACATGCCTGAGTTGGTAACAGATTTACATAAGGAAGTAACTGCCTACCTCTGATTCCGAGTGCATGGGATATGGTTCCTCCATAATGTCACCCTCGTCTGAAGAATCTATATAACGAGAAAAAAAGCTTTAATAAAGACAGTCCATGTATTACATTTAATCTTTAAGTACGTGAAAGGATTTTCTGTGTAAGATGGCATAGGTTTTACTATCAATATTAACCTTAAAATCCTCGCATTTGTATGCCATTTTCCACGCACGGTTTCACGACCGTACTGCAGTTTGCAGTACACATTATATGTTATAAGGTCCAAAATCACTCAACTATTTGCTGACTATCAAATCAAGGTTTAACAATTGTCAGAAGAGCTTGCTGAATAGTCTTGTTGACAGGATGACTGATTATCCATGTTCCGCGGCAAGGCCGGCTAGACTCACTATAAGGGTTTTATTACACAAGGATGTGGTTCTTGTCAGAGGGGCAGGGGTTTGGTTAGGATTTTCAGGGTCAATAGTTCATGTTGATATAGCTCGAGCTTGGTCGAGTGGTAAGACATCTGCACTAGAAAGCAGGAGGTCGTGGGTTTGAGTCCCACCCAAGTGATTTTCCAACTTTCACTCGAGAGGTAACACACTGAGTATACAGTGTTTATATTACACGTTGATGCGTCATTTTTTAAAGATTTTCCATCTTGAGTATGTTTTCAAGAACTGAATAATTTACCTTCTTCATACACCAGCATTGCTTTGGTGGGCCTTTCCTGTTCTTCCTCACGCTGCTTCTGAGAAGCAATCTGTTGAAATGAAAAAAATAAGAGACAAGCTGAAGTTATGAAGAGTACATGGAAGCAGATTGGGCCTATACATGTAGCAAAGGATGACTGCTGACACACAGAGTAAAAAGGCACTAAAAAAGTTGTTTAAGGCAATATACAATATTTGCAAACATCCAAAAACAAAACTACCAAAATATTTTGTTATATCCTGTGCTCGGATACTGTAATTTCATTGGTCTAGGACAGTTTACCCATTCCTATTGGTCGAGAGCCTGTCATGTGGGTGGTTTTAAATGGTTGATAAAACACCGGCTGGCTGGTCTTTAACACTATTCCAGTGTCACATGAAGTTGGACTCCAATGAAATCTGGTCCCTTTAACCCTTGTATTGGTTGAAATTCAAAATCTTCACTTTGGCTTGCGCAATACTAGCAATGAGTCCGTATTTCCAAAGTCCTGAATTCGCACAGATCGCACAGTGTGTGCAACGCGCATGACAATCTCCATATAAGGAGATGTTTACGACAACTCGCAAGAGGCACATACCTTAACATGACTAGAGGGGTGTTTCAAAAAGCATTAAGCCAAATTGTTGAACAAAATCGTTGGAAATATATAATTTTTGACTTGTTTTTGAGTTGTTGACTCAAAGGTATTTATGAATGGGAATAAAAATGTGCTTGGCTGTTATTAAAGAAGTGAGTTTAAAACCGGCTCAGGGGCCTAGTCGCTGTAAATGTCCCTTGCCGAATATCTGCATTCAGACCCCTGAGCCAGTTTTAAATGCACTTGTTTAAAACCAGCCAAGCACAGATTTATTCCCTTATTGAAACGATAATATTACCTGTGCCAGCATGAGATCCAGTTTGCCGTGTAGCCTGGTCATCCGCGAGGCTTGGTGCGTCCTCGTGTTAATCATCTCGTACACCTGGCCTAGTTTGGTGACAAGCTCCGGGCAGGTCATGAGGTAGGACGCCCGCTCCCTCAGCACCACCTTGGTCCACTGGGCTAGCACCAGTCCACTGATAAGAAATACCCACACAATCTCAGTGAAAGAGTTGATACGCAAGACACGCATCTTCCTAAAAACTTACAGCGACAGCAAAATTAGTATGTCAAGACAGAGTGGTTTTTCTTTTAAATAAACCACAGAGGAGAACTGACTAGGTGCATTATTGACCAATCGCGGTTTGCCATTTAGCCACGCCCCTCAGACAACCCAATGGAATTTTATGTACACTATGTTTTGTTTGTCTCACATTTTGCGAGATCCGCGTCCATTTGTGTATCATGTAATTGGACAATATTTCACAAGCTGCGTTGACGCGATTCTACCGCAATTCTACCGCGATAGGTCAATTATAAGTTAAAATTGAAAGGAAAAAATTGACTGGAGCGGAGGTTGCAGGTTCAAACCATGCTCCAGTCAATTTCTTTGTTCAGCTTAAAAATAATTATAATGCACTAAGTCAGTTTCACTTTTGACGTTTATTTGAAAATTTGTAATAAAAAGCCGTTACTTCTTTCAGTTATCCCTGTTAGCTATTTCCCACAATTGCAGCATTGCTGATTTTGAAAGCATCGTCCCTGGCTACTTGGCTTATATGGGGTTATGGCTTCTGACCAGCGCCCCTTGAACAAAGACATTGCTCCAGTCAAATTCTTTGTTCAATTTCAAAATTAAGTTTTCTTTCAACTTTTGAGTTTAAATAAAACTAAGTTATAGTTCGCTACATAGCACAAACGACTTCTAGTGGTAATGCTGAACTAGATAACTGGATTTATCCACCTGGAAAAATACTATTATCTTTGTTTTCTGTCACAGACTGTATATGTGACCCGCTCCACAAAAATGAGTCTGTTGTGGCAAAACTGAAATTTTGAGTTAACTACATTGATAAAATGGGAATGAAATAAGCTTTCATTTGGTATATCATGGAACTCTCTAGGACATTTGGTTGCACTGTTGTGCCTTTTTTAATTCTGTCAAGTTTTTGCAAAGCAAGAAATGTCTCAATTAAGAAAAAAGGGTTTAAAAATTACAAATACACTGTAACTAACCAAGACTAGAACGGCGAAGCCGCCATGGCTCGCTGTCCAAGGCAGGAAGGGAGGCTGAAGGTAGGGTTGGGGATGGGCATGATGGAAGGGGATCAGGATTCTTGATGATGTGCCTAGGTGTAGGGGTCAGTTTTTAAATGTCCACATAAAAAGTCAACAGATTACCTAATAAATACATGTGTATATAGGTTAGCCGTCACTGTATTATGGGGGAGTTTTCCATTGTTAGGGTAATTAGGACCCAGTTGTGGATTTTTGCAGCCCCAACAGTGTTTTCTGCTCCCCATACTTGTATTACCATGGGAAAAATCTTGTGTAGTCGCCACAAATGCAGAACAAGAATGGGTATACATGTACATGTAGACACAGCACGTTCACCACCTCCCCCAAACCTTACCCCATCCAAAAACCTTACCCCATCCCCAACCCGCCCCCTCCCCCCCCCCCACCCCCTACCCACACCCATTCCATCCTCCCCTAACCATCCCCACCCTATCAGCTACACATCCCAACCCCACCCAAACTCCAATCCCTATCTCCTTCCCCCTCCCCTGACCCGTACCCTCCCCTACCCCAACCCCCTACACCCACCTACCCTATCTTCCCCTATCTGTCCTTACCCACACTACACATCCCCACCCTAACCCTTACTCAAATTCCAATATCCCGCCCACCCCATTCCCCCACCCATACATCCCCACCTGACCCCATGCAACCCCTATTCTGATCCCTATATATTGCCCCCTCCCCTTATCCAACCCCTACAACAACCCATCCCTACACATCCCCAACCCAACCCCTACTCCGATCCTATATCCCGCCCCCTGCCCAACCCCCTCCTAACCCAACCCCTACATCCATGCCCATCCTCTCCCTACCTGTCCCACCCCACCCCTACAAGTTCCCACCCCACCCCTACAAATCCCCACCCCACCCAAACCCAGTATTCCAACCCCTCTCCCCACCCCACCCCAACCCACCCCACCCCACCCATCCTAGCTCCCCTACTCATCCTACTCACACAAACCCTAACTCCAACCCCTATCCCCCAACCCACCCCACCCTCCCCTACCCCATCCCTACTCCAATCCCATAAAACTAAAAGATCAAACCAGAAGCTCATGCACATCCCCAAAATGCATAGTGTACATGTACATGTTATACCGGTATACACACATGTACATGTTATACCAGTATACATGTACATGTAACAATTAAAAACTTTAACATTTCCTTGAATTAAAGTTCCTCAATAAAATCATAAAATTTACTGCAATGATATGAACCTAACTGAAGTTATAGGCCTAGAGATGATACATGACAACTGCATTTAATTTTTTTCCCCAAGTTAACTAAAACCAAAAACTTCAACATTTTTATCTGAACGCGGACGGCCGGACAGACGGACGGACGGACGGACGCCCGGACGGGCGCCCGGACAGACAGACGGAAATTGGTATTACATAGGCTCGCATCTGCTTCGCAGCTCGCCAAAAAGCACCAAAAATCATAAATTTGTTAGTCTTTTTTTTACAATATTTAAATTTCTGTGTAAGATATCTGAACTAAAACTCTCAAACAACCAAAATAAAACAAAAACTCCAAATTTTGAGCAAATTTTCACTGTTTCCATTTAAAAGTGGTAAAAGCTGGAATTCAAGCTATGCGACATCAGACTCATTTTTGCAGAGCGGGTCACATATATGACAGTGCAATTGGATCTAATTTACACCAGAGGAAACCACTGTGAGTTTTAATATTGTACAAAAAAATTGCTTGCTGAGCATTGCAAGCTTCATCAAACACAGAGCTAAGATTTATCCCACTTAGAACCAAATGTAACGAAAATTTAACCAGGGTCATTTTTACAGAGTAGTTAAAAATTATCCAATGTTTACGCTCAGAAACATTTCCAAGATATAAAATCTACACAGAATATTTGGCTGATCGTTAAAAAATTCAGGTGCGAGCCTTGGCAGTTACTGACAATTGAAGGTGGGCATTTTTCAGAAACTTAGAAATCAAAATGGATGACTAGCCAAGAGATGACTTCTTCTGCTTACCTCTGTGGTGTTGTGTTCATCCGTGAGGCTAGCTCTTGTACGAGACTCACTACGAGTGGGATAGGCAGTCTCTGAACCGTTCTCCTGATGACTGACTCCTTTTGCTGCTGAAACACGCTCTGTCAAAGGAATGCAATTCATGAAGTTGTATTTACACTTCAAATTCAAATTTAAGAAGACATTTATTCCATACTCCTGAGAGAAATACATCCATAAATAAAAGAAATCTGGTACATAGCAAGATAACAAAATCAATAAATATATGTCTCAAAAAAAAAAGAAGCAGCAAAATACGCTTTGAACAAATGAAAAATTACATTGATTTATGTACAAGAGAAAATAATATTCAAATTCAAAATTTAAAATTCACTTTCTATGCAGTTTGAGCAATTACCCTACATCTCTTAAACAATTCAGCAGTCTCCAGTAAACAGGACACACTCTTTATACATGGGATACCAAACCAATGAGTGGCTGGACTGTACAGATTTGAATTCATCTGAATACTGCATAACCAGGGTCATTTTCCTTGAGTTTCTTGAAGATCTTTTTAATTGAAATCTGTATCCTATCCCCAATTGCCATGTGGAACGCTGTGGTCTAATGGTAACAGTGTTTGACTTGCGTGGTAAGTGGGTTTGAACCCTGACGGGGAACATGGTGCTTGTGTTCTTCGGCAAGACACTTTACTCCAATCACTCTCTCCACCCAGGAGTGTAAATGGGTACCTGTGAAGGCAGAGACCCGAATGCGCTGATCTCGAACTGCTGTAAAAACTGGTCTCATGGCCTGATGAACGGGGGTAATAATTGTGAAGTGCTTTGAGATCTTTGGTATAAAGTGCTATATAAGCACCACCGCATTATTTCCAAGGGTTTTCAGCAACTACATGTACTGATACAAACTGCCATCATTTTGCATTGGGCATGATCCCTGGCCACATGACACCTTAAGGTATATGGCTTCTGATCAACACCTACTGAGCGCAGTCATGTTTTACTTTACTCTCGAGGACAATGCTTTGTGTTTCCCTTTGTCCCTGTAATATAACACTCCCCCATAGACTAAGCGTGCACAAACTTACTACAGGGGACCGTTTCCAACAAAAGACCCAACTCCCGAGGACTGAAAGGATCTGTTGTTCTCCCTTTGTGTGTCAGTCCTCAAGGGTTATGTACAACACGTACAAAGACACACCGTCAATTCGGGCGATTCACAATGCAGAGCGCCACCAATAGTTTGCCACGGAGAGTTCATTTTTCCCAGTGCATTGTGGGAGATGGTCGACAAATTCGCAGAGTGGGACATTTGAAATTGTTCGTTTTTTCTGGTCAGTAGTTTCGTAAGCGTATGATTCGAGTATATGTTTGCCCTTTTCTTTTCTTTGTATCAATATGGTGATTTTTGGTAAGGCGGCAGAATGCTATGCCCCAATCTATAACAAATTAGCTCAAGTGTCTACTGACACTCATTCAAATGGGCCATATTTTGTCGACCGTAAACTTGAAAAGTTGACTCTCCATGGCAAACTCTTGGTGGCGCACTACATTGTGAATCGCTCGATTTGGGAAACTGCCAACATAGGTCTGGTAGCACGTTTGGGTCGAGCACCGGTACAGTGTGCCAGCGGTTGCAGGCTCGAGTCCCACTCCGGTCAATTTCTATATTCAAACTTATGTTGTCTTAACCCCAACCCTGTCAGATGCAACACAGTGAAATAGTTTTACAAGTCTGTTTGGCCTTGTTGCATTGAGATATCAACCCCAGTGCATCAACGGCCACTATTGAGACAGTGGGAGCTAGTCCCATTGAGCAATGCCACAGCTGTATCCTGCTGCAGCTGGCAAACCACAGGCTCTGAGACAGTTTGGCCATGGATTTGTTTTGACCTGTGGGATCTTGTTACACTGCTGTTGCATCAAGCAGAGTTCAACACACGCGTGCAGACTCACATTGAGCATGTTCTTGTCACCACTCTGGAGTCCCTGCGTCAGCAGCATGACTAGCGATCCTGTCTTGGCACTCTGGTTCTGGGTTGACATGTCTACCTGAGCACCGGCGACGTTGAGGGCGACCAGCCGCTCCTCAATGCTTACCTGCCAGGACAAAGAAAGGGTTACTGAGAATAATCACTGACTGCTCTGGTGGCATAACTGACTTTTCACGGTGAAGCCTTTTTAGGTGTGCACAGTTAAGTAGTGCGCGCGCTTCGCCAAATTAAAAAACGAACTACTAAAACGGAAACTTCCAAGAATGTGTCTTCAGACGCATCGTTGGAATTTGCCTTCTTTCATTGTCTTCTTCGAAACGACAGCTTGCCAGAAATAATATTTTCACAGGGAGTTTAGTGCTATTACTTATCTTTAAACCAAGTATACTTTTCAACAATAATTTTGTCAGTTACTTATTGGATAGGTGCAAATGATGGACTGTAGCTTTAACCCAATAATCAGCAGTTGAAGAAAATGTTTCCAGCTCTTACTGTAGATTGAGAGCTTTTTCTCTTGCTTTTCCTTCCTTCAACAGCGGCCTCGCCTCCTGCTGCTGCTGCTGCCCTGTAGCCACTGTGTGCCAGGGTACTGGGTGTCTTCACTGCTTCTGCTCCAGTCACAATAGGTTTCTTCAACTGAAGGAGATCAAAGTACACAGAGGATTGAGATATTTCTAAAAGTCAACTCCATGCTCGACCGAAAACATTCCATAGCCAATGATAGCAGTGGTCTGAGGCCTCATTAACCCTAACGTACCTGAATCCATCAAATTCCACACCCCTGTTTTGGAGTATTTCAGCGGATTCAGGATGCCTTCAATTGAAAAAGTTGGGGGATTTTTGATAGATTCATGACAGTAAGCCTAGTGGTACTGCAGGATTTTGATGGATTCAGGATACCTCCATATTGAGCAGTTGGGGGACTTTGATGGATTCAGGATCTCAACAGTTTGAACTCCTTGGTTATATGTTTGGTGTGTACGAGTTATATGTACTACACTTGTGGATTCTGATGGACTCACTGGTGGATTCCTGATGAATTCGGATGGACTCAGGAGACCAACATTTTTTTTGCATGACAAAATTGATGGATTTTGGCGGATTCAGGATACTTTCTAGTAAAAATACCCAAGGGTTAGGGTTAATATCCAGGTTTTTTTAACCCTCCCTATCTCAGTGACAATCTGTAGAGGGTCAAAATCTAACAGCTTATCGTTTGTATCAGGTCTGCCAACTGGCCTCATATTGGTACAATTGACAGGTTAAAATGGCTGCTACACAAGCTGTACCAGTATTAATGGTCACCCTATCTATCAATCCACTTCAACAGGCTTTGACAGTTATACAGTATAATCCACAGGGGTTTCTGGTAGTTGATGACCAGCCTGTACAAAAGCTATTATGTAATACTCATGTACTTCAGAACCACATTTTCCTACGTCCTTACCTTTTCTCCAGACACTTGGGGGACGGCTTGAGTTGAGGGATCTTCCCGTATTAAGCAGATGCTCTTGTCTTCTGATAGGAATGACTAAAAAATGGAAAGGATTTGAAAGAAGTATGGTAATTTGTTCATCAATTAAAGTTTTGTTCGTTTTATGAGGACTGAACTTTCTACTGCTAAAATAATTGTTGCCTACTGCTTGCCCTTTAAAACCTCAATAAAAGATTTTAAATTTTCTTTGAATGTTATGTTTTTGCATTTGTCTTTGCATTCAACGCTTCTTTACTGCAGTTTTACTATTTTTTTAAGTTCACTGTTTGCTGGCAAGCAATAATTATGTCGCATAACAAATGTATGAGGGAAGATGGACAATTTAGTACGACGACTAGTGTTTACTTGCTTTTTTTTCAACATAAACCCCACAACTTAATATCACAAAAAAGAAATTAAAAAAATGAACAATAATAAATGCAAGGGAACAAGACATTTTTGTCTGCTTAGGAATGGCCGGTTAAATCAAAACAAGTTGAGCAACAAAACGGACAGAAATACATAAATAAATTTGGGGGTCTAATCATCCAAACTCGCAGCAAAAGCTGAATTGCGAAGGATGCAGCTATAATATGGTCAAGTCGACCTTGACCCTTTTTTTACTAGCCAGCCGGGCTACTGAAACAGACTCTTAACTAGCCCGTGGACATTTTCACTAGTCCGCATTGTTTTCTTTAATAGAGTGTCTCATAAACAACAATTTGCGTGCATGTACAGCGTGTATCCTGAGGCAATCTTGTCAGTGTTTTTAATAAACAGATCTGATAATTTAACCTAAAAACAGTCAACAAAATTAGGCAGTGATACAGGTTTGCTTTCTAAATTTAATGATTTATTTCTTCTTGTCCTTTAATCTTTGTCATATCCCAATAATTTTTGACTCGCCAGCCGCGCTACGGAATAGTTTGACTAGCCCGCCACTGTTTAGACTAGCATTTAGCTAGCGGGCTACCGCTTAAGTCGGACCGTGGTAAAGGTGCCTTAGGCAGCTACCATACAACCTATGTCTTACCATAGGGCACAGCCAGGTCTAAAGTGGTGATTTTTGTTGCCGGAGAAAACCCCCGTGACTTAGGAGACAATCGATGAATAACTCTATTCACATACGACACGAGCAAACACCTGCAATTCAATTCAAATCAGGCATGGGAGACTACCTACCCAATCAAGAATGACTGGACCGAGTCAAAATGGTCAAGTCTGGTAACTTGTACTCACCACTCTCTCAAATGTGAGTTTGAATATGGTGCCGTGGGCGATGAGGACGGGCACCTGTGGTTCCCGGCACAGGAGAGCAGCCAGGATGGGAATGGGCCGAGGGGGCGTGTCCTTCCCGCCCTCCGTGGTCACCAGGAGGTGTGATCTTGCCAGAAGCTGGTTCTTGGCTTTGCTGTTGGCAGAAGGAAAAACTACAATTGTTACATGTTCTGTTAAAAACAGACTCTTCTGGGCAGCTGGTCAAAATAGTGAGGAATTCTGGCAAAGTGAGACAGAACTGGGCACAGGCCATAGTGCACCCCCCCCCCCCCAAAAAAAAAACGGAAGGGGGTGATTTTTTTTTCTTCGATTTTCAGATTAAAGGGAAGTTACAAGATTTGCAAACATCCAAAAACGAAATGATAAAATTATCACAAAATATCTTACAAGCTTGTTAGGGAATGACAGTCTAAAGCATCCTGTAAAGTTGTGGCTCCCGGTATGCTGACATCTTCACGAAAAACTGTATTTTTCCAACGTTGGTCGGCCGACCAGCGTTGGAGAAAACTGTTTTTTTTTTCAAAAAGTGCTCCTAATTTTTCATATTTAGTTCGTCTGCAATTTCTTTTGCAATTGTTTACACACCTGTGAAGACTACAAGCCTGCTAGACTGATTCTCTGATCTTACAATTACCCAAAGTCTATAAATTGCTCCGTTTCATCTTAAGTGGGGTCAGGGAATCAGACTACAAGAATATGATTGGTTTCATTGGTTTTTCCCAGCATCTACGAACCCAAAACGTGAAACAAGTCAGCATAACAGTATTTGCTATAACGTACTAATCCCCCAAATCCATTTATTTCTGAAAATTGCAGCAAAAGCAAATGTTGTACATTCCCTTTAAGTGACATTTGTATTCTCTAATATGCCTATTTCACATATTTTAAAAGAAAGAATAAAACAATTGTGAACAAAAGTTTCACTAAATAAACACGAAAATGGCACTTGTTGCTTCTAATAATGTGAAAAGCTTAAACATATGGGAACTGCACATTCAGGATGTTTTTCTAAAAGAGTTGGGAACTTGGGATCAACTTTTGGGCACAACATGAATTATTAACAGTTCACAATGATGGTCATTAGGAGTGACTTTTTTAAGGGGTGGGCAAAGACCATCAAGGTGTATTTTGTAAACACTTCAATGACTAGTAAAGAAGGCAGTCATTTTCGGATCTGTGTTGTTTCTTACCCATTCAATACTGGATCAAAAATGTGGACTTCCCCGCCCCTTGTGACAACAGAGAGGTACGTTTTCTGAAGAAAGGAAAAAAAAATAGTTAAAATTAGTGTTTCGTTATTTTACAATAACGGCTTCAGTCCTTCTGATTTGAAAATCCCAGGCGTGTGGAAAAAGGCACACCTGGATTTTCTAGGTGTGTGTTTTTTCTAGGTGTGTGGTTTTCTAGGTGTGTGATCTGTGGTCCAGGGAAATTCAGGCGTGCAATTATTCACACTTCTCGGGAGGCTTTTAGGTGTGCGATGGTGTGGGGGTGTGATCGCACGCCTCAAATCAGAAGGACTGCGCTTGATTAAACATATTATAACAGGAGTGGAGAACAGAATATTACCAATTCTATTTTACTAGTTCGCGCCAAGATTATTTTGACAAGAACGGAACGAGGCACGGGATTACTTTTCACTCGATCTCATGCCTGGCGGGTTAAAGCCATTACCCTCGGCCAGCACACTCATATTTCCGGCCACGCTCGTTGCGAGCGGGTCGCTGACGGATATTTCGGGCCTCGCTCCCTGCGTGTTTATCCATCATCCGTTCCGACTACTGCAAAATGTTTGCGGGTATACACATCATCCGATGCGAACTAGTTAAGACTACAACTGTCATGCAAATTTAACTTTCAGTATGTCTCATGTTGCTGACTTTGGTCAGTGTCTTTGCCATGGCACTGCCAAAAGTCGAGGAATTTTAACTGATAGAAAATCTACCATTGACTTTTTGCCATGTTACATTCTGCTTTCAAAACTATTTGGACTTAAGTCTTAAGAATAAGTCCACTAATCAGAACGTACAAGTAGGCCTTTCCTAGTGATTTACAATGGATTCTAGAAGATTTTTGTAATCACTTTACTAAAGGTTCTTGTTTTCATGTTGACAATTCAATATACAAAATATCCTCTCGTGGATCTTCTGGAATTCAGCAGAATTTTGTTTTTAAAAAAATATCTCAATCTCCTGACTGAATAATCCCACCCTCTCTAACAAAATTTTATTTGCTTGTTTTTTTTGGCCTCATTTTTAAAGTCAACTTACTGGGTCTTCGGAAGAATTCAGAATGTCAAAATCCAGGGGCTCGTCGGGGACAACCAGGGAAGCAATGGAGGCTTTACTCTTGGATGATGACCGTACTTGCCTGAGGGTTTGAAACGAAAAAAAAGGGTTAATTACAACTCTCACTCTTTGGGAGTTGTGTTAGCATAGTGGTACTTGAAATCAAGTTGTTGATTGGCCTGGTTTTGTTCACACGCCGCGCACCGCGCCGTGATATGGACAAGTACCACATTCCGTATCGTCCCATGGGATGTGAAGATTTCTTCAGTGGGACCGGACCAAAAGTTTGCCACCAATGTTGGTAGATGTTAACAATGGTGCTTTGTCTTCCTGATTGTTTTGCTAATGTTTTCCAAAATGGCTGACTTGTACTTTAATCCTAACCACCCCAACTCCATCAAAATCCATCCCCCATTTTGGTGGATTTTGGAAGACTTGGTCCAGAAGGCCTGACGTGACTAAATATTGATGGAGTATGATGGACTTGGGCCTGCAATGGCCTGAAACAGTGCTAGGGGTGTCCGATTGATTTCAGGCTTGCGAGCTACAGTGCCTAGGGCGCTTTTGAGGAATCCCTGGTTTCATTACCAGAAATGATTAATAATAATAATAATAATCTTCTTGATTTGATTTCTTAATTTGAAAATAATCAGCTTTTCTGACAGAGTATGAGCAAAGCCACTATCAAAAGCTTTGCAGTAGGAAAGTTTTCATAGACCCCGGTCAATATTTGGAGCGATTGTGGGGTGGGAGGGGAAGGAGGAGAGCAGTTGCATGAAGCTCTCTAAATGGTATGAATAAGAGGATTGAGGCTACCTACCATACATTAAGTACCCTATCCCTCTCAGCGCAGGAGAGGAAGTACAGCCCATCAACGGACTCTAAGCTGCTAGTTACGTCAGGTGACTCTGGGGCGGAGCTGGGAACGACCTTTAACCTCGTTACCGGGCTTGCGTGACCGGTAAATTTCTGAGATAAAAAAGAAGAAAAAACAATCATGCATTATTGAAATGCTGGACAACAGAATGGAATAGCTGTTTGCAATTTCTTTGGAATTGATCCGGTTTTGTATCTAGATCAGAAGGCTCATTTACACAAACTTCTGGCAGCACCTGCTGGCAGGTCAGTGCGCCCTCAAGTGACGTATTTCTGAGGGGTTCATTACACAGTCAGGTTTCGAAATGCATATTCATATTGTACAAATTCAGCAATTTTGCCACATTTTTCGTCATGAACGTTATGTTTTGTGAAATAGCAATACGTTTCGGAGTGTTTTCACAGAGATAATGTTGTAATATTTAACTATTCAAAGTCTGAAAGAAACAAATTTTGCCAAAAAAGCAAAACAAAACAAATAAATCGGTTTTTCCTGCACCAATCTTGAGTTCAGAAGACAGTAAAATGGGAGCATATATACAACCATGGAGCATTTAGATATAACTAAGCCTCTCCCTTAAATCCTTGCATTTTGTCTTTTTTATGATTTTTTTAAATATTTATAATTTTATTCTGCTTCCAAAATCGCACACTTCTTTTCATCGGATTGACTTTAAACTTGGTTCAAACCAAAAACACAATGACAAAATGTGCATTGACAAGTGTTGTCATTATGTCAAGATGACGTCATTGCAGGGGATGTGGCGTCATGTGATATTATATATTATGTGATATTATATATATCGTGCGTTTTTTCCGTTTGAAGCAACAAAAGTGCTAAAAATCTAAAAGGAAGTTGCTCAACAACTAACTTGATAAAGTTTTAGCTCAATGAATGCTGTATATTCAGAGAAATCAATATTCTAGGTTTCTCGATTTTAAATCAAAAATGACGAGCCATGTTTTGAATTGCGCCTGAATTCGGCATCCTGGACACTTTGTCATTTAGCCGATCGCAGCTATGCACAGTCACGCACTGAGCCGACAAATTATACAACTGCATGCGCGTATGCGTCGTGTCAATGCTTGGGCGCACTCATTCCCAGATTCGTGGAATTACAAATCAACTACTAATGGAAATTTCCAAAAATGCGTCACTTGACGCATCTTTGGAAATGGCCTTCTTTTATTCTTTTCTTCAAAACGACAGCATGCCAGAAAGAATAATTTCACAGCGAGTTTATTGGCATCTCCATCTTAAAAGATATAGTCCATCATTTGTAATTTGTGCATTTTGTTCATTTGAAGCAACAAAAGTGTTCAAAATCTAATGAAAGAACAACTAACCTGATGAAGTTTCAGCTCAGCTTCAGCTGTACATTCCGAGAAAAACAGCATTCTAGGATCTCAATTTCAAATCAAAAGTTGCTGAATCATGTTTTGAATTGTTTTGAATTGCAGCTATACGCGATGTTGCGCACTGATCTGACGAATTATAGCAACCGCGCGCACAAAATGAAATACTAATTTAAATTTCCTACGGTGCGTCTTAAGACGCACCGTTGGAAAGGCCTTCTTTCGTTGATTACTTCAAAGTGACAGCTTGCCAGAAAGAATAATTTCACAGGGAGTTTAGTCCACTTACTATCTTTCAACCAGGTATGTTTTTCAACAATAATTACGCCAGTTACTTTTCGGATGGCTGCAAATGATGGATTATAGCTTTAAACCAAGTCAGCTTTTCAACAATAATTTCATCACTTGCTTTTTGGATAGCTGCAAATGATCTACTCTACCTTTAACACTGTATAACCCTTCATCTGAGGGGTTTTAAAGGGCTTTACTTACTACTCTGAATATTGATTTCCCACCAGGGTATGAGGAAATCCTAAACCGGTACTCACTTTTAAAACTTTCTTGGTGTCCAAATCCCACAGCTGGATCATTCTGCCTGCTGAGAGGAGGGCTCGGGCCCCGGGACAGAGGCAGATAGAATGAACAGAATGGCTGTCTGCTTTCCACTTACTGTTCAAAGAGAAAATGTACGGGGAATGTTTAGTTGATGGGACATACATCTTCTCAACAATTATCTTAAATGTGTGACAAGGGAAGACGGTGTCTTTACTGACACAATTCTACTATAAAATGTACCTGCTTTGCTACTTTTTTTCCTGGTTATTTCTGTCTCCTAACTCTCCAGGAATTTTGGCTTGGAAGCTTTTTGAATCACTTGAGATCCACCACTCAGCAAAAACCCAACAGAATATTCTTTTCCATTATCTTTCAAGGGGTATCAAGCCTCATATAATGTTAACGTAGTCAAATTGTTATCACTTCAATTCAATTGCAAGTCAGTCCCAAGTCAGTCCCAAGTCAATCACAAATCAATCGCAAGTCAATCGCAAGTCAGTCAGTCTCATTTCAAATCACAAGCTATGCAAATAAGCTGCGACGAAGGCATTCCTTTGTCACTGTACATCCCTTAACCCTAACCGAACTCAACCCATCAAAGTTCAAAAGCAGGTTTTGTTTAAATCTGTTGGGATAGGTAGAGTACCCCTAAACAGATGGTCTTTTACATTGGGTTTGGCATACCTCCAGAAACTAAGTCCAACAGTGTGTGTGTACAATTTCCCATGTGGGTGTTGGAATTTGCCTGAATGGGTACGTTTCCTAGTAAATTATGCTGGGGAGTTAAGGTAAAAAAAAAACTAAGATGATTTACATTGCCCCGATGCAAATTCCATCTTATGAATAGTTAATGCGGTACCCGCTGCTATGTACATCAGATTCGAACCAGCCAACCGATCCCGTTAGCTCGGTGGTCGAGTGGTAAGACATCTGCACTAGAAAGCAGGAGGTCGTGGGTTCGAGTCCCACCCGAGTGATATTTTCCAACTTTCGCTTGGGATGTAACACACTAGGCTCAAAGTGAAAGTTGTGTGTAACAGTTTCAAGTCTATCCATATCACTCCTATCTTACCATTTGACTTGGCTACGCTTGACGTCCCACTCTATGATGTACTGATCATTGGAGCAGCTGAATAGTGTCTCGCCGTCTGGGTGCCAGCAGATGTCGTTGACCTTATCTGTGTGGCCCTGGTCCTAAATCAAGGATCAACAGCAAGAGTGTTTTTGTACTTCACCATCCATTCAGCTGATATATTTAACTTTGTACAGTTTGTACTATCGCCGTGGTCTGAAATTTGGACTCCTAGGAAATACGGACTCGTTGACTGTATCACGCATGGTGTGAAGTTGCATTAAGCAATAAGCAGGTTTCTAGCCAAAATACCCTTAAGGGTTCAGGATTACTTTTTTCAAATTCAACGAGCATAATGTTGCATTCGAATAAAAATCAATGTGTCCTACATAAGACACTCAACTACTTGTTGCATACCATGCATACTGCCATCCCACTTCAAAAAAAGTCGAGAAGTTTGCCATTTTCAACTCGCACTTTGAGTGATGCACATGTAAAAAAGCAATGTCAGATTCTCTCGTTTTTATTCTTCCTCTGGCATGGGCTCCGTGCGCCAACAAAGAGGGCGCGTTTTCCCACTTTTGAGAGCGTACCGAACAAACAGTGTGTGCGTACTGTACTGGTTCGCGCCCGAAGTACGGACAACTGACTTTCTGAATGTGCCAAAGCTTTTAGCCACAGCGTCTTCGCCTGAGCGTCAGGCGTAGTCGGGGCGCGGGTGCATTTGAATTTTACTTGCGATGGTCTCCGAGACTAATCCCCGCCCCCAATAACTTTGGATCATACGAAATACGCAGTGGATGGACCGGGAACCAGACTAGGTCTCCCCAACTCTCCTTTTCTGGCCGTTGAAAGTGCCCATAATCTTTTGCCTCAAACCATAATGCTGTTACTCCTCATTAACGGTGAGATAGTATTCAAATATTGAGTGGCTCAGAGTGAAATGGGAGGAATATTATCGCAAGGTAAAATCTGGACTTTTCCATTTCACGAGGCGAAGCCGAGTGAACTGGAGAAGTCCAGATTTTACCGAGCGATAATATTCCTCCCATTTCACAATTTAAAGCCACTCAATATTTGTTTTATATAACTGACATATAGATCCTTGTCATTTGATATATTTGAACTTTTATTTCAATAAAAACTGGAGGAAAATGTGTTTCTCTCTTCCAAACCACCCCTTCATGAAAATGTTTGAACCCAACGCTGTAGCGCTGGCTCTTTGGAACAATACGCGCTACGCGCACACCAGCATGCATTTGCACACAAATACCGCATCATGGAACAAGAGTGACCGAAACTACTTAATAGTATTTCCCATTCCCCATGGGTGGATAGTACTTTTTGAGCCGCGGCATGAATGGGAGCAATAACGAATGTCACGTGAATGAGTTCCACCAATCAAATGACAAGGATATGTATGTCGGTTATATAATGCCTGATTCCAACATGGTTCATTTTTGATCAGCCACTTGATAAAAAAAAAAAACCTTCTATGTTCTTACCAAGTGTCTGTGTATGTCCGCTTTAGCAAGACTATACAATAGGATGGTGCCAGCCTGCGTCCCCAAGGCAACCAGGTCTGAATGCGAGACAGCTGAGACATCATTTTCTCTCTTAAGTACTTTGTGTGATCGTCTCTTCTTCTTAGCTGGCTCCTATACAAGAAAACAAATTTACGGAGTCATAACAAGTAGGAATTCACTGTCAGTGTGATAATATTTTAGACTCATAGTTAAAAAATTTATGTACCAGCCCAATACTTGCTGATGCTTTGCTGTGAGTTATTTGTCATAACATAAAAGAAAGGCCAAGAAAAAAATACCTGCGTTACTAATACCAATCAAACTTTAAAAAAAAGGCAAAACCTAAACTTTTTTTTTTTATTTTTTATAAATGGTGCCCCCCCTAAAGATTGTTTTTTTAAATTATAATTTTTGTATTTAATTTGGTTGTAATTTGGCGGTCTTAACGTGCCATTCAGTGAAGCTTATAAACAGTGCAGCAAATGCAGAATGAACAGTTGATTTGTCATGTAAAACAAAGGAGTGGTTATGATGGTTACGGCAGCTGTAACGCGATTTTACCCACCCACTCATTAGATGTTTTTTAATGAAATAGGAAATACAACATTTGAGGGGGGGGGGCTAATTAAAGTACAAAGAAATGACCTGGACATTGATGACCTTAAACTGATTTTGTTTTCTGCAGTCACGTTTTTCTTCATATATCATTTCTCGCTTTATCAACGAATGTTTCGTGTAATGATACATGCTCCAATCGATCCACGCAGTATGACACTAGGGCTTTGAATACACCGAAGGTGGAGACGGCTGAAACGTACATCGGTACACGTTCTAAACAAATGTTTAGCATTGGCAAGGCTTCCAAACAAACATGACAAACATGCAGAACAAAAATAATCATCATGATGATGATCATGTACGGCCGTGACGACCATGCCGGTCGGTAGGCCCGGCTATCATGGCTATGTATTTGCATTTCCACATGTTTTCCCATTGCCCAAACTAGGGTAATCCTTACTTTTAGGACCCCGTTCCTATATAGGAAGGGAAAGACTCACCAAAACAGTTGACTAAATGACACTCAAAATTGACATAAATCTGATACTTCTTGGCACATCTGAACAATTGGCAATGACACCTTCTTGAATATCAGCAGGTTTAATTTTGTGGAAAGAGGGCAGGGCTTTGATTTATGAGGGAAATTCAGGGGTAAAAGACGACGATGACAACCAGAAAACAGACTCAAAAACCAAGATGGCAAACGTGAAAGCTTGATGCAATGAAAGCTCGTTGCTGATTGGCTGATAAAATATAAACATCTTATTTATTTTTTTTAGCAGCCAATCAGCATCAGGCTTTCATTATGTAGGGATTTCACTGTGTTGTGAGAACTACAACATGCACATCTGACTGCGAAAAAAGGTAGGAAAGTCACATTTTCTTTGAAAGTGCTTTCAAAATTACAACTAACATGAGTTTATATGAAGAAAAAAGACTGCTTTAGCCTGCAAAAGTCACTTTGGTACTGGACAGACATCTGCAAAAGTCAGTTTTGAAGAGACTCGTAAAAAATAGAGGTGTCCTAAAAGTAAGGATTACCCAAACTAGCAATATAAGCCAGCGTTCGACAGTCTTGTAATTTATGAGGCTAGTCTAACCAATGGCATGTGACGAAGACACAGCATCAACTTGTCAAGTTCAACCCGAACGGCATTGGGTGGTGTCCGGAAATTGGGCAACAGATTCAATGTTGTGCAACTTTATTAACGCGGCGCTGCACCGAGCACTCACCGTTCTTGTTGGGCACCAGGACAAGCAAGTGCAGGTGGCTGACAGGTGCGAACTTGGCGTGTACTGCTGAGTAATAGTTGCAGAAGTCGTGTCCCACAGCGAAAGGCGCCCGTCGGGGCTGGAAACTGCCAAAAAACTACCATTTGGCGAGTACGAAATGGCTCCCGCGGCAGCCATCTTGAATCCCACGTGTCGACCTCTGGCCTCATTTGCATGCTGCCGCTTGCATGCTGCATGCTGTGGCAAAATTTTAAATTTTTGTGGTGGCGCACTTCAAATAAGGTGGACTTTGGGTTGGGGACGTCCTGTGGGGATCTCACAATGTAAACTGAACTAACTTAATGAAACTTGAAAGGGTAATTTAAGTGAGAGTAACATTGCAGATACAATAGTAGTAGGGCTATTTGTAACTTCGGTGATGGTAAATGTAGGCCTACATGAAATACAAGGGTTAACCAAAAGTGTCCTCAATGTCTCATCTCCGAAGACGGTACTGTTTAATTCTCGATCATGCCAGTTGCACTGCATTTTAAATGATGCGATCCGGACCAATGGCGTATCCAGAAGGCGGATGCGGCAACTTCCTTCCCCTATAGGTACATCTGCAAAGTTCTTTCATTTTCTGTTTTGTTAACTAAATAAACTGCAAGCACTTCATAACCAGCTAACTACGAACGACACCATACCCATACAACCCCCTCCCCAACAAAAAAATATCATGGAGGCCGGAACATGCACTCCATGCAGTGGCGCTGGCATAATCCACGGGGGGGGGGGGGGGGGGGGGGGGGGGGGGGGGGGGGGGGGGGGGCCGTGCCCCCCCCCCCCCCCCCCCCCCCCCCCCCCCCCCCCCCCCCCCCCCCCAGCTACCCCACAGTGCCAAAACACTATAATGACCTTTTTCCTTCCCAACCAAAAAGGCCGGGGTTTTCAGGTAAGTTGTTTTGTTTTTTTGACTTGGCAAAAGGCAATACTGTTTACAATTTCTAATGTCAATGGATATAGCGAGGCATTATGGGGCCTAACTGCATGGGTTTGCGAATGTGCCCCGGCATGAGATTCTGATGCCCCCTCAAAAAAAAAACCTAGCTACGCCACAGTACTGGCCTGCACCCTTTAAACAGCTACATGTCTTATAGTTACCCAGAATGCCATTCCCACTTCCTTCACAAGTTTAAGCTCATACAGGGTGCACACCGGTAAATAGGCCTAAATTCATCCGCCGAGCTCATGAATAAAAGTTATACCCTCAAAATATCATGTATTAGAGACTTCTGAGAGCCATAAAAAAATTGGGGAATTGAAGAGATAGGCCTAGCCTATTTATGGCAATGAACCACTAGCCCGGACTTGGGGCTTAAGTTAATTATGAGCATTTTGGATGCAATTGGGCTCGAAAGTGGCGCTATAATGCCACATTGTGGAAGAATCGTTTTCAAGATGGCTACCTTTCCGTTTTGGGAAAAATAGGGGTCGTCTTCTTGGGGTGAGAATTTTCTCGAAAAGTCAATGGTCAACCACCAAAAAAATGACATGTTGATCATCATTTTTCTTTTTGTGCAGCTTAAATACCTGTGAGAGTTCTGAGTATTTTAAAAAGAAGTTTGAAGTATATGCATCATTAAATTTTAGCACAAGTGTCTATGGGAATTTTAACCCTAAAGGGGCCGGGGGCGGAATCCGCCCCCCCCCCTCGACTTTTTCCGCGATAGCCTTTGAATTTTTTTTTTTCGCGACCCAAGCTTTGATGACTTTTTAGCCTCGAGCCTTGCGCATCTTTTGACACCAAAAACATAAAAAAATATTAATCGGACGAGGGGTTGTCGCGCAGCGAAATTTTTTCAGGCGCTACGCGCCGTGAAAACTGAATTTTCCCATATACGTCGTGTAGGCCTATACAGACCAGAATTGCCATTCATACATATGAATAATTAATTAGCCATAATTCCAAAACCCTTTGACCTTTGGTCATGAAATTTCTTGGGTATGTTCATGAAGAGTTGCTCTATGCATGTACCGAGTTTCATGTACCGATGGCTGAGATCTTAGACCCCCCCCCCGGCTGAGAGATGGTCAAAATAACCCGGCCCCTTTAGGGTTAATGCAGGATCGCACCTATGCAGCCCTTCCCCGGTCCAGCGCTATTATATAGCGCTCTAGGCCCTGTTTTTTTCAGGGCGGGGGTTACGAACGAGTTCACCAGATTCTGTGAAGCTCATCAGCTATCATAACGGAGGCACATCGGTATCTTGAACAGCTCCTCTAGTGTAATGGGGTGTCCTGGTGCAATGTTGATTTTGTATACATTTTAATTTTTTTTTTGAGAATTGAGGAAAAAACTTGCTGTTGACCTTATTTTTTCACGAAAACATTGTTTGATAACAGGCTGATGAAGGAAAACAATTATCGGTAGAAACAATTATCGTTTCCTTTTTAAAGACGTCCGTACCATGTTAAAATAGTGACGGATTTTAGAATCATCTATCCAAATACAAAGAGTAGAAGTCAGGCGCGGATCCAGGAAGGGGGTGGAACGCCCCCCCCCCTTCCGCTATGACTATGAATAGGCTAACAATTATAATATTGATAAGATCGGATATAAAAATCTCAACGGGCCTGATCCCCCACCCCGCCAATATTCCTGGATCCGCCCCTCAACGCACCTGATGCCTGTTTAAAAAAAAGCCTATATACATAATAATCGTGTTCATTGTTGCGTAACGAAAGGTATGCTTAGCACACGTATAGGTCTACGGCTAACGAGGCTGCCGTATACATTATTTTCCAAACAAATGCCATAACAGTTGACTCATTATTGCCCGGAATATAGACTTCAATTCTGTTCGTCCATGGAGCCAAAACAGATGCACACAGAGGTTTGTCCACCTATCATTAAAACAAATTGTGTTTGGCGAGAATTCTAAGGAAGCCTGATGGTCGAGTGGTTAGATCTGTCGTCCACGAATCGCGGAGCCCGGGATCGAATCCCGTCGGTGTCTATTTTGCTTTTCACCGCACGCGTTCTATTCAGTCATTATAAGATGTTTAATTTCCCGTCGTAGAATACCAACAGTACCTTAGCTTAATCGGTAAGCACTGCTGCTGGTACTGTCCGCGAGTTCCAGATTGGCGCCTTCGTACAGGTTCAGGGCATGTGGTCCACTCGGAGGATCAGGGCTTAGGGTGCCGCCCTGTTCCTCCCTTAGCTCTTTGCTTTTACATGGTGACTGGCCCTCCGGGGTTACATGGATGGACAGGGAAGGAAGTGTGTATTGGTCGGGACCCCCGAGATCCCGGAAGAGTCCTAAGGGATTGGCTGGGGCATTGTTATGGCTCAGACCGATCCCTGAATGCTTGGCTAGCACATAACTTTTTGATTTTTTTAGCCTCTATTTTTTAAAACTTTGGTTTAATAAGTTTGATGATTACATCTGTTCGGCAGGCCTACGGTAGTATTAAAAACAAAGCAAAGGTCTATGAAATAAATCAATGATTTTTTAATAATTGACTATAATAAAAACGAAGTTTTGTTTCGATCAATATGACATTAATGTTGCAATTTCCAATTGAAGCAAGAAACGCAGTTTGCAATATAGTACCCGGGCGCTCGCACAATAATTTCAATGGGGGCGCTGTTCAAATCCGACGATTATGCACAATACACCCTAACCAAAATGCCTAGCTGTCCGTATTTTGTGCACTGGCGGACATTATTACCACTATATTTTTGTTATGGTGTCAGAGAAGAGGGGAGGGGAAAAAAGTGTGTCATGTCATTCGGAAGGGATGAAGAGCGCCACCTACTGTCCGTGAGTGTCCTGGCGTGTCCGCTTTTAACAGTGCCCCTATGGATGCATTAAACTGCCACAATTTACTCTCCAAGGCGTTCGAGACACACATAAAAATTAAAGCTTATTTTATCATCTTTCTTTTGCTTTACAATTTTTTGGGGTAATATGATGACTTTGGGGGAAATTATCGGGATGCAGGTCAGAAAAGGCCCGAAATTGCCTGCACCGTCCAAATTACGATTTGCATGCCCTTGGAGCATTTTGAGGGCCATGAATTTAAAGATTTATAAAAAATTTAAAAAAAGAAGAAGAAGGGTGGAAGCCGTGCAGAGGGCAGCGCACTCGTATCATTTCTGTGAATTTCGGATGAAATAAGGCTTTACAATAATAATTTTGCTCAATTTCGGTATTTTGCAATGGAGCGCAGGCATCATTGGGATACAGGACCAAATTGAGGTGCGATTATCTTTAGCAGTTTGGATGGAATTTTCTCCAAAAATTCACCGGTTTACCCCAAGAAAGTGAACGGAAAACGAAAGATGATGAATAAGATAAGTTTTCATTTGATGTGTGTCTTAAACACCTTGGAGGGTTGCGAGTATTTTGCCTGAAATTCGGAAGTGGAAGTACTTATCACTAGTTGGTTCGATGTCTTCTTAACCAAAAGTGAATAACTTTTGCAGGACTACAAAGATAGCAATTAGAAAGAATCTAATTTCGACTGAATCTCGAAAGATATGCGTAGGCTTACAGTACTAGAAATACCAAAGTGATCATGATGCAAATGAGAAGACAATGCACACGAAATATAATTATGACAATTTAATATAAACCAAAATGAATTGACTCTCAACAAGTTCCATTTTCGAGAAAACCATTTAATTGGTTGATATTAGTAGGCCCAAATAATTACAATATGTATTATATCAAAATTAAATTTAAAAAGGGATTACCAAATTTTAATGTCATTAATAATTTTTTTTAATTAATATTCAATTAAAAGATAAAAACACAACAATGCCTGAGAGAGATAAAATAAATATAACGAAATAAATATATTTACATGTATAAGATGTCTATGCGATATTTTGACATAAAATGTAACGTTGTCAAACCCGCTAATCAAGATTGCAATACATTGATCTTAGCGAAATGATTTTATGGGGAGTTTTTAGAGATTGTTTCACAATACGAACCGCCATCTTTATCAGTTTTCCAATTACGCAATAGCCTGGAAAAGTGAGAAGGAAATAATTATATCTTTTCAACTTTTAGAATATGGGTCTATAATAATATGTCCATATTTCACCTTCTACGGCAAAAGACGTCTATAAATTATACAACACCTTTTTTTCAAACTGAATCTGTAATCTGTGATGATGAGCGTTTTCAACTTCTGTATCTTTTAAAATTCGTTTCAATAATCTGGACCTTTACAGAGAGAACTTTCCAACGGATGAAATTCCTTTGATATTATTCATTTCGACGTTATTTTGTAATTCATTTTATTTATGTAAGTGAGAAACTATTTACAAGACTTTACAAGAGATTTATAAATTTTAAACTTCATGATGCAGATATGTACACTACATGTACAAATGTACTTGTAAAATTTGAATAAATAATTACAAAGATTTCCATGCATATACATGTTCATTGCCTTTTCCGGACCCAATATCCCCCCCCCCCCAAAAAAAAACCCCCACAACCATGTAGCAATAAACAGAATGCAATTAAAATGTCTGCATTCCACATTGAAAATAATTACAAGTACAGTCGAACCCTGATAAGAAGACAAGCAACAGTTTACGCCCCAAGTACATGTACAGTCGACTCTCGTTAGTACAAACTCTGTTAATACCAAATTCTGGTCATAAACAAACAAAAAGCCTTGGTCCCGACTGTGCATTTATGTGCACAGTGAGTGGGACTGATATTCCTCTTAATACAAAATTCTGATATAACAAACAATTTGGCTAGGTCTGAACATGGAGCTACAATAGCTCCATGGTCTGAACGAGTTTGTATTAACGAGACTCGACTGTACCTGTTATAACAAGGTTGGGTAGTAAGTCCAAAGTCCAAAGGACCTTGTTATAAAAGTGTTCGACTGTACATGTATGATCCATCCATTATTGAGTTCGGTATAGAACGCAAGCCGTTGATACTTCTATTAGCATGGGAAAGCGACAGTTGAACCATCCAGCATGGTACATCAAATTAATTTGTTCTCAAATCAAAACGATGCGAAGAGATATTGTTTGATAAGTTTAGGTAAGGGCAACTGCAGAACCCCAACCGGAACAGGTTGTAAGCCTGCATGTCCGATTTCCGTCCGGATCCGGTGTCTGCAGATCTGTTCCAGGGATCTTGGGGTTCCCATCTCTTTGAGTACCCATGACAGAATCTCCTTCAACTCCGGGGAAATATCGGCTCGTTCCGCAGTCTTCCGAACCAGATCCACCGTCTCCGGAGCAGCCTGGACCACGGGTAGGAAGGGAAACAGCTCCTTCAAGGTTTGAGCTAGTTTGGCCGGGTTGAGGCTCCTACTGTCGCTGCAGAGTTTACGAAGAGCGCAGTCCAAGGGATTGAATCCGGCGTTGTCCTTTGGGGTCGGGATGGCTCCGTGATGGAGCAGCTCAGCCAGGCAGGCCGCGCGGCCCATCTCGCTGGCCAGATGCACGGCCGTCTTACTGGGTCCGGACACCATGCATCCCGACGGCTTGTTCAAGTAGCTCATCATCGTCACCTTCTTCGTCTTCTTGCTCTTGAATTTGGAATCCAGTCCCTTCGGTCCATTACAAGGGGAGCGTATATTCTTTCTGAATCGGAACCCGTAGTGGTACAGCTTGGAGCGGTGATTTTGCGAGGCAGGCAGCATCAGCGTGTGCTGGAGAAGCCTGCGTACCACGGCTGGCAGGTCCGTCTCAACGGCCCGGGCGACGTGACTGCAGCGGTACCCCCCAGTCCTCATGGCTTGGACTGGGTATTCCTGCAGCAGATATTCCACGTACTGTACGTGTTTGTGTCCGATGGCCATGCCGACGGCCTCTGATGCTGTGACATGATAACTAGCGTCCCCTTTGCCGTCAATCCACGCCTGGTACATCTCTAACCGAAGCATCTCCAAACATGATGGTGCCTGATGCTCCTTGATGCCACTCAAGAACCGCGGGTACAGATCGCTCATCTTGATTTCCAGTTCTGTATTTTCCTCCAGGCTTTCCATTTTACGACAGAACCTAGACAATACACATATATTCAAAAATATTATGTTTTTGCAGTAAAAATGCTGATGGGAACTGAGTTAGCTATACCATTTAGCTATGCCGACTCGTACTCCTCGTAACGGTTATGGCATTTAAACATTCTGATTTGAATTGCTTGTAAACAAACCGGCACACGCACGACAACCGTTACGGCCCATCCCATTCATTCGTATGCGTACTATGCATAAACCGTTGACCCGTACAGGCCTTTTGTTATCAGTATCCGCATACAATCTGCTCGTGATATCTTGTATGTACAGGCCTGCTGGTACGTTGTGTACATGTACATGTACATCACCATACATGCGCAACGGACTCAAGCCGGTCTGTGCATGACGTGTATAATGGGTCAAGGCCGGTTTAGGCTTACATAATTTCCGGCATGGTCCTCCATGGGTGGAAATACAATTATCACGTCACAAAAACATCATTAGAAATTTGAATACGCGCATGTGCATGTATAAGGGACGACGGGTGTATAACGCCATGAATTTGTTTATACATGTACAATGCTTTGAATTTTATGGAAAAAGGACATACAATTATTTTAGTACATGCTGACATTGTAACTTGACAGAAAATCCACTTCCCTCAAGTAAAAACCAAAGAAACCAATAATTTTTAAATGTCTAAAAAAAAGCACCATTACGAGAATAATTAGTCAAGCATTTAACAATTCCGAAATCTTAAAAAAATGGAAGCTAAACAAATTATAATTAATTAAACAAGTTCTCAAAACGAAGTATAAAAAATTGAAGGCCAAAAAATAATAAGCCCAACCTTCGAAGCACACACCAAACCAATTTCTAAACAACGGGAGACAAATTCACAAACTTCAAATTTCTTATTAAAAGAAAGAAACAAAATCGTTGGCAAAAGGAAACAAAACCGGATGACGGGTTGAGTAAAATAGTTTCAAAAACTCCCGATTTCCTTTTGAAGAAAATTATACCATGTTCGTTAAGGCCAAAAAAAAAGTCTCTGGTTTCTGGTATGCGCGCGCGTCGCCGTAGCCATGCGCGTCGGCAAAATGAAAAAGTTTTTTTTTTCAATGAAAGATGATGTCTCAAAACCGCCAAATTCACTGGTTAGACTGGAATCCTGCTGCTGCACAATTTTAACGTGTTTTTAGATGGGGTTATGTATGTATTTGCACTAAGTCTAGTCGGGCACCATTTGCAGTCATCAGCACACATTTGAGGCAAAAAAATCACTGGTAAAAAAAAAAAAAAAGCCGCGTCGCCGCACCACTTTTTGGGCAAGCTCCATACCAGAAACCGGAGACTTTTTTTTTTTGGCCTAATGGTTCATACATACGTTTAATTGGGAGAAAACAACAGGTCCCCGTTATAATCAAACAGAAGATTTTGATGATTACTCATCGATGTAAGTTACGTCTCACTCCAGTGGCGCACCCAAGGGGGGGGGGGGGGACTCGGGGGGCTTGAGCCCCCCCCCCCCCGCTCGAGGTTGTCAATGTTTTTTTGTTTTTTTTACTCCCACGATTTGACCTTGGCGATATGTATGTGGCCTATTTTTGAATAGTATAATAGGGGTGAAGGTGGCGCCACCAACGTCAAAATAGTCCCCCCCCCCCAAAAAAAAAAAAAAAAAAAACCCATTTTTTTTCCTGCGGCTAAACATTTTCGGATTTTTTTTTCTTCAAATTAACTTCGAAAGAATTTGAAACATAAATTGTGAGCCCTCCCCAAGAAATCCTGGGTGCGCCACCGTCTCGCTCAGAGGTTTCTGAATATAATTGTCAGTAAGTCTATTTGTCAAATCCGAAACCTAAAAAAAGGGGGATGCATTAAATAGAAGAGAAAACACATTGTTGAGATTGTAACGATTCAAATATACGGTTTTCCCGGCTATTTTAAAAGATTGTTCACTTGATTCACAAACTCTTTCCTTTAATTTCGTCCGAGAAACATTTCACACGCTTTTAACAAAACCAATTTGAGTCATTTACCATTCAATCAAGTATGGTGACCCTCTTTAGTCGCCGGGTCGAGAATATTCGTCATTACAGATCAAATTCGTCTAAGCTGTTGCCGAATGGCAGCATTCAGAGATCGAATTCGTCTTATATAAATCAATAAAATTATACGAATTTGATTTCTGAATAACAAGATTCGGCGTAGACAGGACGAAATCGAATACACCGAGTCGAAAACCGTGACGTGTGCTCATTGTTTGAATTTGTTTGGACCAGTGGCGTAGCCAGGAATTTTTCATGGGGGGGGGGGGGCCGCTGGGGGGGGGCTGGAACATTTCATGGGGGGGGGGCGTCATGTAGATCAATGATATTTTTTTTAGAAACTCAAAATCTCAGTGGGGGGGGGGGGGGGGGGGCGACAAGGTTTCATGGGAGGGGGGCTGTCGCTGTCTGACAAAAGACGAAAATAATTAAATATTGAAAGTGCACTAAATCGATGTTGATGGACAAATTTGAATATTAGAAATGGTGAATTCGAATGATAAACGCTTTAAAATAACCGGGCCAATGTCAAACGGAAGTGTTTGAAGATCATATAGATCTCTCCACGACGTCTATGAAGATAACTCTGTCAAATCCGATCCCTTAAACAATGAAAAAGAATGAAATTGTAAGTGAATCTTTAACCTTTGTGTATGGGTAACGGGTTGTCTTAACCAAGGTACGCGTTGGTCAAGATGAGTTGACTCAAATTTAAAGAAAATTGACACGATGTGCAACTGAATTGCTTTGGTTAAATTCGGAATAAGAGACCGATTTATAAAATAGAACAAATAAAGTGACTGGAGCCGGATGTAAATCTGCGAAATAACCCCGACGGTGTTATGGGTGGCAGGTTCAAATCTCGTTTCTGATGAATGCTTTATTGTAGCAATTAAAAGAAAACTTATCCCTGGATTTCAGTGGTTGATCCTGAGGTTTTTGTAAGGGGATGGCAAAGAGTGTCCAACCAGGGTTGGATTATTTTTTTGTTCGAAGTTTCATTCAAAAGTGAATAACTTTGTAGGCCTATTGCTAGACAAATTATAATAATTTAAAAACTTATTTGGGGGTAAAACTCGAAAATAGCACCGGGAAAGAAACTGAAACTTATAACACTTTAATCGACGTTCGTGACGAATCGTTCGGACTGACTTCAGCGCCGAATCGTTCAATGACTTGATCTGCGTCGAATCATACGTCTGTGGCGAATCGTTCGGACCGTCTGCGCCGAATTGACTGAACTGCGCTAAATCGGTTCACGTCTGCACGGCCGAAACGTTTGACTTTCGGCACCGCAACGTTTGATCAGCTGAGTGACTTCTGCTCGTAAAGATTGCATGCCGTCTACTGCGGATCGCTTAACTACATCAGCTACAAAGACTTTTTAACCCTTACCAATTAGGCCTATCTTTCAATTAGAAATGGTTCCCCGGCTATTTTAACATATTTTTAAATTCAAATTCACCAACTCTATCATTTCATCCACGAAAAATTCACACGCTTTTAACAAAACCAATTTAGTCATTTATTATATACCATTTAATTTTAAGTTTGGTCACCCTCTTTAGTCACCGGGTCGAGAATATTCATCAGTACAGATCAACGCCATTCGGCAGCATTCAGAGATCGAATTCGTCTTATATCAATTAATTAGACGAATTTGATTTTTGAATAACAAGGTTTGGCATAGACGAGACGAAGCCGGGACGAAAACGAGTGGTCATTGTTTGAATTTGCTTGAACTGAATTGTCTGACACAGGACGAAATTAAACGTTAGCGCACTAAATCGATGTTGAGGGACGAATTTGAATATAGGAAGAGGTGCGGAATTTGAATGATAAACGTTATGAAAATGCTGGGAAAACCTTTAAGAATTAATATCCGAGCTACAATTTTCCTTTGAGTTATAGGTGAAATTATAGTCTAAAAAAAAAGCTTTGGCCTGCATGTGGAATTAAAGTAACAGTGCTGTGTATGTCGATTTGAGTCTGCGACATTATTAATTATTTATCTGCAGTTGTTACTAAATTACATTCGGTTATAATATAATGAAAGACCATAAACGATACCACAAATGAGAAAAGGACATTGTACTTTCTTGGCAATAAAAGTGAACAAATATATCCATAAAACTTCCATACATTTTGTAGCCTCATTGCAAGATCTGTAGTATTTTCTCGCCAGCCTCTATAAACCATTTTTGTTTGTTTACATAGAGGAAATTCACGAGTCCAACGGTGATGCAAATGACATTAATCTTTGAGTATATCGCCGTGCGTCAGCAGTAAGATCACCGGCCACGTACCATTATTGAGCAATCTATCAAGCTGGACAAAAAGATTATCTTTTAATACACAAATCTTTCGGCGACCCCTTTTGTATACCTGGTACTTTTTGGAGAAAGGTCTGTTGTATTATGAGCGAGATGCTTCCTTTTGTCGCTATTCAAGATAATCGTAACTCTGCTGAGTGGATCGATATGAGGGTACAACCGACTCATACAGTGACCCTTCGGGCTGTTGGGGGTGCCCTTTTGGTTAACATTTGGCCTTGGTTGTCTAGCAACGCGGCACAAAACCCGAACAATCGCTCCTCGGAACAGCGCCCTCGCACAGCACCTCCACGCAACGCTCGTAAACACTGATTTTGTTACGTGTACAATGGTAACGAACAGCAACACTGTCCCGCACGCGGAACGTATACACACGCGTTGACTTACATCGCCGATTCAAGACAAAATTCTCCTGAAACTGGTGTGAAGCAAAACTCTGGAAAGCACTTTCTCCTTGTATCAATCTCCCTTGTTCAGACTTCTTAAACTTCACTGGGGAAATCCATTATCAAGTACTTCAACTTCAGTTTTTCCCCACCCAAATCATCCAATCGTCTTGGTAAAGCCCGGAGTCCCGGTCGACCGGAGACATGAGCGTACTGAACCCGGCGTCGACGGCCAGGAGGAGGGAGCAACTGTACGGCGCGTCCCGTGTGGAGGAGGTCCGGGCCTTACGGCGGTCACTCACTCAAGACCACATCACCAACCTGACGAGTGACAGGACTAAAATACCGCCATGGGCCAGCACGACTAAATTCGCTTACAAGGTAGGCCCGGAGAAATACAGGGAGTTGTGGTGAGGTTTACACGTACACGGGTGGTACCATATAAACGGGTGGTATTTCTGGAGAATCGCTCCGACAGGGCCCTAACAAAATCTTTGACAATTTTCCGAGAAATTTCGACCCGACATTGAGAGCGGTGCATAACTATATTCACGTTATAGTTTAGCCGGTCAGGTGGAACAGAATGCACGCAGAATCACCGTTTCGCATTATATCAAAGGCACAATTAAAATAATGTTTGAAATTATAGTTTCAATTCTAAATTATCCATAAAATGGAAATGACTTGTGCCCATAAATTTGCAATGGTCGTATACGGTATAGGTCCAAAAAGAAGCGTTCAAAGTGAATTTCATATCACAGAGAACGAAATTATTTCGTGCTAAAACGATCAAAGAATAACGGAAGATGTATTTAAAAAAATGTGTGAATGAGTTTCTAGACTTCTTTCCGCTTTGCACGTAACTTTTTTGAATATATATAATGATCGGAGGATGAAAAACTGTGATAGCTTGGGCATACTTATTACACTATAAAACTTTGACATTTAACAGAGAAGCAAAGTACTAATCCCATCTCAACTCCAGAGTCCAGACTCCCACACCAACAAAATGTGATGACACTAAAGCCAAAGAAAGAAATGTAAATGTAAATGTAACGTTCATGCTTGAAGTATATCGCAATTCATTGGAAACCGGCATTCAGTGATGAAATGGTCTACATTACAGTTTGCCGAAATTCGGTCTCGAAAGTGCAATATCGTACATCATGCACAGTTGTTGTTATCAATGAAACATTGGAATTGAATTTATCTCCCGCGTATTGAACACACGTAGTATTTGCGATTGTTGTTAACTTGTTCAATACGCGGGTTAACACTGATAAGGTTAAGGGATTATGGCCATCCCACGGATTAATTCGGATTCATGATAATAAATCAGTAACGCGTGAAATAGCCTCTTTTATTATAGAGTCTCATTCACGAGGGTATTTTGTTCAACCAGTGAGATAATTAGGTCACGTGGTTGCATCATTAAAAAATATCAACTGTAAAATGTGTGTTTAGAGTTTAAATAAATTTCTAAACATTAACTGTGCCCACTTTTTCCCCACATGATTGAATCTACGATTTGTTAAATTCTTTTTTGATGTATGCGACATGTTTATGTACATCGTACGACGTTCTGTACCATCAAGTATAATTCAAATATAGATTAATTAATGGGTTCCAGTCCAAATAAACCCTTGCTTCTCTTTTGTTTCTCACAAAGCATCTTTAAAAACCCCAACTTCACAATATCGGCGTGAATTACAATTCATTAGGCCGATGCCATTAACGAACTATATCCTCCTGTGCAAAACATCTGAACATGGCTAGGACTACACGTGAAAAATGTAGGTACAAAAAAGTGACTAGTTCTAAGCAAGCATCATTTTGCTCTTGCCTTACTGGTGCCTGTTCACTTTGATCTGCACTTTTCTGCGGCATTTTCTCTTAACCATTAGGCTAAGGGCCGTGACAGGCATGCTTGTTCTATAAATACATGGGGAAAGGTTTAACAATATAGCAACACTCGACTCGAGTTTTCTTAAACACTCGTCCCGTGTTTGCTTTACGTTGGGTGGACAATTCACTGGAGTCCCCAGCCTTGTTTACTGTTAACTTCAGCAGCAACGATCGATACTGTGATGCGACTGTTGTGAATAACCTGTGTTTGCTTACATCTCATGTATATTTGATGGAGCGTAGCACAGTAAAATGCTTTCATAAATATAACAGTATACTGAAAAACCAAGTGGTTATAGGTAATGGCAAAAATACGTTTAAAAATTGAATGTCTTGACGTCAAGCGTTTAAAAGTTAAACACATGTTTAGTGTTTCTAATCATGGAGCTATACCTCCATGTTCTAATCAACTGGAATCGTTCACGAGGCAGACAATGTAAAACGGAATGTATATATTTTGTCAAAAAAAGTCAAATTTCATTCAAGCGGCTGCTAAACTTAAACCGGCTGTTTGTGGCTTTGTTTTTGGTGCATGGATACCTGCTTAATGAATCAGACTCAAAATTACTCCTGAAGCCCGGTTCAAACTTCATGCGAAAGCGAATGCGAAGCGAAGTTGACGTCATGAAACTTTCGCTGCGAAATTCGTCCGAGTTGAAATGTGAATTCGCAGCGCGAATACTTGCCATGTCGTCACAAATTCGCGTTCGCTTTCGCTTTCGCGCCGAGTATGAACCGGGCTTTATGAGCTTGAACCCTTGACGTCTCTCCCCATATAAAGGCGTTCAAATGTTTATAAACGGTTGTACCCCCCCCCCCAAAAAAAAGTCGCACGTTTTTTATGTGTTCAAAAGTTCAGCACTAGATTTTTCAGTGTAGGCCTTTTTCTTCAGCGTCTGTATTCTTTTTGAACATTCATAAAAAAAACGATATTAAAACAGAAACAGCTGTGCGTCAATAAAAAGAAGGTGCTCGTTCGAGTCCTAAGCTTGGGCACTGAACTACAGGCCTGCTTATAATGCACCATTTTGCATTATTTTCTTCTGTTCCAACATTACATACACAGTATGGCCCATTCTGTGCTATATTTATATTTCTATTCCCTCAAAAAATCCATCATATTAGCAGATTTTTTTCTGGCACAGGCCTGCAAACTGCGTAATTGAACGTAACTTCACTTGACAGTTGAGCGGCAACTCTGTAAACGGTTATGTCAGGTGAAAAGAAATGGTCGTGTCGGGATATTGTTTCGAGGTTAAGGGTCATCGTGTGCGATAGAGTGGAAAGATATATATTATGGCACTGAATACCCAAATCAATTCTCAAAACTAGTTTTGTTGGGGCATGCGTACAATTTGTATAGAAACCGGTTTGGCAACCACTCAGCATTTTTTATGTTGGACGCTCAACCTGGTCGAGACTGGACAGAGTATGATAAAGCGGGACCGGTGTTTGATAGGATTCGTCATCGTCATTCCAATCACTTACTATTTTTTTTCTTTATATTAACATACATTTAATTTTCTGTTTCATTCCAAGGGGACACAGCCGGATAAGATCACAGCTCTGTCATGGGACTCCGGGGTTCAGGTAGGCTTTGAACAACAAAATTGAATCGGGCTTTTGATGTCTTTGTAAGGACCAAAAAAGTGACATATTAAAAAAAAAAAGTCTCAAATTATAGGTTTGGCGAATTTGCCTTTAAACGCTGCATGAAAGAAAATATGAAAATCCCTAAACTGTATGTGCTCCGGAAGTGACATCACTGCAAGAGCGTCCCCAATTTTTGGAACAGCATGGGCACAAATGAAAAATGACACTTCCAAAATCGAAAAAAGTGGCTTGTATTCATACAGTTTAGGGAAATTGAAATTTGCACAAATTTGGTTTATAATGTGATATTATTTTCAAGGTCACTGAAATAAAACAAAAAATATTTTGATTTTTGTCTGTAAAGAACCAGGCACATTTCGACATGCGAGGAGACGCAGCGCCAGTCGACAACGGTGTCTATCTGAAGTCACTCACTACCAACGACTACAGGAAACATCCACCACAAAGGGTAACTATACCTTCAGTGTTGTGTCCAACAACAAAATCCGAGAAGGGCCATATGGGAAAAGATTTTCAGTATTCAATCGTGCTAACGATTTGCTTGATCACAAACGGATTAGGCTTACAAAAATCATGAGAAAGGAAATTGCTTAATGACGCTGTTTCGTGGTGCTGATTTTGGCTTTTATAATGCAGTCGAAGCGATCAGCATCATAAGGGTGCAGGCCAGTAAATAGGCCCGAAATTGCCTATGCCGGTCAAATCACGAATTGCGTGCACAAATTACAGCATTTTGTGGGCCATGAACTTGAGGGTTTGTTAAAAAAAAAAGTGAGAAAGCCGTTAACATGACTGCGATCTCGTTTTTCTGTCAAATTCGGATGAACTGAATTGGGCCCTTAAATTGCTCTGCAGTTGTGTGATGGAGCGCAGTATCCTTTTTTTTTCAAAATGGGGATAGGCTTCAGGACTGCTTTTAGGAGTGATCATCTTTGGATGGAATTTTCGTCCAAAAGTTACTGGTTAACCCCCCCCCCCAAAAAAAAAATGTATCAGAAATATGAAAGACGATTCAATGAGCTTTCAGTTGATGTGTGTCTCAAACACCTTGAAGAGTTGTGAGTACATGTACATGTATATATTTTTCATAATTTCGGGAAGTGGGCGTAATTATCGCTGAGGTATATATGGTGGTATATTTACGGGTCTGCAACCATATCAGACCCCATAATTGGGACAACTATTTCGTTTACTGTGTGTACTACTCGAATAAGACCATGATTAGTTAATCTACATTTACCACCCATGCATTTGTGAATTCCAAACGATCTAAAATTTGTAAGAAAACAAAATCCATTTCTTTTTCATTACAGAAAACTGTTTTACGTCAAGACAATCAAATAAATCTGCCGGTAAGTGATGAGAAATAATTTGCTTCTAAACATCTTGCCAAGTATTGTCTTTTGAACGTGGACGAAGAGTTCAGAGACAAATTATTCGATTACTTCAAGCATAAATTCAGAAGTGGCAAAATTAATCTGATGTATGTTCCCGTTTTATTTTATTTCAGGACATGAACCCTCGTTTCTTTCGAGATCCAGCAATGGGGACTTCATTCTACAATTCGGACTTTAGCAAAGTGAGTTATTTGATTTGATTTGATTATTTATGCTTCTTAATTCACAAAAACAACATATAAAATTGGTGTGATGGAACGGTTGAGAGCGGCTTTTACCACTCATTGTATCATTTTATTTCTGCAGACAATACAACGCGAAACCACACTGCCGGATCTGCAGAAGGCCAGGACAGAGATGCGCAGGCGCAATGTGAAAGACATCCGAACCACACACTTCCAATTCGGCAACGAGGATTCCAAGTGAGTGGCCATATAAACTTTTTTTGTTATTTTTTTTCTAATAATAAATACTATTTGAGGCTTTGCATGGTGGAGTATCGGTATCGTTTCGGTTTGCGGTAACACCATGTGGTAATAACTACTGCTCAGAAGATACTTATTATCAACTTTCGCTTAGTAGTTTTTGTTCTGATAAGAACAGTCCTGCTCTAAGTTCTAAAAGAACTTGGCGAAAGTTGATAATAAGCAGGACAAATTCTTTTCAGAGCTAAATATCTTCTAAGCGTATGGTTATTACCACATGGTGTTACCGCAAACCAAAACGATACAAATAATATATACAGCTATTAAATTATTCGACAAAATATTTTACAATAGATACATACGTTTCACTGAAACTTAATAATTTATTTTAATTTTGAAATTGTGGAATCCCAGCTTTCAAACAGAGACAGTGTCCTCCTTCAAGGCTGGCCGGCCCCGGTCTGGTCTCCGACTCGAGCCGCTCCAGCCGCCGGCCCTGTACCGCTCCAAGACGGAGCCCATCGATCGCGACCCGGCCGCCACGGTCCGGAGAATGCTAGAAGAGGAGCGAGAATCCTATGTCTTCCGGAGTGGAGACTACAACGTCACGGCGCCCAAACCCAAGCTGTCCACGTTCCAGAGAGACTACGACGCGGCGCCCAAGGAGCCCAAATCGGCGGCCTTCGTCGAACCGACGCAGATCGCAAAAGGCAGGTTTTTGCAGGACGCCGACACCTTGAAGTGAGTCTAAACTTTCATCCATCTTTCTGTATTATTCACCGCACCAATGGTGATTTTATCAAAGCTTTTAATATGATTTGAAACTTTGCATGGCGGTAATGTTAACTAGTGAGAGTTTGCGATAAATAATGTGCAGAATCTCTGAAGATGATCACAGCATACTGATCGGAACGTCGAGTTTCACAACCAACCGATTCTTTCCAGAACCACACATCTTCTCAAAAGAGATTCTGCACATTGCGTCACTGCAAAATCTCACCAGAAAGTTTGTAATCGTTTAGGCTTTTCCTACTATTTCGCATAAACACTAATCTGCTAAAGTTAAAAAAGAAAAACCAACTCACAACTATCTTCACAATATTTATGTGCGCAATTAAGAGCGACCCGTTATTATTAGCTCTTCCTAAAATAAACGAATAAGTCAACTCGATTTCCACTGAGTTATTTAATGTTAGTCACGAAATGTCGGTATAACGTCAAGCTGGACCTTATTGAAAATTGTTTGCGCTCACTTTTTATGGGAATAATAATTCGAAAACAGAGTGACATCTTTTTAATGTAATATTTTGGTATTTTTTATTTTTAAAAGTGATTTTTTTTTGGACGGAAATAATGAAGAAATCGGTGTCATTTCAGGGCGAGTATGAAAGAAGAGATGATTCTGACCCCTGACCCCTTGGACGCGGTCACCGCGGCTAAGAAGACCGCCGAAGACAACGCTGCCATCTTGAGAAACATCCTCTTGCAGTACGACTCAATGAAGTAAGTAACGGCCAGCTCGATTGGCTGACAGTATCGGGCAACTTGATTGGCTGACGGCACCGACCAACTTGATTGGCTGAAACTATTGGCAAGCTTGATAGGCACTATCAGACAATTTTATTGGTTGACGTTAAATGGTGCACTAATTAAATAAATATCGAAACAAAAATAATATGATGAAGTAAATAGATACTTTTGGTAAATTTAAAATCGCCTCAAAGTTCCTGTTGGAATGAAATCTCCACATAGTGTATAAAAATCAAAACAAAAAGCTTAAGACAAGATTCTGGGATTTGCTGAAGCACTGAAGGGGTTAACTTTGTCTCGTGTTGCGCATTAAAATGAACGAGCAAAACCGTCACAAATTATATTAATTTTTCGTTCACAACGAAGCAGGCATTCTGATAGTGCCTATCAAGCTTGCCAATTCTTTCAGCCAATCAAGTTGACCAAAATGTCTTATTATTTATTCTCTATGTGCCTCGCAACCCGGTCCAAATATACCGTACGAATGATGACTATTTGAATGTTTCCATCGTTATTGCAGGACCGGCTATATCTCGAAGGAGCTCTTACAGCGAGCCTGTAATAGTCTGTTAGATCCTATTCCGCAACCTACCGTAGATGAGCTGCTCGCATCGACTAAAGAAGGGCCCGGTAACACGATAGACTACTTAGACTTCATCAAGCAGTATAATCGTAAGCCACATTTTCATTATTACATTACACTTCATTTTGTATAATAGGCCTATTTTGAAAAGCATATTGACAGTGCATTAAATCAAACGACTGAATGACCAGACTATCATGGGTGTGAAATGTTTAACGGTTATATGTTGAAATATACATGTATACGTTTTGAACTCTGATGTTGTCGACTCATCTTTACCCAAACCTTGTTTTCTTCAATTGTAATGGAAGTCACTGATCTACGAAACCATGACATTAACTTTGCAACCAAGACGTCAAAGATAACATTTAACCCTATGAATAAGTTCAAACTTCGTGTCGTCTAAATCGGTAGCCTTCTTTCTCATCGTCTTCTGTCCATCACGACATATTTTGTTTCCGGCTTGCTGTATTTATAGCAGTGCAGCCTACAAATACCTTTAAAGAGTCCTGATTTCATTATTAGAGGTCGTTTTTTTAATCCAACAAAATTGTCCTTCATTTTACTTTTTAGTCAAGTCTCCTCTTCTCACTGCGAAGCTAGAAGTGTCAACGGGGAGAGATGGCGTGACGCGATCCGCCGATGTAACCAGTCAGCGTGACGCAATGAAGAGTGCCGGGGGTTCTGGGGGCAGTGGCCCCGTGCTGGAGAACGCATCGACCGGCAAAGAATACCAAACTGGCGTACATTTTCAGGTAGTGTTTCTATATTATTCATGTATTTGTTTAATCAGGAACAGGACATATAAGCTGTGGAAAGTAACTGGAGTTACTCTCTAAGTTCCAAAGAGTGAAATTAGGGACTAGACGTTTTAGAGTGAAAATCAATCTCATGTTTGATTGAAATAGTCGGAAAAAAGAACCACTTCAGACGAAGCTCGAGTGAAAACTCGATCTTAGGATGGAAGGAATTTCACTCTAAAACGTCTAGTCCCTAGTTTCCGACTGTGAGAGTGAATCTTCACTCGAATGGAGTGAATTTTTACTCTTTGGAATTAAGAGAGTATAATGACGCAGTGACATTGTAGATTTTTGTTTTCTCATCAGTAAGTATCGGGTTGCGTGTTAATCAACTTACATCCATGCAAGACGTTGCAAGATCTACGCAAGAAAGTTTGATAAATACTTTATTTTTGATTCTTATTTGAAATTTCTGGCTTGTATAAATTTTTCTCCAGTTCGGCTCAGACGCGGACCAGCCAGCGAGTATATACCACAAAGACTACGACGCGCAAGTATTGAAGACGGACAAGAAGCCGGAAAAGTGTCAAGGCCCTACGTCGTCTGAGGTGAGTTCCAGCGAATGTTCAAAATAATTCAGGCTATCTTTGTTCACGCGTAAAATGTAGGTAGCAAATCTCGTAAGTAATCGTTTCATTTCATGAGCTTTGGATTTTGCTCGAGGAATCAATTCGATGCAACGAAATTTGGCAGTTGCATTAGCAAGATATTAAACATGATTTATGTTATAGTGTTAAAACAGGGTCTAAATGTCTAAAAACAATGGCCAAATATATGAATGCTTGAAAAGGAAATATGAACAATGTATATAAACAGAACTTAAAAAGGTAAAGTATCACAGTGATAGAATGAAATAAAATAATGTTGGACAAGTGTCTATTTTTTTTCTGTGCAGAATTTTTTTCCATTGAACATTCATTGAAAATGAACACTTCTATCATAGTCGTCTTCTCAGATGCGAAATCGGAAGCCCACAAACGAAATAGAATTTTTCCGAACGAACAAGTTTGACCACATCACTCTCAATTGATCATTACTTTTGCGCACAGATAGTCCGTTGCTCGAAATCAAATTAAATTGAACGAATAATGATGTTAAATACACAGGAGGAAATAAATATCAAAGAAAACAAATCATGGAAACATTTTCCTCCCGTTACAAGATCGAGACTATCACCTTATTAATGTCAATCATTAGTTTGGTTTTTAATCTTTATTTTCATGATACACTCTCCAGGTGATGCATACGACAAACGGGGTTGAGTTTGGAAATAGCACGAAACAGAGTGACTTCGTAAGCTTCCAAGAAAAGGACAAGGTGCAATTGCGAAGCATTGTGAGTAGTGTTTTCCAGTGTTACACTGCAAAATCTGGAGTGTTAAATTTACACCATTGGTATTTATATAGCACCATCTGGTGTTAAATTTTACTGGTGTTGTCCTATATACAATAGATACCGAATGGTGTTAAATTAACATTACAGTTTTTGTAGTGAATGTATTGTGTGTGTTTTACTTCCCATGAAGATCATAATGGCCCAATGATATGACCATAAATGTCTTTATTGATAAACTTGCTATCATCGAAGTATGTTTTTGGACTGTTCCGATTATTTGCAATGATATCATGATTACTGAAAGCATATTGTTCTGGAACCCGTATAGGGAAACACTTTGTCTTTTACACTAGGGAGACACTGGGCAGTAGGGAGATATTTTTAGTTTCTCTGTAATTCAACTCCATTTCTGGAACGAATGTTCATGTCGCAAATTGTTTAAAACGTTTCACTAGGTTGAGATTAGGTTGAGTATAATTACAAAGTTTTTTGTCTGGGGGTGTATTATCAAAAGGGGGTTATATAAGGGTTTGTGGGGTTTTTGTGTGTGCCTAAGTCACTGGGAATGTGTCCCTACTGTACTATTTTCGTTTATAATGGGTGCAACCTTTATTATTAATGGAAATCGAGGTAAAAAAAAGAAGGAGAATTGAACATGTGAAAATGTTTGCCAATACGTTGGTTTTGTAGATATTTTGCCAGAAACTGAAATAATCACATGTATTATTATGTTGATTTTTGCATGCATGAGATTTTATCTGAAGGAATCACGTGACTCATTAGATCTGATACATCACACATTTTGAAATATTAATTGGTTTTTTTTACGTTCTATTTATTGAACAGCTGAAATCGAGAGATGACCAGGGTTTGAAGAATAAAGGCAGACACGACAAGAATAGCGTTATATTAACGTGTGATAAAGACAGAGACGCTGAAGACAGGCATCAGTCACGTGAGTATGATTTTTATGAATGTGCATAAAGTGACGTATTTCATTGTCAGCCAATTAATTTCAAGGCTTTCGATGGATCTTTTGTTTCAGTGTTGTTGGTTCGGTATGTGGTTGAACTATACATACTTTATTTCAATAATCATATAAAATTTTGTGATAAGATATCCTAATTAAACTCGACCGTAATTGATGATAATTTTTATCCGAACTTTGCTACCAATGTTACAGTATCTCACGAGAGCTACGTGAAGTTCCCGGCTTCCCTGAAAGTCACCGTGGCCCCTCCCTTGCCCAAGTACCGGTACCTAGACGGGGACGGCGCCCTGCCTTACCCGGCCAACCTGCCCGGCCGGTCCGAGACCATCGAGGCCTACAGCGGCTGCTGCCTGTCCATGCCGGCCGAGACGGGGGACAAATTGCGGCTGTTCCAGGCCGAGAACGCCGAGCGCGTCCGGGACAGCCGGCGGGTGCATTTCAAGTTCGGCACGGACGAGGTGTCGCCCACGACGGAGGCCAGGGACAACTTTACCGAGGCGACCCCGGGCCGAGACGTTCCGGCGGCGGGGACAAAGAATCAGACGGAGCCTAAATATCCACATCTGATGGTCAGGTAAGATAGAAACAGTGTGGTAGCGAAGGTACCCCATGTGTTCGATCACAAAACAGTCAAATTGGGTAAAACTAAGTTCAGTAAAACTATCAATGTGGTCTGGATTAAACTGACTTGAAAAGTCTATCTAGTCAAGTATAGTCAGTATTTTGACTGTGAAGTTTTAGGAGTAAACGAAGTGGCGTTAAGTATGAAAGCTAGTTCTTCCATTTGAATATGCTGTTGGTCACTCTTACCGTTTCCTATTTCTGTAGGCCTATATGAAATCATTTGTTATAGGAGCCATGTCTAACTTAAGCTGCGCGTCTTACAATGTAAAAAAATAGAGGGGAAAATGCAAGAAACTTTCTCTGTCCAAGCTTCAGCTTTAATGAAAACAATAAATCTGTTGTGTAATGTTTTAACTCTACTTTGTCTTGTCGGAAGTATTGACGTAAAATATCTTGTTGCATTAAAATCGAATTTGAACTTCTCTCCTGTGTTGATAATTGCAGTAAAAACACGCAAGATTTGAGCAGAGATCCGATGGCCAATGGGATCTTTGATAGCATTCGCCTGGCCAAGAAATCCTACTACAACACGTGAGTGTATGCATGGGCCCCAATGGAAACCAGTTTTCAAATGTTTGGGCAAACCCTGGGTAAAGAAATGTAATAAATAAATGTATCACTTATTCCAAACTAATTCAGGGTACTTTTTTTATAACGTTTACTTTGAACTTTAACGTATATATACGAGGTTCACTAAACAACTTCTAGAAGGCCAAAATCTTATGTTTTGATTGACTTGTCGTGAGAACAAAGTTTTTGTAACGACTTTAAATGAATTCATCACAACAACAAGCTGAATATCGAAGAAAATACGTAAATTCTAAAATTATGGGCCGATAATAAAAAATGAAAGAGCGGCGTGAATACTTGTTGTTGGGGTAAGTATATCAAGCTCAAATATATTATGCAGATCATAACTATATTCTTCAAATATCGCCTATAAGTATGACGACATAAAAATGTTGTGGTGTCCCATTAATCCTACCTTAAATGTCCCACATCGTAAAATAATTGTTTCTTGGACTTTATTTAACTCTTTCGAAGTGATAGTTCCTAATTGTGCGGTTTTCTGTTTTTCCCCATCAGGGCACCGAACCCTTCCGATCCACTACACATCAACCTCAGACGGGTCGTCATGGAGATGGACCCCAACCACACAGGTCACGTGACGAAGAGAGTCCTCAAGGAGGCTTGTGGGAAGTTCCAGATCAACGTGAGCGCCAAAGCGCTGGACAGACTCATGCAGAGGTGAGGTCCCTTCGCCAGTGTATAAAATTGTCAGTAATGCCGGTAAGGCTTCTGCCAAAGTTACCCATTGTGCCAAATGCAGTTTATGGTATATCTTGTGTAACTTTACAATAATTGACAATATTTACATATAAATATATATTTGTTTAATAGATGCGACAAACACGGTGAAGATAAGGTGGACTATCATCAGTTTATCAGATCTCTGACCCTAGAGCAACTTCCTGAATCAGTATCGTCTTCCCACGGTGCCTCGCTCATGAGACATGACTACAGACCCCTCAACCAACGCAGGTAATTACAAAATGTATATGCTATAGTAAACAGTTTCATATTTGCTGGCCGGTGTTATATAAAATCGGGATTCCTATGAAATCGTGTCTTTTTGTATAAGTATTCCAAGTCGGAGAGGTGACATGCATGTCCCTGCTCAAATTATGTCCACTGAGGCATGCGTCATCCAAGTCCGTATTTCAGAGGGTCCAAATTTCACACAACACCGGCCGCGAAATACTTCAGTGCTAAATGTTACTGAAACCAGCCAAACTAATAAACAATCCTAGTTTTCACATAAAAAAAAATGCAAACTCAACAAAACTGGAACATGGAAAGGACCTCTCCTTCGAAAGAGCCACTTAACCCTGTTGTCCAATCTTTTTACAGAAAAGTCTGTGTTTTATGTAGAAAAAAAACTATTTTGCTGTGCAAAAGATGATGTACTAAACCCCATTTAATGGTGTTTTGGACCAATCAAAACCAATGTCCGACATGCGTGCACAGGCGCAAGGCTGGAAAATCCAATATGGTGGCATTGGAGACAGTCTTGTCTCATGTTGGACTTGTCACAAGTCGGTATCCACATCCCTTGCCCGGATTCGGTGCACAGTCAGGCGGGGAAACATTTAGTACATATATGACATTTAACATCCGGCTGACCAGCCGAATATTAAATGCCATACAGACTGTATCAATTAAATTCCAGCCTCTGGCATAATCGTCAAAGCTAACGATCAAACAGTAAAATATCGTGAGTGGATGTCAAAAGAGTCAATATGATGTTCCCGGTATATTAAGTTTGACACGTTTTTTCCCCTCGTTTCTTTTTAGTTTTACCAATGCACAGCTACTGACGATGCAACATATGGACATGAAACCATTGAAACCAGTAGACACTCACTTCTTTCACAGAGACGGTTCCGGAGGTAAGTTTGTAGAGAATTGTTTTTGTCGATCCGCCTAAAAAAAACAACAACAACAAACGAAAGAAAGAAATGTTGACGATTTTATTTCTAAACACATTTTGAATTTGTGCTAATGTATTGTCTGGGGATAAATGGGTCGCAGTATTAACTAAAAATGTACCCAAGTCGCAAAGTATGCAAAATAATGAATAGTACTCTTGATAGTGTTCATGAATATATATTTGTATATCATAAATATTAGTGTTAGTATAATTACCTTTTTTTTATTAAGAGTGTATGAGAATTGACAATCATTTTCTCTTCTATTTCTATTGCAGAGAACCAGTTCAAATCGGTAACCAATCAAGACTTCATCAAGCCAGAAATGATGACGGCCTCTATATAACAAACTTTCTTCGACTTGCTATCTCCAGAACGCGTAAAACCAAAATAGGGACCATTAAAAGTGGTGCGTGTACGGGATACGTATACGGCTCTGAAAAACCAGCTTGTTATAATCACCACTGCATGCATTGCGGAGTTATTTCCCCAACTGATCCACACCGTATATATCCATTTTGATGTTAAATGCATTTTGCCCATAGTGTGGCAGTTGAACCACTCAAAATGGTGATTTAACAAGCAAATTTCCGATCCGCGAACGTATTCCGTACGCACATACCATTTGTAATGATTGGGTTTGTGTATGACGTACTGTTTGGCCCATTTGGGTGTTTACATGTACAACGCTGTCGTAAAATTTCGTCAGAATAAAGACTATGCGATAAAACAACAAACGCTAACGACCACAATAATATTGGAGGTCATTTGATTTTTACTGAAGCAGATGTGACACCACGCTCATGCGCATGTGTGATGCGTCCTTTATTTGAGGCGCGCTCATGATTTGAAAAAAAACTATTGGTCACTCCTTTTAATTTTGGCCGTAAAATAAGAGTCTATAACTTGTAAAGCACACTCCAAAAAAATGTACTTAGCAATTAAACACGATCTCAACATTTATTCCTAAACATCAATGTTCAGTTGCTAAACACTATTAAGCATGTTTAGTATTTAAATATTACAAATTGATAGCAAATTGTTTTGGAAAACAGTTTGTGTGCTCTATGTTCGTGATGTCAAACTGAACGTGCAATTTTCTTGAGCCAGTTTCTAAATCAAGGGATTTACTATACCTCAGCTCTGTATGTGGTTACGGAATAATCTAGAAAGCCAGTACATGTATTGTCAAAAGTAATGTAGGGAAATCAAGGCAAGGGCCTTAATTTGGCCTAGTATCACGTAGGCTGATTCCAAATGGGGCGAGACCGAGGTTTATTAAATGCCCGTAGGGCGTTGTAGTATGCCGTGAGGCTGTATGTGCACTGAAACTTTACATAAGCACCATTGTGTGAAAAAACCAGTGCACTGGCCAAAAAAGGTATTAGGCCATCAGCCTCGGTCCAACATTTGGCCATGGCGTTATCAAAGGAGGGGAATAATCGTCATAGCGATTTTTGTCAAGGTATACACCTCCAGAGTTGGAAAATATGTGATAGCATTGCAGCGGTGGCAGCTTTTTGGGTGTTATCACCCTTTTTTTTCAAAATGTCCATCAAAATGCTTGTTACCACTCTAGGGGCGGTATACCTTGCGCATGCGCACTATAATCATTTATGCCCTGATTTGATACTGGCCAAACCCCCAGGCTGCTGGCCTATATGGCAAATCACAAATTGTGCAGAATGTTCTTCCTCCACGATCAATATTTAATTGTTTATTTTCCAATCCAGTTGGTTTTGTTTTGTTCGTCTTGTTCCTATATAAAGTAAAAAGGGTACTTATTACCATAACAATGCTTCCTTTATTTTAACTATGTGTACATTTATAACCGACGAAGTAACTGTCATCTTCGTTTATGTTTTGCGAATCATTTTGTTAAAGTCTTGCCGTTATTTCGTGAAACTTAACGTTAATTGTGCGTATTTCTTTTTAACGATATAAGTTCATTATTCTATTAATTGCCATGGATATAATGCAACGTGACTTTTGGTGCAAAGTTAAACAGATAGGCATGCACGTTTCAGAATTATGATACTTCATAATTATACATGTATAAAGCTAAGTTCAGAAAAGATGATGTCCCTTTTATCTTATTATATTTATATTCCATTCTTACCGTTGACCTCAGTTTTTGTTTAATTTTGATTTAAATTCTTTTAAATCATTTCAGGATAATTTACCATGAAGCATTGCGCATAAATTGATATACTTATTAACAACACAGTATCACTTTGGTTGGTATAATTATGTGAAATTACGCATTATTCATAAGAACATGTACATAGGCCTAGCTATCGGAACGTGCATATTTTCAACTGTTTTTTGAAAATGAAACTTATCTAAATAATGTTTCGATTCTTATTTTTCTACCACCTACCCGGCTTTGTTTTTATTGCGTCATTGCCAAAGTGTTTTTTGTTAGCGGATGTACATTGTATAATATCATTTGGTGTGTGTGAAGTATTGCTTAACGGTGTATATACCCGTAACACATTTGCAATAAACATGTAAATAAATACATTTTGCACGGCATTTATCCGAGTATCAGTTGAGTCGACTTGTATCAGTGTCTTTGCTTTTACATCAGGCTTTGATAGACTATGTTATAGGTACGACTATGAAGTCAATTTTGCTTTCGCTAACTCAAGCTCGCCTTCCAGTGCACGGCTCACATCCTTATTTTGTACGAACCCTCAAGTTCATGGCCCCCAATATGCTCAAATACTGAGGAATCTGAGGGTATGCAAATCGTGATTTGGCCGGCGTAGGCAATTTCGGACCGATTTACTGGCCTGCACCTAGACTGTTTCCCGGCCCAACCTAAAGATATTTCTGAAGTTCAAAGGACAATGGGGTCAGAGAACTAGACTAACCTGCACCCTTAGAAACAGCTGCATCAGCTTGAATTATGTTTTAAAATATAGGCCGCGGTTAGTTACCCAGAATGCCATTCCCACTTGCTTCACAAGCTCATCAGCTCTTAACTGCCCGGCGCCCAAGGCCCTAGCTGTTTGCAGGGCGGGGGTACGAGCGAAGCGCTCATAAAATGTCGCAATTTCCAATTGAAGTAAGAAACGCAGTATGCGGGGCAAAAATAAAAATGAACATTGTAATATGTTTATTGCATGTTTCAAAATAATAACGTTTCTATAATTGTGAACTGAGTTCCCCAAATATATAGTAATTCGCAAAATAGGAAAACGCAAGAAAACAAAGCCCCTCACCCTTAGAACTGGAAATACAAAATAGAAAACCAAAGTCAAATGGAACACCCGAATGTACGTACCTTAAGGATTGAATTTGAAAATTCCGGGCTTGTACAGACTTGCCTTTGACTGTCAGTGACATGCTGTCACGGATCCAGAGGGGCTGGGGGGGGGGGGTCGAACCCCTCTCCTGCTCTAACACACTAAAGTAAAGATTTCATGCAGTGGCTTTTATGTATCTGACGGGCCTGAACCACTCCCACTCCTCCCAACCCAACTGCAGCAAAAGTCACTTGATCCGCCTCTGACGTAAGTTGGAACATTGATATGAAATGTGACATCGACCTACCAAGGTTCGCTACGTATTTAGCACAAAGCTAATCATTTTGTAGTCTATGTAATAGACCACGGCTATTATGCGCGAACAGATTTGTTGATTAATTAGGCAAGACCCCGCCTTTTGACTTCCTAGATTTCGACCAATCAGCAGGCACTTTCTCATAGACCGCTTGCAGACGCGTTCGATAATCGACGCGCGAAGGCGCGCGACGCCATGTTGTGGGTCAAGCGCATATCTATCCATGCACATTTTGTCCCACAACATGGCGTCGCGCACCTTCGCGCGTCAATTATCGAACGCGTCTGCAAGCGGTCTATAGGTATATCGGGTCTTCGGTCATTCACCCGTTGCGCGTCAAAGACATCGATTTAAAAAAAAAACGTCAGGCGCGCGGCGTTCGGTATCATGTTACGCGAATGCGCTCCCGGCTGTTGTTGTCATAGATATGGAATTTTAAGTTCTATATCTATGGTTGCTGTATTACAAAACGCTGCATTCGAATTGACCAATCACAGCGTTAGTCCTGATTTTGGGATGAAATGACGTCACGATTTAGTAAAGTCGACTCGCGCGGCTTGCATAAATCTGCATGCTTTGACATATCGGACGTTAGACAGGAGATGGCTCCGTGGATTACGGGTGATACTCAGACTAATCATTTTGCTGTCAAAGCCGTAATGCTTTGATATTGCAGAATGATTGCGGGATCAGTAAGCTGAAACTTACATAACAACTTACAGATGCAAGTTACCGTACGTTGGATAATTTCACCTAAAATGATTTAGAAACCACAAGAAAAGACAAATAGGCCGAAGCTGTAGAACGTATGCATACCCCGCGCTTAAAACAATGTATTGTTACGGTCAATACAGCTTCATTGTTTGACGGTTTCTTTTGAAATTAAATCTCGTTATGTTAAACATAATGACAAATCACTGCACGAAAATTCAATTGAATACATCTTGCATTCCTGGAGTTGTTGCCCCCCCCCCCAACGAGTTTGGTGGTAGATAATTATCGAGACCGCTAATTTGATTTTCCACACCGCTAACTGATTTTTCACAATGTGTGTCAGAGGTGTATTGAATATCAGGAGAAACAGTGCAACAATAAAAATAATATGATCGTAACAATGTAGTGTTTTACTTGCGAAAAATCCACATTGACTTTCATTCAGATTGCATTTGTCGCGCTTAAAACACTGTGTTGTTACGGTCAATGTAGCTTCATTGTTTGACGGTTTCTTATGAAATTAAATCTCGTAATGTTAAACATAATGACAAATCACTACACGAAAATTCAATTGAATACATCTTGTATTTCTGGAGTTTTCTGTTGTTGCCCCACCCCCCAAACGAGTTTGGTGGTAGATAATTTTCGAGACCACTATTTTTGTGGCACGCCCTCTACTGAAAGAATATTAAAATTGCGAGGCCAGCCGATGCTGCACTATTGAACAAAATTAACAACTCGTTTTCCGATGAAAAACTCAAGAAATACAAAATGTATTAAACTGAAGTTTTGTGGACTGATTTTTCACAATGTGTGTCAGAGGTGTATTGAATATCAGGAGAAACAGTGCAACAATAAAAATAATATGATCGTAACAATGTAGTGTTTTACTTGCGAAAAATCCACATTGACTTTCATTCGGATTGCATTTGTCGCGCTTAAAACACTGTATTGTTACGGTCAATGTAGCTTCATTGTTTGACGGTTTCTTATGAAATTAAATCTCGTAATGTTAAACATAATGACAAATCACTACAGGAAAATTCAATTGAATACATCTTGTATTTCTGGAGTTGTTGCCCCCCAAACTCAGTAGTTTATTGGTAGATAATTATCGAGACCACTATTTTTGTGGCGCGCCCTCTACTGAAAGAATATTAAGAGTGCGAGACCAGCCAATGCTGCACTATTGAACAATATGGAGAAATGTTTTATTTCTCAGTGATTTGATTCATCTTGTTTATACCATATGCCGAACCGCTTGCTACAGCGGCAGCTTGACAAGCTGTATAAAGGAATACCATCTAATCATGGAGAAATAAAACACAAACCCAGTCTCGGACTGAGACAAACTTTCTTTTGGCTAGCCATTCGTCTGTTTGAAGCTACAGCCTATCGTTTTGCAGCTATTCAAAAAGCAACTGACGTAATATTGTTGAAAAACATACTTGGTTGAAAAGACAGGAAGGGACTAAACTCCCTCTGAAATTATTCTTTATGGCATGCATGCTGTCATTTTGAAGAAATCAACGAAAGAAGGTGCGTCTTAAGACGCACCGTACCATTGAACATTTCCGTTAGTAGTTACGCTAGCAGTGCGCCGCGCCACCAAGAGGCCTAGGTTACTGCTGATGACCCAATTCGCTTACTTACTGAACGCGACCGGTCGACTGGCGGGCAAGTACGCACGTAGGTATATTTCCAGTTTCCAAGGTTTTTCGGATTGTATAAAACTTGTCATAACTACCGCTGGTCAGTTTTCATCTTATTACTATTAAGACAAACCTTTCCCAGTAGCCTTATGAAGAATAGAACTTTTAGAAGCCGGAAAAGATAGACCCTCTTCCGTCTTCGTGTCCAAGTTAAAAAGTAACCCGGCATGACTTGCAATATGATTCAATATCTGATTATCAATCATTGATTGATAATCAGATATTGCATGTATGAATGATGGATTGTATTGCGTAAAGTTGTTAACTACTTTGCAAACCCATTGCCGAATCTTGCTCAACACTAATGTCGCAACGAGGGTACATGTACTTCCAGAACCAGCAGTAGAACCAGAGGTATGTCATGTATGTGTGCCTATAGTCATTCTCATGGATGGTACAACTACAGACCTAATGTTTAAAGTTGGGTACAGTTTGCTGGGCTGGGTCTGGGAACTGCATGGGGTTGATCTAGGGGGCAGCTGCGCGGCAGGGATCAGTCATGTCAGCGGGGGCAATCACTCAGTGGCTTCATGTTGTTGCAAAGAATGTTGGAAAGAAAAGGATCCTGACGTCACTTCTTTGATTGTGTTCAAAATCTATGGAGAGTCAGAGCATTAAAACTTGTATTTTCTAACTTTTTTTGTAACAAAATGGGAAATGTGTGGAAAAACTGTTGCATCCTGACGCTACCTTCTAATCAGAAAAAAAGCCAATTTTGTTTGCTTATCTTGTAGTTGTACCTCAGAGAGTATACTTTCATATGAGAACTGTAAGGAATATGTTGACAAAGTTTTAAGAGAGATTTGTAGGCGAATGTGGCTAACTTAGTGAATTTGTACATGTCACGTTGTCCAGAAATTTGAGACTCTCAATACTAGAGTCGACAAGAGGGTCTCAAAACTTAAGTTAAGGTCACTAGATTTCTGTTTCGAAATTCGCGTCAGGATGCAAAATTCTTTCCAAAGTGGCAACAGGATGCAGCATTCTTTCCAGGATGTTAAATGCCACTGCTTGAGACACAAATATAAGTGGCCTCTTTAGAATTAGACTAAGTAGGAGGAGAAGGTTCATGGGTTAATTCAAATTTAATTAAATTTCTTTTTTTTTTATTCTAATTCTTGACCTGGAGTATCTACATTGTATTTCTTCCACCCCCCACAGTTGGGAAGATCAGTTAGTCAACCATGGCAAAGAGTATATTATCCCAGCTGTTTGCTGTGGTTTTCACGGTGAGCTATGCCCTTTTTGGAGGCACCATGGTCTGCTTGCATCTCATGATTGCGGCCATCAAGAAGGGACCAAAGCGGGTCTTCAGCTGGAAGACACGGGACACCAGACCCAAATGCTTGGACAATCCGGATCTCGGGACCCACGGTTTCATACGCACCAAGGTTTGTTGAAGATGTACATGTGTACATGTACGTTGGTTGAGTAGATGGAATTTCCATGATATCACACTATTGTTAAAACACGGTGACTATCGTTATGGCAGCCGTAACAAGACTTTCAACTGCTATCGTTACGGAACTGTCTGCTTCCCTGACGTAATAGTATTCAACGTCACATTTTTTGGGCTGTTGGAACCAGACTATCAACCGAAGGTTCTCTGACTTAGTTCCCTTTTAAAAAAATATTCTCCATTGAAAGTACCACTGATTTTTAAAGAAGAAAATGAAATCTAAAAAAAAATCAATTTGATGAAAAACCTAAAAACTTAAGAAATCTATTAAAAAAATAAATTAAAAAAATTGAGTAGCGCGGCAGGGGTTTTGAACCCGGATCCCCAGCTCATTATTAATCTAACATGGACCCAATCGAGCTACTGTAACATATAAAATTGGATATAGTCTTTGGGATGTTTGACTATACTTATATGTTATGATACGGTAGCTGTGGCTAAGAGCGGGATGAACGATGAAAACGAAGAATACAAAGACCCACTTGTATCAGCTCAGCTTTCACGGAGAAACTATTTTATTCTCAAGAACTCAATTAAAAACCGGGTCTGGTATAAAAACAGAAGTGGGAGACGGAAGAAAAATCGTAGATGAAGACTGGCCAGAGCATAGGGCTGAATCAGCTTATGGCTATGCCTCTGGTTTCCCAGGGAGAAAAAGGAGAACTCCATGACAGCAGGAAAATGGGGACATTTTATACAATTTCTGAGGGGCATCTTTAGGTGAAAATAGGAGATGATGTCATATAAGGAAAACATAACTTACACATGTATGACATCATTTCTGAGTAAAGGTAGACTGACCATGGACTGACGTAATGGTCAGTCTGGGGGAGTAAGCTATGAGGTCATTTTCCCCTGTACAAGGGTGCAATCACAGTCTTGGTATGCTGTGGGCGTTGCTTGGGAAAGAGTGACGTGAAGGCCTTGGGGTGTAATGTGGAACACCTGTTGTGAGAGCGGTAGTATGGGCTTTGGGACAGTACAAATTTCGGTCTTACACTACCGAAGCGTTCTGGTTGGATGGGCAGTTGTAAATCTGATATATATTCATGACATTTGCATTGTGTTTTTACAATGCCATAACATAATAATAATAATCGTAGTGCATATTTAGCGTTTTCCATCGCATCAACAATCTCAAAGCGCTTTACAATTATTACTCTGTTCATCAGGCCATGAGACCAAGCGGCAGCCGATATCAGCGCTCAATCGGTCTTCAACCCTCACGGGTACCTATTTATACTCCTGGGTGGAGAGAGGCAATTGTAGTTAAGTGTCTTACCCAAGGGCACAAACACCATGTTCCTGGCAGGGTTCGAACCCATGCACCATGCATCGTGCGTGAGTCAAACACCGTAACCACTGGACCAAGGCGTTTTACATAGTAGTATTTGAATATTGCGCTACGACTGTCGTAACGATAGCCACTACGCTGTTAAAAATGTGAGTGGCTGCAAGTTAATTCCTGCAATTTCCACAGTTTGCACCTTTTCACTTTCTGGCCTGCAATGCATTACTCCCACTAGTCTGCGTATCCAGTCTCAGGAACTGGTTTCTAATTTTAAGAGCCGTCCTTTTGGATGTTTTGCTCCTGCAGGACGTTAGGCTGCACTACGTATCAGCTGGTGACGAGACTAAACCCCTGATGCTGATGTTGCACGGCTTCCCCGAGTGTTGGTACTCGTGGCGCTATCAGATCATGGAATTCAAGAAAGACTACAGGTATTGCAGCAGCCGATTTCACGAAAAAGTGCGCAGCTTTCGCCATGCGAGACTTACGCAACAAATTTGTTGCGCAGTAAAGCTATGATCGATTTCACGAAACTTGGCTTAGCTGCGCAACATTTTAAATTCAGTGAAATCTCGATAAGTCAAACCTCAAGGGAACAGGTTCAAAGTTTGACTTAGCAGAGTTTTGAGTTAAACAGGGGTTATATATATCATTGTTATACTACTGAAGGCAATGGATTCTTTGTTTGACTAAACAGTTGTTTTGAGTTATCAGAGTTTGACTTATCGAGATTTCACTGCAATTTAAACATTTCGGACGAAGATAAAAGCAGCATTTACGACAGCTGTTTGTGTGTGAATTTGTTCATTCACGAATCAGTCGTTGGATCACCTCAGCCTGCCATTTTGAAAATGATTTTGTCCTGCTTTCTTCGGAATCGTTGGGCAACTCTAAAAATTATGTTAAGAGGAAAATAGAAATTCATTTACTTTCACAACATAAAGTTGTGAGTGTCTTGATCAACCTTGATAAGTTGTGCAATAACAGGCTCCACGACGATCACGGGGGATAAATCTGCTGAACGTGACATTAGAGAATGAATGTGACACTAATATAAAAAATGTAAACATTTATTTTTGTCAATGAATTTCTGGTTGCCTTTGTGGAATTGCAGGGTTGTTGCCATTGATCAGCGTGCGTATGGAGACTCGGACACTCCGAGCGGTGTCGCCAACTACACCATGGACAAACTTACAGGTATAACGAAACCAAAGAGACAGAGAGAGTTTACTTGCTGCACACAATGTAGCCTGCTGGACAGTCCAGTGTTGTAGTCGAGACCGGATAGTCCGAGACCAAGACCGAGACCACAGCTCTCAAGACCAAGACTGAGACCGAGACCAGCCAAAAGTGGTCTCGAGACCGAGACCGAGACCGGTCTCCAGACCTACAACACTGCTGGACACGTCCATGTTTGTGCGCAAACCTATAGAATACTCAAAATTGTGTACGGCTTTTGTACAACTTTCTGTATATCTGGGTCACGCTATTAACTTTGGGGTCTACTTTTTTTCTGTCCCTGTTACATCTGACATCTTATAATTTTATAATTCTGGAGCAAAGCTTAATGCAGTCGTCCTCCAATTGGGTGATTATAAATATTTGTATGAATATTCGGTCTGTATTTGTGGAGCGCCGTGGCCTCGTGGTCTGGAGCATTGAATTTGTGGTCTGCGGGTAATTCTGTAGGTTGTGGGTTCGAGTCCTGCCCGGGGTTATGGTGCGCGTGCCCTTGGGCAAGGCACTTTGTCACTCATTGCTTCTTTCCACCCAGGAGTAAATGGGTACCTGTGAGGGCACAGGTGATTATTGTGGTTGATTTAAGCTGCTTTGTGCCGAAATGGCAGCATCAAGCTGTCTACTCCCCAGAGAGCTGAGATGGTATTTAGAATGTTTCATTGGCCCAATGAGCAGGGTAATAATGATGTAGCGCCTTGAGCACTAATAATGGTGGATACGTGCGCTTTATAAATAACCATCATTATTATTATTATTTTCTCATTACAATAGCTTAATTTGTATCCTCTTTATGCATGTACATGTGTCTAGAGCACACTGGTAAAATTCCCTTCCACCAAACACATATGAGATTAATGTCGGCCATGTGTACACAAAAATCTGACATGCTTGTGGGCGGGGCTTACTGGATCAGTATATTGTATTTCCTGCAAATAAAATATACTTATCTTACAGAGGATGTAAAGGAAGTTGTGAAAGGCCTGGGCTACAATTCATGCACCCTGGTGGCCCATGACTGGGGTGGAGCTATTGCCTGGTACGTGGCTGCAACCTATCCCGATATCGTGGACAAGCTCATCGTCATGAACATACCCCACCCCCGTTGCTTTAACGACAACCTCAACTGGAGACAGATCCTGGCTTCTTGGTAAGTGTTGATGTGGACTCCGTTGTACTAGTACCCTGTCGACGTTTACAGCGGGAGAGTTGGGGGAGACATTCCAATGCATTGCTGAGGAAGCCTGCACCCGATTTCACGAAGTGCTGCGACGCGTCGCAACACAAGTTATGACGTGTAATACCTCGCAACTCGCAACGCGTCGTATCATCCATTTCACGAAAGTTGCGATGTGTTGAACGCGTCGTAAGTTCCTTGACAACGGCTTGAAACACGTCGCAAGTTACGACGTGTCTAGTGGTCATCGCAAAATAAGAAGAGTCATTTTCTCAACCAGTTTTATGCCATAAACATTACATAAACGAGATTATAATACCGAGGCAATGTGCGTAAAGTTGTAAATAGAAAATTCATTGAATAATTATGAATTAGACCGGAATATTGAAGTTGAAATTTCAAAGTAGTTTACAGTCCAGTGAGGGCTTGTTTTCCTTCAAAATTGCATCGCACGGCCGCCATTTTGTTTTACGTTTAAACAAATTTTGAGCTGAGATCTGACGACTCTTTGTTGAATATCAGACGACTATTTACTTTACGCTGACTAAATACATAAAACAGTCACCGAGTTGTGCTATAAATACACCTACGACGTGTTTTGTGAAATGGATCGCGTAGAGATATGACGCGTCGCATCGCTGCGATACATCGTAAGTTACGAGGAGTTTGATGAAATCGGGTGCAGATGTGCTTGCGAATTTGCTACGGCAGTATAGGTTTGTGCATGTTGAGAATAAAGTTAGTCGTGCGTACTTCATGCATAAGTGCATGAGCTGGTACATGCACCAGTTGTATCTCACTGGGTGGCCCTCTCACGGCAAAAGGGTGGAACTTCGGGGGGAAAAAAACGCATTTCAAGAAAATCATGTTAAAAGTTCAAGGCTTTCCATGTTTTTATATTTTTTACCATCAGTTAAACCAATTTTTCTACCGCAGGCTGTAAATCATGTTGTATACCGTAGAAATGTCAGTTTGTAGTCTTTATTGGTTTTTTTTTTTGGGGGGGGGAAGGCAATTTTAAACTCGTTGCACCATTTTACCATGATCTATCACCAACATAATGAAAAGGCTTATACATGTATTTTTTAGATAGCACATCCAGTGCATTATCATGGCACTTTGATAATGAGCATAACGTAAGGCAAAAAGACGTATGTCGTATAGTTACGCCCTTTTGCCTCGTCACATCAGACTGGTCACATCTAGCACAAAACAGAATGCATCTCAATATATGCACCCTTTTGTCAATGCACAATTTTGCTAGAGATATGCCCTGCTATGTTTGAAACGGAAGGCAAAAGGACTTGAAAGTTTGTTAAATGGAAACAGTGCCTCCAATAACCCCCAAATGTGGATTGCTTGTGACAAGGTCTCCAATGATATTTCGCTTAGCATGTAAAGTGTTCAGCAGCTTTTTCTAATTAGCAACGGATTCCTGTTATGAGGCACAAAAAACTGTGCATACATTTCCTCTGTTTTCGCCAAATGTGTAGTATACAAATATTGACTGCTTCAAGTGGTATTGTAAAACTCGTCTCCCAAGGTGATCCATCTAGCATTCTATTTTCTCAAGAAAATAGAATGTTCCATAGATCACCACGGGAGGCTAATTTTATTACATCACAAGTCAAAGCAGTCACTATTTGTTTTATAGCACCTCACCCTCAGATGCTGCTTGATTTTAAGAGACAACTACCATAAATATACAATTAAAAGTGTATTTCTATTTCAATTCGAAATTAGTTGAAAATTTACTTGAACTTTTCTTCCAAACCACCCCTTCACAAAATGTTTCAACCCAGCTCTGTAGCGCAAGCGCTTGGGATCAATATGCCTGCGCAACATCTGTTGACCCGTATGCATTTGCTTACAATACCGTTGTAGAATGCCATGGTCCAGTGGTTACCATGGTTACGGTGTTTGCCTCATGTACGAAGGTGCATGGGTTCGAACCCTGCCAGGGACATGGTGTTTGTGCCCTTGGGCAAGACACTTAACTACAATTGCCTCTCTCCACCCAGGAGTATAAATGGGTACCTGTGAGGGTCGAGGACCGATTGAGCGCTGATATCGGCTGCCACGTGGTCCCATGGCCTGACAGGCCTTGAATTTGGGGATTTTTAGGGCAAGGCCACTTTGGCCTTGAATGGAGCAAAATTATAGAGGGCACCAAGGCCGTACTGCGCGCGTGTGATTGATTCGGCGAGATATTAAGACAACTGATCGGGCTGGCATGGCATCGAAATACATTGTCAATGTGTGGAAAAACAACTGGAATCAAGGATTGTAGTGGTTTTAATAGGCTGATAGATGTTTTTGCAAAAAGGGCACGACGGCCAAGGTAATTATGGGGCAAGGCAAAACTGGCCGTGAAGACAGGGATTTTTTGTGGGGCACCTCGGCCAGTAAGAAGGCAACGACGGCACTGGCCGTCGTGGCCGTCGTTCAATTCAAGCCCTGGCCTGATGAATGGGGTAATAATTGTAAAGCGCAATTATTGTTAACTAGAGATTTGCGTTTGTTGCTACAAATGCAGAGTGGTCGGGTAGACAACTATTTTATGAAACACTGTCCAGTTAAGTTATGAATATTTTTATGTAAGAACAAAGGATCACCAAATTAAATCCTTTCCAGTACAATAAATTATTTTGTTATACATCTTTAACGGTGTGATAAATTTCAGTAAACATTATATGTACACATACAAGTTATTTCTGACTTGTCAAAAATGTCATTAGTCAAAAACGGGACGTGAATACTGATTTAGTTCGGAGTGGATGTTCATTGTGAAGTTAAATAAACGTATGAAAATGTGGAAAATATAAGTGCATGTATTCATAACACCGAATGTCCGGTTTGATGACGTCACAGTATTTGGAAGCAAAAGGAGAACATTGTAATGGTATCGCTATTTGGGCTAAGATATACGACATGGATCAAATGATAGAATTAAATTTAAAATATGATCGTTGAAAATTTTTATAGAAGTAACTTCCGGTCTGATGACGTCATGAATTAGATACCTTGCCAAGTTATCTGTGGTTAATCAAAGAATATCAAGGGGCGATTTGGTAAAATTTGAACCTATGGTTTTAAAATTAAAGAAAAGAAACACTATTTTATGTGCCGCTAGGGGCGCCCTTTCGGATGATGACGTCATCATACTGTTTTTTGTGTCTGGCATTCCTCACTAAACACTTTCATAATATATTTGTCTGTATTAAAATTCTTCCGCTTTTGAGTTATATTCAGTTTTTATTGCACTTCCAGTAACACTGGAAGGAAAGGTCAAGCAGTTTTGTGTCGGGAAAAGAGAAACGTTTCTCACAGCATAGTCTAAAACTTCACGGAAAAACGAACGCGATACTCAATTTAGTTCAAAAGATATAGCGCAAACTATTTTGTCAAAATTTGGCCTTAAATCACTTGTAATTTGATACCTGATGACGTCATGATGACGTCATGATGACGTTACAAAGATTATAACATCTTCGTAACATGGTACAAGTTAACACTAGGTTTAATGATCATAGCGTTTACCGTTTGGATGAAAGTTTGCTTTGTTTTGATTTCAGGCTAAAGTCTTTATTTTGAATTCACGTAACTTTGACCTTCCGGTAGACCCGGAAGTAAAGGCCAAGCGAGTTCATGTACCGACAAAAAATGGTTATCAATTAATGGTCTATCTGATTACGGAATACAAACATCAATGATAATTTAGTTCTATAGTTATAGGTGAAAGTATTTGGTCTTTTTTCCAGCTAAAATCGCGTGTAACTTGACACCCGATGACGTCATCATGACGTCAGAGTAATATGCACCACTAGGGATGAGGGTTGATATATGCTAAAAGTTACAAGTTCATACCATATACCATTTAGGAGAAAACCCGCGGAGAAGTATTGTCCGGAAAAAAAAGGAAAGAAAGAAGATTGATGAGAACAATTTTAGACAGTGTTCGGGTTGTGCCCGAGCACTCAATTAATCGCAACAGATCCAAAGAGTGGTCGGGTTGTGCCCGACCACTCAACTAGAATGTTATTGTTTTTGCCTCTTGTTAAAAATGTGCAACTGTAATTATGTGTTTCCCTTTCTTTTTACCATTGAGGAAAGTGCAAAACAAAGTAAAGTGCATCCTTGGTTGTTTCCTGGATTAATAATATATTTTAAATTTCCGTAGTAATTTAAAATTTGATGTGGATTAGTTTTTATTTCTAATGAATTTTCATATGAACGCCATGAGGAGTTTAAACGAAGAAATGTTGCGGGTACTTTCATTACGTTGGCGGATACAGCGTGTGAAGGGGGCGTGCGCAGTGGGGAGGGGGAGAATGTACTTTTCTGGGCAACCAATTTAGTTAGCGTGAATGGGATCATGCTTGCATTGCCAATGATTAATATACCTAGCATGGATTCACCAGTGTCTTTCGTACATTCCTTTACTGGAAAACAGTATTAGGTTTACAACAGGTGGAGGAAAATGGTTTGAAAGAAAGAGGTTTGTCATCGTGGTTGTGAAATATGTGTAATATTAATTAGTTGTTTATGTCTGGCAACAGAGTAAATTATAAATCGTCTATTTAATCATGCAGCAAAGAACAGGTTTAATCAAAATTTGAGAAAAGTAAACAAAACACTAGAGGTTCGCGTTTGTTGTAACAAACGCAGAGTGGTCGGGCAGGCAATTGTTTTCATAAAACCTATGCCGAATTAAGTTATGAATATGTTGATGTAAGAACAAGGCATCATGAAATTAAATCCTTTCCATCACAATAAGTTATTTTGTTTAAAAATGCATCTTTAACGGTGTGATAAATTTCCATAAACATTTTCTGTACACATACAAGTTATTTCTGGCTTGATGACGTCATTATTAAAAATCGGGAAGTGAAAACTGATTTAGTTCGGAGTGGATAAATGTTTATTGTGAAGTTAAATAACGTATGGAAATATGGAAAATATAATTGTATGTA